CTGTGTGTAAAAGCGTCTGTGTGCAAAAGTGTTTGTGTGCAAAAGTGTTTGTGTATAAAAGTGTTTGTGTGTAAAAGCCTCTGTGTGTAAAAGCGTCTGTGTGTAAAAGCGTCTGTGTGTAAAAGCGTCTGTGTGTAAAAGCGTCCGTGTGTAAAGTAAAAAAAAGCGTCTGTGTGTAAAAGCGTCTGTGGGTAAAAGTGTTTGTGTGTAAAAGCCTCTGTGTGTAAAAGCGTCTGTACGTAAAAGCGTCTGTACGTAAAAGCGTCTGTGTGTAAAAGTGTTTGCGTGTAAAAGTGTTTGCGTGTAAAAGCGTTTGCGTGTAAAAGCCTCTGTGTGCAAAAACGTATGTGTGTAAAAATTTCTGTCTGTAAAAGCATCTGTGTGTGTAAAAGCTTTGTGTGTAAAAGTGTCTGTGTAAACGCGTCTGTGTGTAAAAGCTTCTGTGTGTAAAAGCTTTTGTGTGTACAAGCGTCTGTGCGTAAAAGGGTCTGTGTGTGAAAATGTCTGTCTGTAAAAGCTTCTGTGTGTGAAAGCTTTTGTGTGTACAAGCATCTGTGCGTAAAAGGGTCTGTGCGTGTTTGCGATGCAAACTATTGTGTTGCACTTCTGCTATTCTGAGGAAAAATTGCGATTTTACTTGTGCCGGAGCAACCCTTTTGCACGAAATGAGGGTCGATCGGCGATTTTAAAATTGTGGAAAAATTGCGATTTTACTTGTGCTGGACTTGTCTGTGTGTAAAAGCGTCTGTGTGTAAGAGTTTCTGTGTGTAAAAGTGTTTGTGTGTAAAAAAGCGTCTGTGTGTAGTGTGTAAAAGTGTTAGTGTGTAAAAGCTTCTGTGTGTAAAAGCGTCTGTGTGTTGTGTGCACAAAGCGTCTGTGTGTAAAAGCGTCTGTGTGTAAAAGTGTCTGTGTGTAAAAGCGTCTGTGTGTAAAAGTGTTTGTGTGTGTGTGCCAAAGCGTCTGTGTGTAAGAGTCTCTGTGTGTAAAAGTGTTTGTGTGTAAAAGTGTTTGTGTGTAAAAGTGTTAGTGTGTAAAAGCTTCTGTGTGTAAAAGCTTCTGTATGTAAAAGCGTCTGTGTGTAAAAGATTGTGTGCACAAGCGTCTGTGTGTAAAAGCGTCTGTGTGTCAAAGCCTCTGTCTGTGTGTAAAAGCGTGTGTAAAAGCGTCTGTGTGTAAAAGTGTTTGTGCGTAAAAGTGTCAAAAGTGTTTGTGTATAAAAGTGTTTGTGTGTAAAAGCCTCTGTGTGTAAAAGCGTCTGTGTGTAAAAGCGTCTGTGTGTAAAAGCGTCCGTATGTAAAGTAAAAAAAAGCGTCTGTGTGTAAAAGCGTCTGTGGGTAAAAGTGTTTGTGTGTAAAAGCCTCTGTGTCTAAAAGCGTCTGTACGTAAAAGCGTCTGTACGTAAAAGCGTCTGTGTGTAAAAGTGTTTGCGTGTAAAAGCCTCTGTGTGCAAAAACGTATGTGTGTAAAAATTTCTGTCTGTAAAAGCATCTGTGTGTGTAAAAGCTTTGTGTGTAAAAGTGTCTGTGTAAACGCGTCTGTGTGTAAAAGCTTCTGTGTGTAAAAGCTTTTGTGTGTACAAGCGTCTGTGCGTAAAAGGGTCTGTGTGTGAAAGTGTCTGTCTGTAAAAGCTTCTGTGAGTGAAAGCTTTTGTGTGTACAAGCATCTGTGCGTAAAAGGGTCTGTGCGTGTTTGCGATGCAAACTATTGTGTTGCACTTCTGCTATTCTGAGGAAAAATTGCGATTTTACTTGTGCCGGAGCAACCCTTTTGCACGAAATGAGGGTCGATCGGCAAAAATTGTGGAAAAATTGCGATTTTACTTGTGCTGGACTTGTCTGTGTGTAAAAGCGTCTGTGTGTAAGAGTTTCTGTGTGTAAAAGTGTTTGTGTGTAAAAGTGTTAGTGTGTAAAAGTGTTAGTGTGTAAAAGCTTCTGTGTGTAAAAGCTTCTGTATGTAAAAGCGTCTGTGTGTAAAAGACTGTGTGCACAAGCGTCTGTGTGTAAAAGCGTCTGTGTGTCAAAAAAAGCGTCTGTGTGTAAAAGCGTCTGTGTGTGTGTGTGTGTGTGCCAAACCCGCTGTGTGTAAAAGTGTTTGTGTGTGTGTGCCAAAGCGTCTGTGTGTAAAAGTGTTTGTATGTAAAAGCGTCTGTGTGTAAAAGCGTCTGTGTGTAAAAGCATCTGTGTGTAAAGTAAAAAAAGCATCTGTGTGTAAAAGTGTTTGTGTGCAAAAGTGTTTGTGTGTAAAAATGTTTGTGTGTAAAGTAAAAGCGTCTGTGTGTAAAAGCGTCTGTGGGTAAAAGTGTTTGTGTGTAAAAGTGTCTGTGTGTAAAAGCATCTGTGTAAAAACGTATGTGGGTAAAAATTTCTCTCTGTAAAAGTGTCTGTGTGTGTAAAAATTTTGTGTGTAAAAGTGTCTGTGCAAAAGCGTCTTTAGAGAAAAATTTCTGTGTGTAAAAGCTTTTGTGTGTACAAGCGTCTGTGCGTAAAAAGGTCTGTGTATGAAAGTGTCTGTCTGTAAAAGCTTCTGTGTGTAAAAGCTTTTGTGTGTATAAGCGTCTGTGCGTAAAAGGGTCTGTGCGTGTTTGCGATGCAAACTATTGTGTTATACTTCTGTTATTTTGTCTTAATACTCCTCTTCTCGATTACCTATAACACATCTTTAATATATTGTTTCTAATATGATGTTTCCATAGTAACAAGAAAAGACCTGCTCCTCTACGTTTTCGGGCCATCCGTCGTCTAGTTTATTTATAAATTTTATTTTAAAAATAATAATTTTAATTTTAAAAAATAAAATAAATTAAATATATAATAAAATATATAAATATAATATATAATATTTTCCAATTCCTTATTTATATAAAATTATATATATATAATTAATTATTTAATTTATTATATATTTTGTTATTTTTTAGTAATTTTAATTATAAAAAATATTAATTAATTTATATTTTATATAATTATAAAATATTTTTCCATATTTTTTTCCAATAATTTAGGAATAATAAGAATAATAATTATAAAATAAGAAAGAAGAAAATAAATATTATATATTATATTATATATATATATTATATATTATATATTATATTATAACATATAATATATAATATATAATATATAATATATTATATATGTTGAAAATAATCTTTTATTAGGGATTGATTATATATTCGTGGATTCAAGGCGTGCCCGGGCGCCCGTGAGTCCGTGCGCCCGGGCAAGAATTCTATAGATCTATAGCAAATAATAATCAAAGATTTGCACATCCTTTAGAAATAACAATCAACCCAACTTACGTACGAAGCCAGTAGGATCCAGTAGGTATTGATTGACGCATGCACTGATGCACTGCCTTGCTGTTTGCGTGCAGGTTCATTTCGTTGTCATGCAATCATCATGTTTTTCAGTTCCACATGTATTGCTTCGGCTTCGTCAGCTGTAGATTGCATGGCGATGTCGTTGCTTCGTTGTTTGCGTGCAGCTTCATGCCGTTGTCATGCAATGATTTTTTGTTGAGTTCCATATGTGTCGCTTCGGCCCCGTCAGCTCTAGATTGCATGGCGATGTCGTTGCATTGTAGTTTGCATGCAGCTTCATGTCGTTATCATGCCTTGGTCTGATGTTAAATTTCACAAGTGTCGTTTCTGCTCCGTCTGTTGTAGATTCCCTTATATTGGATCGCTTTTATTCGCTGCAACGTTGTTACCATTCCGTTATGTTACCTTTGTTTCTTTGATTCCTGTGCCCGGGTGCCCGTGGATTGCCCGTCCTGTGTGCCCGTGTCCCGTGAGGAAACCATAGGAAACCTATCTATATTCCTGGAAAATAGCGAGGCATGACGCTGCAAAATCATGCAGACAGACAGCAGATGGGACAGAGAGCCAGGACATATTTAGGTTAGGACCCTAATAAAAAATATCAGACGTGATCCTTTCTTTTATTAATAGGGGGTACAAACCATTATTTCACCATCCTGTTCTCCTCTTGATTTTCAATTGCCACAATTAAGAACGCAATTATAACCCACCAAAAGAAACGAAATTGCAAGTCTATTCGTATTTTTTTAATTTGGGAATTTTTAGCAATAGGGAGAAGAGATTATCTCTTTCTCCCTCTCTCTTTTCAAGTCTGATTTGTTTTTATTCCTGCAGCACTTGCGCTTAGTTCGAGATTGAATCCCTCAGGGAAACCTGCATGCCGGCCTTGTGCCGCAAGCAGTCTCGCTTGATGCCGCCCCTAGGACAACAAGCAAGAACCTAACTGGAAGTCTGAGAAAGTTCTGGCACGGGTGTTTGAAGGCCATGGTTGCTAAGCATTTAATTTAGTAGAATATTGCCCATTATCATATCCATTATCTACATTATTTCCATAGATTTCTAACATATATACAGTATTATACAGTATACACATAGGTTATAGATGGTAATAGATGGTAATAGTTTCAGGATGTTTCAGGATGTTTCAGGACTTCCTGGCCCCATGTTGTTTTCACATCACAGCCCATAGGGCCATTTTTGGGCGGCCATGCTGTGATCACTGAGCTCCACCTCTGCAGACCGTGTCATTGCCACGATCGCCGCAACGTGTCTTCCATGCCGAAAGTCGTTAGCCTCTGGTAATTTAACATAGCTATTGAAAATGGTGATTTATAGTGGATTTTCCCATTGAAAATGGTGATTTGCTATAGTTATGTTAGTTTACCAGAGGGTAGCCTAGCTGCCACTTAGTCCAATGACGCCCCATTATGCTTTGCGGATCATTGACAATATACTTTCTTTGATCAGAATACAATCCACACATAGCTTCACACTTCAAAGCTTCGGCATAGCTGTGTGGTGTAAGGCAAGGTGAAACGCTTTGAAAACAGTTCCAATGAAGCTCTCTTCGAAAGTTCTTGGAGCGCTTCGCAAAATCACGCTCGAAGTGAACCCTTAACACATCTTCAAGCAGCAATTAAAGAAAACGTTGGGTCAAAAAGATGCCCTAGTAAACAAATGACAACGAGCGCGGAAAGGTACCACTGACTACTGCCCCAAAGCTGAAAGTCTGCAAATGACTTCCATGTCCAACAGTTTGTTGCCAGGAATCACCTGCATCATGTCGGATTCGTGTCATGTACCGCCTTGTATGAGGCCTCACTCCGCTTTCTTCTTCTTAGCGAAGTATGCTTCAGAATGATCCTTGTAGAACGCCCAGCAGGTCGGCGCCTCCAGCAGTCACGTTTTGATGGTGCAAAGTTTCTGATGTTTGTGAGAAACACATGAGAAAAACATGGAAGAAAATACAGATGAAAAAGAAATAACCCCTGCAGGAGATGGGCTCAGAACTTTGAATGGAGACGCTGGCACCATGTGGGCAAGAACAAGGCTGTGTCAAATAGTCTGGCTGTCATGCAGGGACAACAAACAACTTTCGACAAAAGCTGAGATAAACAGCACTTCAATTGTGCGAAAACGGCTCTCCAACAGTCTCTTTGAACTCCTCCATTGCAAGCCATCTCACCAGCCCGCACCTTGCGATTTTCGGAAATCTTGTTTACTGCAAGCATCACCAAACCACGGCCAACTTTCCAAATTCGAGCTTGTCCAAAGAGAACCTGGACAGGTGTGTTTGATTGTGTTTGGCCATGAAATGGAGTGGAACTCAGAACAGAAATCAAGATCCAGTGAACCCAGTGTTCGCCAAGGGGCAACTATGATGAGAACGCCAAGAACTACATTGCCTTGGGGCATCTTAGGACAAGCTTGCCAATATGTTCATGACTTGACATGCGTTATGAACCAGTCCACTACATGTTTGAAGCGAGCCGGGGACTGTACATGCACTTGTTTGCAATTGCTACATCATGGGTTGTAGTTCTGGCTCATCCTTGCACTACTTCAGACTACTTCAATCCTCCAATCAAAAATGAGGACAATGCATGACACCACATCCTGAACACGCGCATCTAACGTCGTACCTAGACAAAATGCGTTATCTTTTGAATGGCTGTAGCATCCCTAAATGCGAGACAACTCTGCATCGGATGAAAAAACCACGGCTTGGTCGCCATGCCTTGGCCATTTATTGCCAAAATATGGCTATATATAAAGACTAAAACATGACAATAAAGCTGAGAAAAAGAAATGCGGGGCAGTATTCCCAGCTAAACTGCCAGGAAATGTTATTGGAACATATGCATCCTTCCTACTGGCCAGTGCAATCTTCAGGAAGCGAATTTTCAACTCCCTTGGCACTTTGCTATCTTTGTCATCAAATTTAAACCAAGTCTTGAAGACAACCACAGCCTTATCTGAACCAAACGCAACTTTCTGGCCAAACCATGCAACACGTCAAAATTCAAAATGGATCAAAATGGCATGTTTCCAAGGAACGGGCACGACCTGTTCTCTACACCGGGACTATGAGTTCATCGCACATGAAGCACCGCGTTTCAAAGAAAATGCCCCATTCAGAGGGGAACCTGTGAGTCTTTCAAAAACATGCATTCCCCGAAAAGAATATCCAGCAAAATTTGGAACACGCAAGAGTTTGCAAAAACTGCAGCACTTGAAATGCTAATGAAAAAACAACAGATTTGCAGGGCAAAGTTTCTGAAGTCAGGCACCTGGCGAAAATGTGCATGTTTTAAGAAAGGAAGCAGAATATCTTGCAAACAAACACATGCGCACAATTGTTGCGGGAGAAACTAGAAGCCAACCGAATGGAATAGTCTTGGATTAGGGGTCATTAAATGTCCATTACCTGTTCACCAACCACCGTCATGACAGTGAAGTATCATGGCATGACCTACCCATGCCCCAACCGATCAAGACTGAAATCGCTTCAAAATACAGTTTAAGACCCAAGAGTAAAATCACATAACTATACTTTGAAGAGCAGATGCACTGTCCTATTCAGGCGTGTCAGATCCTTCAAACAGTGGGACCCTGTTTGTGAATATATGATTAATATATGTGATTATATGTGGATATGTTTCGCCTTCCGGTTTAACCTTTCTGCGCCTTGTGGGAGATACATAGACCACCAAGACAATAGACACCATGGAGAAGAAACACAAGAAACCGGAAAAACTACAAGCAAAGTACAGTAACACGAACAAAAGCCAAGATTGCACATTCCAAGAGGTCCAATCTTTTGGGTACTTTTTTGTCTACAGCACTTGGGTTCGTCAGTCTTGCCAGGGTCTTTTACAGTTCTATTTGTTCATGAAAGCATCTCAGGTTTTGCTGCTGTCTGACCGCATGGTGCACACTAGTCATTCCACCACTGATGGCCAAATCACCTCTCTTTCTCACAGGTTTCCCTTGCGGCTTTTAGCACATTTCTCAGCTGGATCATTGTAACATATTGTAACATATATATATATAATATATATTTATACATATAATATACATTAATATCGTATAACGCATTGTACCGCAATGACGCTGCCAAACCGCGTTGATGTATCGTATGTAACATCGTCTAACGGATGCACATTGTTGGCACCGAGCTGCGTATCACACTCATGACCTTCAGGGCGAAATGACACCAGCTGTTCTCATCCAGAAAGCCCTCGAAGGACACATAGGATCTGAAGAGGAGGAGTGACAGAACCAAGGCCATCCACTTTGGCTTCCGCCAATGGAAAAATTCTCGGATGGAATCAGCAACTGGCAAGATTGTCTTCTTGTAGGTATCTACCTGGCGAAGAAAAAGTGACTTGCAATCTTGGCGGACGCAAGTCTGCCGTGAAAGTGCGAGGATTCTTTTTTGCCTAGATTTCGCAACTCAGAACAGGAGAGGGTAAAGTCCAGAGGCTAGAGACCTCGGCAGCCTACCATGTTGCTGCATGTGCCACTTTGACAAATGACCTGCCTCGAGTTGCAGCGTTGCCACCAAACTCAAGATCGTTTGTGGCACCAAGAAGCGAGGAATTGCCGGAACAGATGGTCGGACCGACACATCCCAGGCATCATAGACACCATCCCTTGGTTTGATCTGGCTGGATGCTACAGTCATTATCAGTCCACTGCTTTAGATCCTTTTTGCATCTGTTTGCATCTTTTTTGATCCTCATGCCCGGCTTCAGTGTTGGAAGATGTTTTCGGTCAACTTTCTATGGAAGATCACAAGGCAAACCTGGCATGGAGCCAAGAGTCAGCGCTGAGTCCATTGGAGTGGACCCTTCCTCGTCGAACAGGACATGAATCCTCAGACGGTGCCGGCAAAAGTGTCAAGGATTGAATGTCAAATGAAGCAAGGTCGAAATCCACCAATATATATAAATATATTGTTATTATATATATATCCAATATAGTGTAAAAGTTTAAACCAACAATGCTGCGCAAAGATGAATTCTAGTACTTTCCATTTCTCCCCGTTCTAGGCCGATACTTGGACACTCATGGGCACTCTCATAATCTTGGCACCACGTGACTGTTGACGATGGGGATTGCTCGTAGCCACTTTGCTGTTCGTCTCGATTTTCGTCACAGTGCCTCTGCGTCGATCATGGACTCGAACTAGCGAGTTCACTTCCAAATGTGTGATTCCTGGTGCAAAAGGGCTGGCTCTGATGACTAGTTCAACTAGTCCTCTCAGAATGTCAACACGACAATCCTTGATCATCAACTCAAACGACTCAAACGACTCAAACCGCTGAATGGAACTGGATCTGCCATTTTGATCCATTGATCCATTTTGTTCATTCGAGTCTTGCACAGCTCCGGTCCTTTGGGGAACTCCAAGAACCACAATTCACGTAGAGCCTGAACAATTTCAAGCTGGATGTGTCAAGTCTCCTTGCAGCCCATGGATGCTACTAATGCTACTAGCAATACTAAGTCAATACCAGCAGCTAGTAAGTGCATGTAAATGCCATGCAAGAGCTGCAATACTTCAAACATCTTCAAACAACGACACCTGGATGACAAATCGTCAAAAATCGTCAAGAATCCTGTGACAAATGGTCGTCAGCGGTCGTCACCGGTCGTCACCGGTCGTCACGCCTTCAAAAGCTCATCGAAGGTCACGGTCAACTCACCATCTCCCTGCACGATCGTCCCTGAGAAGTGAAGCAGCTCCTCGGCGTCTGTGTCTGGATGCGTCCCTTGGCTATCCTTGGCTTCTTACATTGGCTTCTTGTTTTCCGCCCTGTAGAATTTGCAATTGATCTGCGATTGATTTGGGATTTATTTGTGATTTATCTGCGATTTACCTGTGATTTCTGAGATACTGTGGGTACTGTGGGGTTGCGAATCAATATGAATCAATTCAAACGACATTAACATTTGTTTCATTTGTTTCTTCATGAGCCATCCTCACCATCCTGTGGTGCCGTCCCCTGAGTCCTGCATGCTGTTGATGCTTCCGCTTCTGGACGCAATCATTCCTGAAGCTTCAAATTCACAACAACCAAAGGTGCGCCAGTCCAGTCTACTGGGTCTACTCACCTTCCTTGTCTTGTCACGTCTTGTCCATGTCTTGTCCATGTCTTTATCCGCTTCATCCCTCACCTGCCTTTTTCATGTCATTGGATGTCAGTGGCAAGATGTGGGTAGCCATGTGGCAATTGGGATCATTGGGATGTTTCACCAGGAGATACTGCGAGATCACTGAGATCTGTGGCACGTCGATGTGCATCGTGCAGATGCAACCAGGCTTCGCAGCAAGTAGGCGTGCATCTCGTAGACATCACGGCACCGAGCTACGAAGCGGAAACCTTCCTGGCAGCATTTCTCCGCAAAACGAAACTGCGAAACTGGCACAACCTGGCACAACCTGGCACACCCCCTGATGCAATCAGTCCATCCATGTCCATCCTCTCTCTCTCTCTGCAATTGTTTGTCTGTCCTCGTTCAATGGCGCATTTTGCCCATTCATTGTCATTGGAAGCCGCCAGTTGTCAAACTTCAACCTGAGTAAGTGAACAAAGTAAGCGAGATCTAGGACTTGAGTTGAACATGCACCATGCCATACCATGCCATTGCCAGCTGAGAAACAGCACAAGTATCATTGCCATCCACAGATGCCCAAAAGCGTAGACCAACATTGAAGACTTCACCCCACACCTCGGTTATGAGGTAGCTATGCACAGGCGTGTCATCTTGAAGTCTGGCACTCTTTGACCATGTGCTCTCGAGAATGTAACCACACCAGCCACTAAATTCCAACAATTTTCTGTCCAGATTCTGTGGGATCATGTGGGGTACAGTACTTCTATATTTGTTCTCTTGCTAGTTGCACTATGTTGCACTTCAAGATACTTCAAAGGCCAAGATGCGCGACAGCAATGAAGAGCAGCCCTGAAACGATGATCGAACGCCATGCCAACACGTAGCCTGCGATGCTGTGAGCTCAGTTCAATTTGACTTCAGCTATTGCAATGTGAAACCTGTGAGAACCACCTCAAGACCGGCCGTTCGACTCGTCTGCAACTGTGTTGAAGCTCACCTGTTTACAGTTATGAGTTCTACCGGCCCAAGCTGACAGGTCGAGACACAAGCAAAGGCATAGACTGCAAAGAGCATTTCGTCGACGATCTCTATTTTGAGGTCTAAGGTGTCGTCCAGCAACTCCTGAAGCGTCACGGATTCCATAACATTACCTATAACGCAACTGCTATAAAATTCATTAAAATTCTATATATATAATATCTATTTCGCAACTTGCACCGCCAAGCCAGGCGCGCATAAAATAAACACCACTCAATTGCAAAGACTTACTGTAAGCAAATTCTCCATGAAGCATGCAACATCTCAATCAAATCATCTGAACATGGAGAACCCTGTGACACTATGTCCTGAACATCCAGCTTCGGCAAAAACTCCTCCTGGATAAAACTTGCCTCAACAGCGGCACCACTCTAAGCTGCAGTCAGCCTTCAAATATTGAGCTAACGGCGCATCGTTCAATCGCAAGATTGGAGAACATGACACGTGATAGGTGCCGGCGACCGAAAAGACTCACCGCAATGGCTGCCTATTGCCTTCCATGCAATTTTTAGGGCATGTCCATGTCCAAGCCATAGAATCACCATGAATCACCTCTTAGGCATGCGGCACGCCAAAGAAAGCACCAGGCTATGCCGCTATGCCAAGCTACAAAGGAAGTGCATGATGGCACCAATGCTTTGGCGAACAGGGCTGTGTTTTCACTTACGCACCGGACCAGCTTCAACTTCACGTGAATCCTTGGTGACAAATCCCCGGCAAGCTGCACACTTTATTCTCCATGTCCTAGGTGAAGACTTTCTTCCCGGCCAGATCTTATGCCTTTCAGTAATGAAGAAATGTTCTTTTCTGTGGAGCTTGCTTGTCTTTGCTGCCTTTGGTATGATGACAAGAGGCTCACCAGCGTTGAACTGAGTATTGGGAGGTGCATCTGCGTTTGGATTAGCGCGCGTGCCTGCCTTGGCTGGAAGATGCTGGAAAGGACTGCGCAGGCACGTCGCAGGACGAGGGCTCAGACTCAGATAATGTAAGATATCATGAATCATGCAATCTATATCTATCTATATCTATACAGCCATCATCAGATATCATCAGATATCTGAGAAAACCGATCTGCCAAGATACGCGACGTAAGCGTTTGAACATTCGGTTCGCCACAGATTCTCTGATCACCTGCGCCTCGACCTTGTACAGATCTGCCGGCTCCACCGCCTCGTGGACAAGATATGGACAAGATATGGACAAGATATGGACAAGATATGGACAAGATATGGACAAGATATGGACAAGATATGGACAAGATATGGACAATGGCAATCTTCAAAGTGCGTGCAGACATGACATGACACTCTCATGACGTTCTCATGATCTTGGTTATGCGATGTTATGCGACCGGAGGTTCATATGGTTCAAATTGTAACCCAACCTCCGGGAGATCATCTTTCTTGCTGTTCTTTTTGCTTTTGTCGTTCTTGTCCTCTTCCTTTCCTTTTTCTTTGCCCAACCGCGTGGTCGGCATGTGGGTGCCTCTCCTGAGTATTGAACAACCACACGCATGGAAAACAGCTAAGTGGAAGTTCCATAAAGTTCCGGGAAAGAAACTGTACCATAAGTTCCATCATCTACTGTTTTTGGTGAGTTCTTGATGAGTTCCTAGTGTCTTGTGAGTCAATGCCTTGATGCTCTGAGCACTCTGAGCTTGTGACTCTTCCTCGCGCATTGCCATGTGCTCAGCATAGCGGTCCGTATTGTAGCCTTGCAGATTGCCTGGGAACCGAAGTTCCAACCATCCGTCGATATCCTCACAAGCACACGGGCAGACTTGAAACGAATGTGTTTCAGAAATTTTGAGAATCCTTCGCCTTCAGAGTTCACAGTCAAATATGTTCAAATCATCCCTTAAAATCATGTGAACGTTTTTGCGTGCTCTTCACAATGTGTAGTCATGACTCATGGCGAAAGCACACAAAAGATCGATAAAACACTTCCGGACACAAAAGATTGTAAGGTGTCATATGTCCCTTTTGTGGATATTTGTTTTGCCAGCAATCTCGGATCTTATAGCCTGAAAACATATTCGTAAAACACATTATGTATTGGCAGTGCAACCAAGCAGCATGGTCAAACGGGATATCGCCGATGCAAAACTCCACAAAGCCAATGGGGTCGATCAGTGTTGAGTTGTCACTGGAGTCAGAGTCATAGACGTGCAATCGGATGATGGATCTGTCAGCCACGATGTCAACAACTCTGCGCCGATCCTGCCATTTTGGATTGCGGTCGTTATTGATACACCTGGTGGAATACTTGAAGGTGTCGTCCACAAAGACCTTCACAAAACCGTCCGGCTCATCCCCTGGCAAATGAAAGTGATGCAACAAGTCAACAAGTCTATAGACATCTATGGGGACAACATAGGACAACATCCAGAATCCAGGCTATGCTATGCAGATTCTGCCATGCCATGCCATGGGATGTTAGCAGATTCCGCATGGTCTGTTCCTGGTGTCAACCTTGCTTCAAAAAAAACAAAACAGCAACAAGTCGCAATTCTTAGCAGGAATTCAGCAGCTGGGTGGGAGCACCTACATAGGATTCGAAGCCACTGGTCACTGAAGGGATTAGTTTGCGAGCTTCCACTATCTCCTCAGATCGAGCGCTTCACTTCTGATCCGCAGGCACTTCTGGAAGCGAGGCAGGCAACTTTGAATCGCTCAAGGTGCAAAGTCAAGGAATTGATGCCTTGTGTCATCTTTTGTCAGATTCCATCCACTTCTTGTGGTTGCTGCGCTGCAGCGACTTGAGTGGCATGCCATCTTTGTGCCGAAGAACACAACTTGGGTATGATATCTATCATGAACCAACTTGGAAGGAAAGAGGTTCACACGCAGCTTAATGCTGGCAAGTAACTACTTCCAACTGTGCAAACGGGCTGAGGCTGTAGTAGGCCTGAAGGAACCCTCCAAACAGAACACGCCAAAACCACCAGCAACCTGGTCATCTTACTTTAGCTGTAAACCACGTACACTTGCAAAATGGTAATATGATACATACATACAGACACTAGAACAGAACTGGATCATTGTACTGATCCATCGGGAACTCGATCCCATAACGTGCAATTAAACAAAATTATTGATGTAAGGAAGACCGCCATGTAGCTGTATCCTTTAAGATGAAGTTCCAATAATCGAGATCGTGAACAGAGACGTGAACACAAACTTCCCAAAACATAAGATCAACGCACAGAACCTTGACGACGAAGCCAGGACAGACAGTCATGGGTTCCTGGCCCCCTGCATTTACTGACAATATAGAAAATAGAAGTTTTACATCTGTTCAGATATTCCACACACACAGTGGATCGGGGGGCTGGAACCTTGGGAAAATCATCACATCAACCACATCATAATCACATCACATGCCAGATCATGCCAGGGGACAAAGTCTGGGGAGTGGAGGCACCGCCATTTGTTCGCTTCGAAGTCCTTGCGATCAAAACAAGGCATCGCAACAGCTCAGCCACCCAGAAGAACTGCAGTCGTGAATGGATATAGAGAAATTGTTTCCCAATGTTTCACATCATATTCGTTGAAGGTCGAAACGACAATGATATATAACTACTAGCAGCTAGCATTACTAGCCCACATCATTTTTGTGAGGTGGTGTTGTCCAGAAAAACCCGACCCGGCCACGAACTGAGTGGTCAAGTTTTGACCATTCGCCCAATGTGAATGTCCTCACCATTCTGGATCTTGTCAATAATCTTTTGTGTATCCTGTGAGAAAGAACTGCATGGGGAACCCGTCGCCACACAGTGGGCTGCTAGGCCGCAATTTGATGACATCGTGGATCACTTTCTGGCAAATTTCTATGCAGTATACAGTATGCACGTACATGCACCGTTTCAGACCATAACAACATCGATTGGACACAAATGACTCCTGTGCAGCCTTTGTATCTGGATCCTCCGTGCCTTGTTCCCTGACTTGGCAATCAAAGGCTGTGAAGCCTTGACGGTGCTCGCTTCTTTAGCTGTGCCTTCCTGGCAATTTTGATGCACACAGCCAGCCGAAAAACTGACCAGGAACCACCAGACCAATGTGAGATGGAACTGTAGAAACTGTAAAAACGGTAGTCGTTGCCATCCAGGCCCTGCTCATCTGAGCTCATCTGTCCTCCATCAACCTCTCACGCTCAGAAGCTTGGCGGCCCTGCCAGGCAGTCAACTGACCCGAGGCTGGCCCTAGAGTCCCTAGAGTCCCTAGACAAAGCGAATCGAGGACGCTGTGTTCATCCTTGCAGAAGCGGCAAAATCATTGAGGTCCTGAGCATCACTCTCCACTGCTTGAACAGTCCTTGCTGGAGCCTGAGCAAAGCTCTTCCGAATTCTTACTGACATTCAAGCTGAATGAATGCATCCCCAAACTTTACTGCTTTGCCGCTCCCTTCCAGCATCGTGCAGGCACAAATATATCGATATAGTTTTCTATTTTCTATATTGCACCTGTAGATACACAGATAACATATGATAACATCATATGATCAATGTCACAACTTGCACATGTCACAACTCCAACTTGGGCATGGACGTCTTTGCTGCTGCCGCCTTGGAGCAAACAGTTTAAGTGTAAGGATGTCAGCCAGGCCAAACCACAGTTTCAAAACAAACGCATGGAGGAAAAAAAATAGAAAAATCAAACAACCTTGGCAAAGCAGAGGTAAATTGCAGCTTCCATGTTTGGGCTTGTTTGGGTTCGTTCCTTTTTGTCTTGCTTTTGTTGATTCCTTTTTGATTTCGGTGATGTTCTTTTCACTTTTCTGGAAAGGGTAGCTGGCAAGCTGCTTTGTGACGCTGGCTAAGTGCTGACTCTGCAAGCCCTGGCGCATCTTTGGAACCCGGACATCCCATCTTTGAAGTGGCAGGATGCACGGCCCGCACGACTCAAACTACCCAAAGGAGGTGCTTGAGATAGGTGCTGCAGTGGCAAGCGTCAGTGCCCCAAGTGCCCCAAGTCTTCAACCATCTTCAACCATCTTCAACCATATTGGCTTGTCCACATGTCTCCCAAGAGTGTGCAAAACAGTGTTCTACATCATTTACACCTTCCGATGATGTTTTCGGTTCGTTGGAAGAACAATCAGTCAGAGCAATCATCGTATTGTAATATTTGGGATGTGGCCGTATCCTTTCAAAGACATCACAATATGATTGTTGCATATACATTGACATATACATATACACATACACATACATATACAATTATATATATACATATAATTTCATATAATAATCATAAATATATAGTGCGATATCCTGGTCGCTTGCAGGGTAGCGGCCGATACAGTATCTGTTGCCGGTGGTGAATCTCATGCACCAGGTTACTGCGATGCTCGGTCAAAGCAGCAACTTTTTCCCTGGGAAAATGATTTGCCTTGGAAGCCGCGCTGCCCCTGGCTGCCTGGCACTGGCACCACCCACGCTCAAATGCACAGCAATATGCAACAAAGCTGCAACATTGCGCCATGACTCCAGGGAGTGCGACCTTTAGCGCAGGCAACTGCACCACACCAAAGCACCATGGTACACTACTATGGCATTACTATGGCAACATATATGGCAACATGCTGTGACAATCTCTTCAGAATCTGTTCTGAACTTGGCCCTTGCTGGCTGGCAACCCCACCTGGCATGCTGCGTACCTGGGAAAAACAGCAAATAGAACTATAGAACTGGAAAACACAAACATTTCCGACTACGAAATCAACCTTGTTAGATGCGCCTCTGCGCTTGCGGAAGTGAGACTGCCCGCATTTTTGTTCAAAGTCACTCTGCAATTATACATATTATGCACGAAGACAGGTATATGATATGGCCATGTTGCAAACAATGTGTCCTCCACACGTATGCATGATTTTTCCGAACCAGAATTGAAAACATTTATGATCTTGTGTTTATGATCTTGTGTATCTATCTTTTGTATCTATCTTGTGTATCTATCTACCTATCTATCTATCTATCTACCTACCTACCTACCTACCTAATTATTTATATTATCCATCATAAGGCTATTTATTATTATCTATCATCATCTATTATTATCTATCTATCAATATCTATTATTATCTACCATTATCTATCATCATCTATCATTATCTATCACTATCTATCATTATTTATCATTATCTCTCTACCTCTATCTCTCTATCTCTCTCTCTCTCTCTCTCTCTGTCTCTCTACCCATCTATCTTTCTATCTTTCTATCTATCTATCTATCTCTCTATCTACCTCTCTATCTACCTCTCTATCTACGTCTCTATTTACCTCTCTATCCACCTCTCTATCTTTCTACCTCTCTTTCTTTCTACCTCTCTACCTTTCTACCTCTCTACTTTTCTACCTCTCTACCTTTCTACCTTTCTACCTTTCTAACTTTCTACCTTTCTACCTTTGTACCTCTCTACCTCTCTCTCTCTCTCTCTCTCTGTCTCTCTCTCTCTATCTATCTATCTACCTACCATTATCTACCTACCATTACCTACCATTTCCTACCATTACCTACCATTACCTACCATTAGCTACCATTACCTACCTACCTACCTACCTATCTATCTATCTATCTATCTATCTATCTATCTATCTATCTCTGTCTAGCTCTGTCTATCTCTGTCTATCTATCTCGCCATTTTCTTTTGTCGCCTTTGTACGTTTCAGCCTTCCACAGCCTAAAAACTATGTAACTATGCCTGGCCCTTCCAAATTGCGCATGCATTCTGCCTACGACTTCTGGGTCAACATGAATCACCTGTACTTTGTTGGAAGCCAAGCTGCTCTGACAGACTCGAATCACGGATGCTGCGCGCTTGAAAAGGCTTGATCAAGTTGCTATGTCCCAGGCATGGGAGCAGCTGATATCAAAGTGATCTGTATCCAACAAGTAGCTCTGACTGAGGCATTGAACGAATGGCATCAACTCTGCATTCAGGAAAAAGCTCTGGCAGGAAGCTGTCCCCGAGGCACCAAAGGTGCCATGCAGCAAATATCTGCGTGGCATGTTCTAAAGGATGTCTGGGTACCAGCCACAAATCCGCCCAACCTTCGGGGAATGGGTGCCATCACATCTAACGCATCTGCTTGCTTGCTTCGGCAGTCCAACGCCACCAAACCGCGAACTGGAGCCCCAAGTTGTTCCAAATGTTCTGCCAACATTCGGGACACCGAAACACCGAAGCTATGGCCGCAGAGGATGACACCTGTCTGAAACAACTGTGGACACTGAAAACAAACGGGCAAATGGGAAGACAGACTCACCTGCGCAAGAAAAGTTTCAACTGGACACCAGCACTGGAAGCTCCCTGGAATGCATTCAGCGATCTGGCGCATATTAACAGTGCTGTCATCAAGCCGAGCAGCGCCATTCAAAAAATCATTGAAGGCCCGAGCTGCATTCAACAGCCTCTGGTGCTACAAGTTTCTGGGACCAGGGTTGTCTCCTCCACCCGCTGTGGCTTCTAACGCATTGCGTCCAGCATACTTTGGCTTCATTCTTTTATATTCTTTTGAAGCCTTGAACCTCAGAAAAGAAAAGTCATTCTAAGGTACCTTGGGGTACCTTGGGGTACCTTGGGGTATCTAATGGTGTCCAAAGGTGTCTAAGGATGCGTCCAACGATGCTTGAGGCTTCAAGAATGGTGGCAACAGCCACAGGTGCAGGCAGTGAGCCGCTCCAAAAACCCGCCGGAGCTGCGGTGATCTACGGAGTTCTGCCGCGGATCATGTTGTCTTTTAGATGATGTCAAGCAAACATGGAAAACAAACCTAAATAAAGTGTGCGCTTTACAACAGCGGGTTGGAAATGAACCTCTAGTAGCGTAAATCCTTGGCTCCATGCTGCTGATAATTTCTAAAATCCTTTGCCTGCAGTGATGCCAGCGGGCTATGACTGACTGATTTTCAAGTTGCATGAATTCAGCCGAGAGCCGAGTCTGAGTTTGTCGGCGCCAAGATTACCAAGCGCCGTGTTTCTTAACAATTTACTTCTCAGACCACCATACTTGTACCACAGTTGCAGTCATTGCTTTCTGCGTCTCAACTCAAGGCCAAAGAGCCTGCCATTTGTTTCTCAAGTGCAAGTTCGATCTAACAGCAATGTCACCAATGATGTGACTTGGCGGTCACATAGTTTCGAACGCAATACGCCAACATGTGGCTTCACTGCATCTTATAATGCCGCAAGAAAAATGATCCTTTGGATGTCTCTGGCAAGCAGCTGACACTGACGTGTGACACGTTGGAGATTATCAGGTCAGAATAGCTTGGCTGACGCGGCCTATCCTTTTTTGCTGGGGGGCATGGATTCGTCGGCATACGTCCGTCCTCCCTTGTTTCGGCGCAGGGTTTTTTCCCTTCTAAGAAGGTTTTTCCCTGTGACGGTTTTGTTGGCTATTCCTCTTTTCCGTTGGTGCAGTCCGCCTCCAAATTGGAAGCCTGGGCGACGCACCAAGCGGACCTTTGCTGACATTGTGCTATCGTGAAGACTTTTTAGGATGTTTAGCACTTCAGGCATCATTGCAGGCTCCTGCCAACAGGTCCCGAATGTACAGCGCCTTTGTAGCACCTATTTTTGGAGGAGACCGCCTTAGTAATCTTTGCGGTGAAGGCATGTGAAAGTTTCTGCAACTTTAACAACCCCTCCAACCAGCTATCAGATCAGCTATCGATGACTGGGCCGCTGCCTCTGGTCACCAGTCAGTTGGCTCTGACACAAAGATCTTGCAAACTCAGATGTAACAGCCTCTGCCAAGCTACCTGCAAGTTGGGCTGTAAGGAGAAATTCGGCGGGTTACGTGCTCTTGGGTCGCCAGTCTTAAACCACGACCCCTTTTTCATAGGCTAGCGACAACTGGAAGCTTTGGGCTGCACACATGTTTTTACAAACCTGCTCGCTGGGCCTGGGCAGGAAATGGAATCCGATGTAAGGAGGTTTACAGTTCACTGGCACAAAGCTCAAACCAACGCCTGCGCTGCCAGCTCTTGATGTGGCGGGATGATCATCTCCAAAGTTGTGAAGTTCTCTGGGAGAGGCGTGTTTTTCTGGTCAAGTCATCTGCATGTGAAGTTGCTGGATTCTGGCAGACTATCTTTCACCTTCACACATCCATTAACATCCAAATGTGGATGTTCAACTCGTTGGCTCAAACTTTGGTCATGGAATGTGTGGAATATCTTAACTCATTCTGCAAATCCCGAAGTCCTTGCAGCCCTCAATGAAGCACTCTGCTGATTTAAGAAGCTCTACTGACTCAAATTGGCAAAAAAGGCTTTGGCCTAAGACTCTGCACCCAGCCAGCCCAGTCACGAGTCAAACACAAAAAGATCGCAGCGGGTCCACATCCAATGTGGCACGCTCTGCAGCTTCGTCAAGATCGGGTTTCGGGCGACACTTCAGGCGACGGTCCGCTGGAAGATTTGGAATGCGCCACTTGAAGGGCAACTCTTCAACCGCCTTAATCTGCAGCTTGCCCGGCTTAACCAGTCACGGCTAAGTTGGCCAATTCCAAGTTTCAAGACCTCTTAGACTTCGCAACATCATGAAGTCTTACGATTTTCGAATTCGCGGCCTTAAGATGAGACTATACTTGGCTTCGCTCCAGAAGGCTTGTTTCAAGTCAAAAGGTTTTGTGGGAATCGGCTGCGTGGGCTGGGTGTGGAGATGTTGGGTGCGGAGTACAGTGGCAAAATAATGCAAGATTTTTGGTTTTGAGCAGCTCTATGACATGGGCATCGGTATATCCCACTAAAAGGCACAAGCATGGTAAACCACCCTCCGACATCGATTGATTTCCGTATGCATTTCCCAGACTCCAACAGGGTGTAGATGCGAGGACACATGCGGAAGAAATTGTGTTACGACAAGCCCATTGCGATGGTCCGGAGCAGGCACGCGCCATGGCCACCAAGAGAATCCGTCCGAAACTGTTGCCACCAACTCTGGAAGGCGTGACTTACATGAACAATATCAAAATTCCAAGCACCTCGGAGCTTCCATGGGTCACAATGGCAGTTTCCAGAGTGACACATCTCCGTCCGAACAGACAGCAGAGGATTAATGCCCATGTGGCAACTGCAAAAGGGATCAAAAAGGAGAAAAGGAAACAAGAGTCTACAGTGTCTACAGAGTTCTTTCTTCATTGGGAGTGTTGGCACTGTGCCGAGTAATCACTAAACACTTCACACTGCTTAAGGCCTCCGCAGATTTTTTCTCTGCCACAAGCTGGAGGTATACCAGGTACAGGCATGATTACGTTGGAGATCGTTAGTGGCCACTGCAGACAACGGGAGAAGTTGCTGTTGGTGTTCTTTGGGGCGACCAAGTCGGCTTTGCTTCTACAACATGTCGCCATGAGAATTCTATGTCGACACATCAGAGACTGACGGCACCTGGACGTGGATACCAAAGTCTCCAAGATTCAGAGCCTTGACTGGACAGGTGAAATACGTTGCGGCGAGCGGATACTTTCAGGCCCGCTCTTTTGCAATGTTAAACTGAAACGGCCTGGGTGCCTTTAACTTTTATTGGAAAATGTGAAGAAAATAATCGGGTTAGGGGGAGGTGATACTTTCAGCAAAAGGAAGTTCTCAAGTTTACTTCCGACAAATTGTCTTTAAGTCACTTTTGGATACTGGGTTCATTCATAGGTCTTGGACAACGGGTCAGAGCCTCATCGTGAGGCTCTTCTCAAACTGTGAATGACGTGGTTGGACTGCTGTCTTCGGGGAACTCGCCAGCACATCAGCAACCAAGCTGGCCAAAGCGTAGTGCAGTTCACATCGAACGCACTATAGGCACTACAGGCTTTGTGGGAGCACAACTGGCCCCGCACGACAAGCTATGAACATGTTTGCCACGAGAATCCACGGTGCTCTGATCAAGCACGAATGCCAGGGGCAGCCTGGCAAATCAAGGTGAAGAAAATTGGAATGTCTTCCTGCACCGCTGCCACGGCTGGACGCAGTGACGTCAATTTGTGGAACATGTGCTGTCAGGCCTGCAGCTTGCAGTTTGCTTCGGCCTCCCTGATTTCAGGCTTGGGGAATATTGGGGACTAATTCGAGGCTTTCTGCAGAACAGTGGCAACACGATGCAACACGTGCTCATGTGGGCACTAAAAAATAAAGACAAGGCTGTTTCACAAATTGGGGGATTCTTGTATTTATATCTATGTTTTCTGTCTATGGCTCGTCCTCTTCCAGATCTTTGTCTGAGTCTACACCATTTACAAAGACACGGCAAGTCTTAGCCGGATGTCCCTGATGGCACAACTTGCCAAAACCAGAGATTGTCCTCGCTTATACTTTAGAGACCTAAGAGGCAAGGATACTGCCGCTGGCAAACACCTTCCGCTCCACTTGGCGGGAGACGAAACAATATGAAACTTCTTAAATATCTTACATGGCTTGAAGATGCTGTAGCATCAGTTCAATTATAAGGCAGGACTTGCCTAAGTATTGTGAGTTCAAATGATATGGCCGAGAGCTGGGTGCACTTACAGAACCAGTTGCTAACAGTCCTTCATATATCCTGAATATGAAGCTTCAAAAGCTGACCCTGGGCCCCATTTGTCCGATGAGGCATCTAGCTTAGTTTCTCCCAAGCATTCACTGGACATACCTGGTGGATGAACATCTCAGCCCACAGAGCGGCAAAACGTCGGGCCAAATGACGGACCAAGCATAGCAGGACGATTGGCAGTGAATCCGGGTCATACAGAGGACAGCAAAGGGACAGCTGACGACAGCTTCAAGAGACACTTCGTCTTACTGGTCCAGGTTCTGCAAGGAATTGAATCACGCTGTGCCGCTCGCACGCTCGGCTTGTTCTCTGGTCATGGCTGGTTTTGACACTGTCGGACCCTGCAGAAGGCAAAACAGAACACCTCTGCACCTGGCTAATACGCAGGTGAGAAGGATGGGATCACACGGCTTGGAGATCTGTAGCAAGTTTTGAATGTGTAGTGGAAACAGTGGATCCAAAACTCCGGGCAGGGTCAGCTGGGTATCGAAGTTTGAAGTGCACAGGGATGCGTGTGCTGTGCGGAAATGGGTTTAAAGAAGCAACGGGACAAAATTTCAACGAAACTCATCCACAAAGCTACAAGTTAAGGAGTGCAGCTCTACAAGCCATTGACCTTCAGTTAAACACTTAAACTATTGAACTTGAATCTGCGGAGTCAAGAAGCCATGCACAGTCACCATCAGAAGATGTCGGTTCCACACATACCTTCCACAAGTCGGCTGGGATTGACAAGCGGCAGCCAAGGATTCGACTGACGAGGGCCACAAATGCAGGGCCTAAGCGGCCCAGGCGGCCTAAGTGTTTCAATCTATGCTGCCACCAGGCCTGTCAGGCATCATCCCTGGCAAGTCGGCTTTGGCCCTTTGGCTTTCATGATGTGCAATGCCAGCTCACGCCATTTCACGCAGCTGACAGTTGCTGCTTGAGCCGACAACTTGATTCAACACAATGGAGTTGCTGTGTTCGTCATGTGATGGGCCCAGCCGCATGCCATTCCATGCCATTCCAACCCTCCCGAAGTGTGGAGCATCTGTGGAGAAAACAAACGCATTCTCAGGACATCTCAGCACAGCACCGGAAAATGTGTCCACTGTGCACTCTTCACCGACTCTTCACCGACTCTTCGCCCCTTTTTGGTCCTTTTTCCTCCAAGTCCACGCCCCACGAGCGCCAGGCTTGCCATGTCGATTTGACCAACTCCTCCAGCTCTGGTGGAGCTTGGATCAAAGCATCGCCTCTTGCCCACCTGTCGACGTCCAAAGGCACACCGTAGGACTGAAGCAGACCCTGATGATTTAATCATCTCGGTATCCAACTCATTTACTCATTTATATTTAATAAAATATTAATAAATGTGTTTAAACTGTTTCATGATATCATTTAATATCGTTTAATCCTAATTTGGCTGTTTAGCGCTCGCACATTTGAGCCCCCAGCAACTGCCATTCTCTTCGACGTGGCCTCAAAACGAGGTATGATATTATATGATATTATATGAAATTATGAAATTGCATGTCTGTAAATCGATGAAGCTTGACTTAAATCGGAGCGAGGATGACCAAACAAAGCAACATGTTTTATTGCAATCCAGCTCTATAGTACTTCGTAGGCTATTGGCTATTGCCAAGCCCTTTTTAACTCCTTTAGCATGCACTTTCAACGAGACTTACTTGAGTCTGAGTGAGGCTCTATCCAGCCAAAGCTTTCGGGTGGCTGCAAGCGGCTATTTGCCATGCTCAATCCATGAGAAAACTGAGAGCTCGACACATGCCGCGCCAGCTCGACTGGACGCCAAAGGTGGGAGCCCTTGAGGACCAAATGCCACCTGAATCAGACCGCAGCTACCATCAGCTAGACCCCAACATGTCAATTGTTCTCAATTTAAGTCATGTGCCTCTACTGCCTCTACTCTAATATACTATTAATATACTCTAATATCCTCTGTTTGTTGCATGTCTGCTAGTGCTCACCTCAGTGCATGTGTCTCAGGATGTCTCAGGTCGTCTCAGGTCAGGACGCACTCTGGTTGGCTAAAAATCTGGGGATCCATCCCGCCATTTCTCTCAAGTTGGTATTGTGGACCTGGAGCTGCAGAAACTGCAGAAGGCAGTTCAAAGGCGGCAACTTCGAATCATGTCAAAATCCAAGAAATATCAAGAAATCTAAGCGCCAACTGAGTAGCCAACAGCAATCCACTTGAGACCCGGGCAGGACCTGTGACGCGGGGCGCTTCAGACTTCAGCACAAGGGAAGTTGCTATTGCCTGAGGAGGAAACTGGAAAAGCACGGAGAACTCGGGAACGAAGGCCTGTCGCAAACACCATGGCCATATTCCCATGTGGCAGGCTGATGCTGCAAACATCTATACCAGCTATTACCAGCTTCGATATAAGGTGCTGGATGCTTTCTGCCAATCTGGAAGGGTCACGTGCAGCATCCATTGATGTGGTACTATGTGGTACTTCCCTTGTGCATTTCGCGCATTTCTTGCCTCCAAAGGGTCGATGAAGACAAATTCAATGCCACTGCCATTCATACATGGAGCTTGCCTCAAAATGGCTATCAATGCTATCCAATATGGGGGTTCTAGCCACCATCAATTCTTGTCAAGGCATTTTCAGTCTGTCTTGCTGGGGGACACCTCTTGAGACAGCATTTGGGAACCACGTGGAAAAATGCATGAAGTCAATCTATCCCAGAGTGCAGTTGTGTTCGGTGCGAAGCTGTTGCAGATATGGCATTGAACTTCGCGGTTTTCTACTATGTTCTCGTGATTCTCATGATCTTAAACTTTGACATACTTTAAATTGATCTTTAAATTTTAAACAGATTTAAACAGCATCAAAATCATCAAACAATTCCTCCAAATGGCAGCAGCACTTCCGAGGCCGTCCCATCCTTGGCGGCTCAGCAGCTCGGCAGCTCAACCGGCGACGTCGGCTGTCACCAGCTGAGGACCTGGCTCCTCGATCTGTGGCATGAGGAAAGGGAGGCGCCTTCACGTTGCCACACGTTGCCACATTGCCACACATTTGGCACAAACGCATCTCACAGATTCTCACAGCATCTCACAACAATGGCAATGAACTGGCTCTTTTCTGCGTGTTTGTGTGTCATTTGTGTGTCATTGTGTATGTTTGGGGTTGAAGAATGTTGAAGATATTTATCTCATCAGATCTCATCAGCATTGCCATCAGATCGCATCAAGATGTTGTGGCACGTTGTGGGCATCTGGTGATATCTGGTGCATCTGGTGGAGGAATGGCATGTGTCGGAGGCTGGGCGCCTCGGCCACCACCACTGCGCGCACGGCTGCTTCCCCATTGCCAGACTTGGCCTCGTCACTTGTCACTTGGCCCAACGATCAAAGCAATGATCACCAGGATGGATCCACAACTTGGCTCACTTTTTTAAGTTTCTGATGGTTTCTGATGAAAGGCCAACTCCACCCCTCCCGTTGTCTCTCCACACCTCCTCTAGCAAAGCTTCCTGGGCTGCTGCACCCTCCCACGCTGGAGGCGTTACCTCAGACACGTGTCTTTGCAGCAGGTCGTGAAGGAGAGACGCTAATTATGCTCTTTCATTGTATTTTTTCTGCTCAGTCACTCTGTGCGCATGCGCAGATCGCATGGAGGGAGAGGGAGGGAGGAGAGGGACACGGATAGTTGATGCGAAAGCAATGATGGATGTGCGAGGAATCTTTCATATTACAGACAGCTGACAAAAGGCAAGAGGCTCTCATTCACATCCACGTCTCGCAGGTCCAAAGCTGTATCAAGATATAACACCTGATATAATAATATCAAGATATCTTAAGATGTAGCCAAGATGTAGCCAAGATGTAGCCAAGATGTAGCCAAGTTGCTAAAACAGCATCTGCCCCCGCAGCCTGCCATGCAAATTGTCTCCAACTCAAACTCTATCAGTCTCGCAATATCTCGCCATGAGCTGCTGGGCCATGCTGGGCCTGGAGGTTCTTGGTCGCCTCCAAGGCCCAGTTCCGTTGTGCTTCCCAGGTCCACAGCAAAGCTTGGTGGCTGCGGCCCGGCTTCACTGCCATGCCATGAGCCATCAGAGACGCACTGCCACCTGACAGGGGCCTTGCTGGGCAACCTGGGATCACTGGGATCACAGGGATCACCAACAAAATCATACAAAATCCATCACAGTCCTAAAAACATGTCATTCTCAGACCATTTCACATCATTGTGAACATAACCGCCTGATACACAACCACCTCATAGATTGCACTGGAAATATCTCATAATGAGTTGCGCGTTCTTGGACATCCCTGGAAGATCTTAAGTCACTAGCGTATTTGCGATGAAGAGGCCTGCCTGCCTGTGTGTGCATAGAAGTCAGCTGCAACACTGACCTATCATTCAGTACCATGTGCCATTGCAATTGTCACGAAGCGTCACAACATGTCACAACGGCCAATCAATGCATCATGGTTGTGGCCAAGTTGTGGCTGTGATGCAAGGGACACGCAGAGTCTCCAAGGCGGGAGCTGTTGAAGCCACGCACCACAAGACGCGGCCCAAACGCAGTGTGCGACCAAGTTGTCCGGTGCTGCTTGGCAGCAAAGGACAGTTGCAGCGCTCATCCACCCGTCCAGTCTGCCGACAAAATGCAACAAACATCGACAACCGGCATTGAACATCATTTGATATATTTTGATATATTGAATTAGGACCATGATATGCCTTGATATGCCTAAATACGCCTCGATGTGGTTTGAAAAGCCCACACCTCTGGCAGGGCGTTGCAGCTGCAGGATTTGTCGGCACAACCACGAAGCCAAGATGCCCAGTTGGCGACGGATGACGCATCCGCCCTCAGTCTGGCAATGACAAAGTTGCACCAGCTGCACAGCCTATCCACTGTCGACAGTCCACAAGGTGAATCAGATGTCCGAGCCAAATCCAAGTGAGAAAGTGTGGGTTTTTTCCGATTTGGAATCAGGAACATAATCTTGCTAAAAATCGACATTGCTAGTAATGGTTACTTTATATATATATATATACTATATCAAAAATTAAGACTATATTACACTATACTATGCCATACAACAGCATACCATACAAGAGCCTATCAAGACCTACTCAGATCCAGGGTTCACTATGGACCTCTCAGTTCGCAACGGACCAACGCTCTGTACTTTGGAAGCAGCTTCCAAGCTCAGCCGCCAGTGGCGATGCCGCAGCTCTGCATAGAATAAGCCCATGTCGCCACGAAGCCTGGTGCTAAACGTAGGCAATTGGGGTGAATGGAGGGAATGGGATGATTGATAATATGTTAATAGATATTAATTGTTAATAGTTATGGATTGGATCATTCCCCCTTTCCCTACTAAGCACCAGTCAGATAAAGCATGAGATTTCATGCTGCTGATGATGGTGCCGCTGATTTTTCTAGAGGTCTGATGACAGAAAATTCTGGAAAAACCCCTCTGAATTGCCGTCCGGACATAATATGTCTGACAAAACACTAGGCTAATGATGTTCTGCCAAGGTGACCAAGGTTCATCGTCACCATTGCCTTCATCCTACAAGCCTCTTTCAGCCCACCTGAATAGCAATGCTTCATCTTCCGCCGATACATGTAACCATCGGCAAAGAAGGAGCACTTTGGCTGCCTTCCCCATGGGTCGGCGCGTTCGCCATGTTACGGTGTGGTCTTTATTGGCATGCGCAAAATCTGCGAAACATGAAATTTTGACACATCTTTGAGATCAAAATCTCATTCTGGTTGATGTCTCAAGATGTGTCAAGCGCTGAGGCGTTTCAGCCCGACTTTGTGCTTCGTTTTCGGCCCAGGCCACCCTGGCCCAAATGTGAGACTGTTAGATACATCAGGCGCAAGGGGTGCATGACAGGTACGTGTGAGATCGTGTGAGTTAATTACGCGGTGCAGTGTCGTCATATGTCGTGATGTTGTGCCATGTCTGATGTCATGTCTTGCAGGGCCCTAAAGGCTGGTGAGTTCCAGGTGCCTGAGATTTCCCAAGTCTTCAATAATCTGTCCATTTCTTTCCAGTCTTTCACACTTTATTTCAGGGCGGCTTTGAGATCACGAGACGGTGAACATATTTGGATATGCTAAAAATTGCTAAAATATCAATGATGAATGGTGTATGCTGGTCTGCAACATGGGTGCCTTTTCCAAAAAGCAGAGCGTTCCAAAGGCCAGCCACTGTGGCGCTAATTGGTCAGATTCAGCCTGCAAGACCAGAATTCAAAGGCCAGGAAAAGCTCCAGTTTTCCTGATTCCGGGTCTTGAGTCTTCATTGGACACTGATTCAATCGGTCAAATGATCAAGTGTCCTACTGTAATGCCCTTGAGTTTCAGCCTTGCAAGCTGAACGAATGAAGAAAGAAGTGAGCAAACTAGTCAATGAACTCAATAGGCTCACTCGCCTGGAAGCAATGCACACTGAGCACAGTGCTGAAGTGCGTCTAAAGTCTTCAAGAACATACGTGATTCATCATGCCAATATATGCCAATGATTGAGAAGGGGAGTGTTGGCTGGAGATACCGGATTTCGCAGGGTATCTCTTCGCACATGCTCATTAAACACTATGCTTTTAAGGTGAAACAATCGGCTCTTGAGAATCGTCCTTCTCACGACTTCGTCGCCAGCCACCACTCTTTTCTGCACGGAACAACCGGCTTCCTACATTGTCCAACCTTTGAAACGACATCATGCTTTTGAAACTGCTGTCAGGATGGCATCCCACATCATTTCCTTGCCAAGCTTGAAGTTGAGATTCCGAAGCAGTGGCAACTGGGCCCTGGTACCTTTGGAACCTTGGAGCCATAAGGTTGATGGAACTGAGTGAATCAGCGCTGGCACTGAAGCACTGGAGTTCTGCCTCTTGTGGGCTATGAAATGTCGAGACTTGCTGCTCTGTCGCCACTGCTAGATACAGCGTGGAAACAATGTCTTGTTCTGTGTAGTTCAAAGATGTTCAAAGTGTTCATCAAGATCATGTCAGTGTCAGTGTGCATGAGAAGATATGAGAAGATATGAGAAGAAGGGTTGCTCTCGGTCAATTCACTCCGACATCCTGAGACTATGCAGGAAGCTACCAGGGTTTTCCAGGTTTAGGAGACAGAGACCTAAGCGAGCGGCGAAAGCTGTGACTGGTGGCTGTGCAAGCTTTCTCTTGCACCACCAGACCCAGCGCCGCCAGTTCCCAGCGAAGCTCCGGGGAAAATGATGTCAGCCACAAGCTGCACAAATCTGCACAGTAAAAAGGGAGCTGACTACTTTTGGCTCCGCCAATCCTCGTGCCTTTGTGACCCCTCTGGCAACATCCAAGTTGGGTCCTGTAAGCAGAAAGCGTCAGAGACAATCCCATTAGATGCATTCCATTGCATCCCAATATATTCTAATTATATAATATAATATAATATAATATGATATAATATAATATATATATGATATATATATATACGTATATCCCAATCTGTCATACAGCTTTCAGCTTCCCGCAAAGCTGCAGCTCATGTCTGTTTCATATCGTTTTTTTATCATTTCCAGCGCCTTCCAGAACTGCCCACCGTCTCCTCTTGGAGGATCAGTAGCGACATACTTCGATGTCCAGCTTTTCGCCCTGGACCTGCATGCGAGAACTACGACCAGCATCACTTGGCGTCGGACGATCGTAAAAAATGAGCACTGCATGGCACTGCAGAACTCAGTTTCAAACGGCCGCAATCTTCATCTTGGCCATTAGCTCAGCAGGATCTCAGTAAACCAACGAGCGCTTGAGATGCACTCAAAGCAACAAGAGCACTAGTAGACATATTACACATTCAATCATATTCATACAAAACCTTGAAATGAGCTGCTGACTTCCCTGGCAGCCATTCACTGTAATGACACGGTCTCGCCGCTTAATTCCCATACCTTCAAGGTCGTGGAACGTCCAAAAGGCACAAATCATGCAAGTCACTGATGCTGCCGCCTACAAGAAACCAAGACATGTCAGACCCTAAACCGGCTATATGTAATGTAACCGGCTTGAACAACACATAGCACTACCGTACCCTATATCCTACATATTCCTACATATTATCCTACCAGATCATCCAGATCTACCGATCTCAAGGATTTCGTTTCCCTGTTCCTCTGCCTCGATGTGACAGATTCCAGTCCTTGATGAGGCCAGGGTTGACCTCAAAGCATTGGGACATGCAGATCCATAGCGATGGCACAAAAACATACAAAAACGCACAGAATATCAAGATATATCAAGGAAATTCAAAGGACATCACATTGGACTTGAGGCCAAGGGGTGAACGAAAGCTAAGGTTCCTTTGAGTTTGGAAACATGATGGGGCGATATGGTGAGGACATATGGTCGAGAGCAACTATATCCGCAGAAGGTTGGGACAAACAAACCTGAGCTAGAGAGTTAAAGAGTGACCTCAGAACGCCCCTGGCAGGATTTGAGCCCATGCGGAGCTTGTGGGGGAGGGGGGCTGGGGAGGTCAAGTGAAAAAATCACTGTGTCGGACACAGACCTGCCTCCTCCCCTTGCTGAAGCAAGAGTAAACTCCAGCTAGCTACCTCTAGCTTTCGTGATATCATTGGATCAACTTGGTGCCCGGCTGTCTTCACCAAAAGGCTTGTTCCTCGGACAAAGGAGGCTGTTTTCCCTAGGTCGAAAAAATGTGCGAAAATTGTTTAACGCCAACATGGCACCAACATGGCAGGCTCGTCAATGAAGGAATGCTGAGTGTGTGGCCATTTGGAGCATGCTCAACCTGGAGCCCCAGCCTGAAAGGGTCCAAACGTCCAACAGCCCAAGCGCAAATGTTGAGGAGCGGATGCCATCTACGGGTGGCTCAGGAGCCAGCGGGGCATAAGCTCTGGCAATGCTAATGCTGAAGGTCTTAGAAGGCAGTAGGCGTGGGCTGAGTTGCTTCCATGGCCCCCCGTTGTCATCTGCCAATTGTATCCAATTGTCATGGCATTGCCGCGACATGCCGCGACCAAGGACTCTAAGATACTCTAAGCCACTCACGACCGGCCGCTTCAGCGTCACTGTCAGTTCCTGAGTCCCGGATTTGGATTGACCAATCCTGGGCCAATCCTGGGGCCATCCCCATTTGCTTCACAAGCACTGCTGGCAAGTGGCAGTGTCAACCTTGAGGTGTTCTAATAAGCCCTGGCAGTGTTGCCGAAACTTTGGCAGTGCGCTATGGAAGCGCACTGCTATCGAATCGGATTCTATCAGGTAGCGGTTTAAAAGGATTGATTGAAATCAATGTCACCTTGGGATCTTCAGGAGCATAGATTATTATCTGATATCATCTTATATCATCTTATATCTATGTCACCAGTCACTCTATGTCTGTGGGTTCTCATCTCTCAGAGGCAGGTATGAAGCATGCTGAATTCGCTCTCTGCCGTGGCCTGTGAACTTCCCCTAGCACCGTTGACTTCCACGATGCTATCACCATTCCTCGGCATGATGCGGGACTGAATTGCTGATTCTACCTGTAGCCTGAGAGTGATACAACACTGTCCGGATCGAACATGGCTCACTTCTATGGAGAACATTGGGGAACTGCGATATACTGCGATTCGCTGCGTCTTTTTTTATCGCTCTTTCGGCTGCGGTTTCTCAACGACTTTGCTCGGCTACGCCACGGCATCGCCTGGATATCTCACATCTCAGGTCCTCATCTCCACACGCATCAACTCACCACGCTTTCGTCGAGACCCATCTCCGCCCTCCAGAGTCCTAGCAGCCCTAGAGGCTCGCATTTGCCCTTGGAGCAGCTCCTTCCCTGGCACATCAAGCTGGTGGTACCACAGGTACTGTATGGTAACGGTACCAATCTCGCAGCCGCTGAGGAGTGGCACCCAAATACCATGCTATGATGATTCCGGAGTTCCTCGGCAACGGTCGACTGGAAACTCCCTCGAGTTTTTAAATGGCTTGTGTCTGGGTTCAGAGGCTTCATCTGTCCTGATTTTCCTGCATTGTCTCTCCATCTCCATTTGTTTTTTGTACTGATCGGGCTGAGACGAAGATGTTTAGACAAGGTTAGAGTATGTTCAAACAAGATATGACAAGGTTCGATGTAGTTTGGAAGTTTCTGCATATTTTTATGGATAGGTTTACCATGGTTTACCATGGTTTACCATGGTTTACCATGGTTTACTTATGTTTACTTGACTTTTTGCGCAGCAAAGTCTCAGCAGTTGCTGTCGCAAAGGCCCCACTTCCAACATCCGCCGCGCCGAGGTGGTCACCGCCGAGGGGATGAAGTGAAACGCCGTGGCGCCAAGCCTGGTAAGTCGCATGACCTCAGATCACCATAGATCACCATCTGGATCACCATAGATCACCGAGATATCCATGGTATCACCATGGTATCTACCCATGATCTACCCATGATGGTATACCCATGTCCAGGGTGATCCGTTGTGTGATCCCATGCCAGATCTGAGGCCACCACGAAATCCACATCTTCCAAAATGGGCCATTCACTGGCAGAGACAGTCACAGCAATGTCAAGCAGTGTCCAGCATTGTCAAATGGCTGATAGAAAGTGAAACAAAACCTGTTGAGACATTGGCTGCCCAGCCTGTAGCCATTCAGCTGCTCAAAGGCAGTGCGTCGCACGAAAATCCCTCGGTCTCCGAAAACCAAACGTGTCGATCTGAAGCATTCCACCCGCGTGAACCAACCTTGGGCAACTTGGGCAAATTCAACGAATTTGTGACGACATGATGGAAGACTTTCGGATGGCATTCATAATGTCAATATATGTCAATGGTCCCTGCTGTACCATTCAGAATCTAGACTCTAATCTAGACATATCTAGACGATTTAGGACAGGCCACGCAATGCCACGCATCAAAACTGTTCCAAGGAACTCCAGAGCTGGAGGGTCCAACTTTGGTCCTCCTCGTGAAATCTCAGCTCAAAACAGCCACCCATGACACGTGTATCAGAAAGCGCGGCCTGGCCAGTCTGGGATAGCAGTGGACAGTGGAGCCACGATGAGCCACGGCTCATTGTGAGACAAGCCGTGTCCGACCCCATCACTGCGAGCTTTGAGAAAACAGTTGCTGGATATGGCATGATATGGCTGGCCTGAATTGCTGCAATTGCACCCTCGGGTAAATCTGTGTCAGCATGCAGGAATAGCAGAACGGAAGCCTGAAGCGAGCAGAATTGAGGATTCTACATCAAGTCTCACATCATGTTGCAATACGTTACGCCCAAAAGACTGACAACAGGACTTGCGTTGTGGGGAAATGATTCGACATGTGAAATGAGTTGATGCCCAGGTGGGCCAAACTTGCTTCATTGGATTCATCCATCATCCTACAGATCCATAGATGCTACTGTGTACCGCTTGAAACGGGCCATGGCCCACCTTGGTCGCCCTGGCTCCCGTATTCATCTGCACAGCACGGCCACGTGAAGAGGCCAAGACTTGGGCGCCACATTCGGCCGCAACTTCTGAGGTCCGATCCTCCGTCGCAGCTGCAACTTGTGGATACCAATATGATGTCTATATGACATCCAATGACCTCGCCTGATCATCCATGATAATTACCTGCTGACAACTCATGGCAACTAGCCATATCTTGTGACTTATGATAGCTTGTCACATGTAATAAACAATTTTGGAAGGTGGATACGGATACCAGCTTTTTATATTAATATATATATGTATATATATATATATACACAATTATATAGTTATATATTTATTTATATCATGTTCGCTGTGGATATCTGCTGGCCAAGTTTCAGCTGACCCGGGATCCACCACCACAACCTCGCTTGGTGATGGCGTCTGGCTAAAAATGCTCTGCAAAGTCTTGGGCAAACTCTTCTCCTGCCATGTGAGGGGATGCAACACTGAACCCATCGGATTCTGCCAACGCAGGTCATATCAGTGCCCGTTAGCGTCGGCCACTGGATAGTCCAATCGCATTGGAAAATCTGCAGGAAACTCCTGAAGAATACTTGGGGCTAAAAACCGGCTGGTGTCCGGCTTCATCTTTCCCTTCAACACAACCTGTGGATCGTATCATGATGGATCTGGTTTACATCTCACGGCCAGATTCCTTTTTGCACCGCATGATCTGTTGGCAATTCATCGCCTTAAAAAAAAAAAAAAAACTTGAAATGAGCAGTACCCAAGACCCGCATCCCTTCCTACTCCTTGTTTGAGCTATCAATCACGCAGCTCGTAGATTTTCCATACACGAGCAATACATGCGCATGATTGTGCATGATATCTCCATTTTAGCGTTGAAGAATTACGTCATATTCCATGTCTTTCACCATCAAACGACATCAACCGGGTCTTGGGATATCTCGGTTGATCGTCTTCCGTCATGCTTAATGAAACTGTCACGCCAGGCACTTCCGTCCGAAGCTGTACAGATCTGTACAGTGAAGGATGTGAAACAAACTATTTGAGCACGTTTGAGCCATGAAACCTCTGCCCCGTTTTTCCATTGGACTGTTGATTGGTAGATATCCTGTATCATTATGGGCTACCCGGGTTACCCCTATAACGACCCATCAACAGGGGTATGTTTTATGGCTCATTGGTCCACCAGAACACGATTGATCGGAGACAGATTCTTAATTCCAATCACCTCCCGGTGATCAATCTCAAAGATACCTGCGCAACAGGACTCCCGAAATCCCGGAGCAAACTGCTGACAAAAAGTGCATCTGCCGCAAGAGAGCACTTTGCGACAAGGTTACACCATGCACAATGAAGCCCGCAGCACTGTCGGAAATGTACCGTACGAGGTACTGACGGTCAGTATCAGCTCCATCACTAAGCATGCTGAGCTGATTGACAAAGGCCGGGATTTGCCTGCAGCGTTCACTCAGAGATGCGCCTTGGGCAAAGAGGCGCGCGGCCAAGTAGAAGAGGTAAAGAAGAGGAAGCAGACTGGACTCGTACAGGAGGACCATCCAAACTTCCAGACCATCATCTAGCAGCAGAGTGAAAGAGCCTGTGATGGCAACAAAGAAGCCTACATAGCCGAGAAGGTTCAATGAAATGAAGCACGGTGTGATTTCTCTCCCAACGCACTTTAGCAATGCTTGCAAAGAGTTCCAACTCTGGATACCACTGATGAAGTCCTGATTCTCTACGATGTCTGCACACCAGCAATCCAGCGTCTTCCCCAGGTCCAGAAGCAGATTGAACTGTACGTACGCTCCGTTCATGACCACTGCACTAGAGATTGCAAATAGTGAACAACTTGCGATGGCTTGGAGAATACAGAGCCACCTGGGCAATCTGGTTTCAAGCCTGGAAAAACCGATGTAAACCGATGTATCTTCTAGAAAGGCCCTTTTTAGGATCCAGGAAACAAGATTAAAGTTGGATGCCAAATAAATCGTGGATGGACCATGAAAACATTGCAAACCACAAGCCAGCCACGAACCGTGGGTGAAGTGACCTTCTTCATCTGGTGTAATCTCAAGAAGCACCTGCTGGACAATGAATTCCAGCAAAACCTTGGAAAGATTTGGAAAATGTTGGAAAGTTGCTTCACTTGAACTCTGGATTGACACATATCACGAGTAAGCCGGACGAATAAACCCCTGGCTGTTAATTGGGGTGGTACCATTTAAGTATCTGGTTAACCATTTGGGGAATCATCACAAATCCGTGTCAAAAGTGTCCTCCGCCCCCCCCAAAAAAAAAGTTAGAACATGTTCTTGGTGGGCCCACTGAGGGAAGAACAAAAGATCGGCAAATCCAAGACACAAAAGCCCACAAAAAGGTGAAATGGCACAAATGTTTCTTCGCCACACTGGCCCAGTCCAGTCCATGGCCACAGTCCTGCACAAACTCGTCCTGGTGGCTTCAACGGTGGGATACAGAAATTAGCAAGTCTAAAGTAGAATCATCCCCGAAACTACAATGATCCCGAAGATAGAAGGGCAAGTTATCACTGTTTTGGTAGGACTTTTCTTCTTCTTGGTGGTTGCTACAGCTTGAACATCCACGATGGATGGAAATCTCATAAAGTACCACTCGATGATAAGATTGATAAGCGATCAGACAATACTGGCTAATGGAAAATAAACATGGTACCTACATGCAGCTATGGATTGGAAATAAAAAGTGTTTGAATCCATCAAGCAGAAATCCAGTTTTTGCAGCGCCATGTTGAGGTCGGCTGAACGGAGCGAACGCTTCACCAGTTGCAGCAAGAGAATGGCCACGATGCTGAACAGTATCAGCGACAAAGCTTTCCATTGCTCTCCCGCTGGCTGCAAGTCCAAGATGTACAAAGTCACTGTTGGCACCAAGTAGCAGAGACTCATCATGACAATGCTGAAGGTGGTGAACTTGCTCCAACTCAGCCATAGACTTACTCCAATGTTGTCCACAAGGATCGTGCAAACTAATCCTTTACGAGCTGTGCAGGTAAGGATGCCTGAGAATCTCGAGCCAGGTGCTTAAAAGCTGACCCCCTCCTCCTCAACAAAGAGCCCTGTGAAGTGAAGCGTTGTGTAGCCGGAAGCTCTAGAGGTTTCCCCCCTGGATCCTTTGGCCGAGGGACCTCTGGTACAACCGGATGCCGTCCAGCTGAGGATTCTGGAGTTTTGGCGCCTTTCTGTGGGGTGTGCAGCATCATCCTCTCCAAGTCATAGAGATCAGGAATGCCTGACTCAACGCGGCCAGGGAGGTGACTTGTCAAACCCTGTCTGGGGATCACCGTCCTCACTGTCCTGACCACGATCGTGCTGGTCATCCGGATCCCCTGCCGGTGAGTCCGACGATGCTGCCGGCTCTGTCAGCGGCTCTGTTTGGGTGGCCTCGGTGGATCCAGTTGCTCCGGATCCAAGGCGTGTCTGGTCCATCAGCTTCTGAAGGTACAACAGAAGCTGCTCTTTGGTTTCCATCTGTTCAGCTCGAAGCTCCTTTATTTCACTCCGAAGCTCTTCAAGTGCAACACACCAAGCTGGACCAGTTTGCTCTACACTCTCTTGTTGACGTGCCGACATTTGCCGGGCCAAGATGAGCTGAGATGCGCAATTCAGAATTGTGAAACAGCAGCATGCTTGAACCGAAATGGATTCCAAACTGAATTCGAAGAAAATGGCTGGAACCCTCAAAAAGCTCCAACTTGTGCAGATGATGCAGGAATATCAGGAAATCCCAGGAAATTTGGTAGGGTAGTTGGTGGCAGTGAGGCATGGTGAGGCCACTCATTTTTTTGCGTCCAAGTGCCAGGCCTCATTCATGGCAGGAATGACCACTGCCACATCCGCCGCCATGGCTGCGGCTGCAACTCCCAAAGGTTTGAGCCAACTGATGTGGCCATCTGAAAGGATCCACAAAGACTTACGGTGATTTTAAGTGCGCAATTTTGCAGTTGCAAACTGTAGAATGTAAACACATGTAAAACTTGAAACAAATCTTAAGATAACCAAAGTAAAGGTGAGATATGCTGAGATGTTGGCTGAAGCATCATGTCTTCATCCTCCTGTTGCTCGTTGTAGGCACCTCATTGAAGCGATTGAAAGAAAGCAGCACTTTAGGAAGATACCGATCACATACGATCACATACTGCCACGTTTGTAGCAGTGTAGCTCATTTTGTCCGGCATATTCCGGCATCTAGGTTTGACTGAGTTGCAAACGCACCGGCCCCATCTGAGCGATCGCAACACAGGGACCAAACAAAGATTGTGACTGACTACTTGGATCCCTTGAAACATCCACTGAAACCAATTTGGATTGATGCCTTGATGGCACTGATGATCAACGTCTGCCCATCAAGTGCATCCAGGTTGAGGCCCAAGGATGAACCATGGGCCTGGGAAAGCCGAGCGTCTCATCCAATGATCAGCGTTACCGGTTAACATCGGTTAACCATACGCAACATGTCCAAATCCAGGCACTGGCAGACTGGTAGAAGCCGAGGCGTGGGCCCTCTCTATCTGCACTGTGAACTCGGGATTGGTCCTTGGCAGCTTTTGGGCTGAAGATGGCAGAAGACTCTCTATCAGCGCTGTGAACTCGAAAACCATAGATAGATATTGTTACTGATCAAAGGAAGTTTAAAGGTCAAACTTCCGACAATATGGCCAGATGGATAAGCAGAGGTGGGAAGAGTCAGAGAAGAGAAGAGAAGATCAGAGAAGAGAAAGAGTCAGAAGAAAGAAGATGCAGGTGCGCGAAGGTAGCAAAGTCGCGATTCACAGTGTTTTTTCTAATGATTTGTGGCTCCGGAGGGTCGAAACATAGGCTCGCTAAAGCGGCGGGTGCGGAGCCATGCGGCCAGATGCGAGATGAAAAATTGCACGCCATTGTGGCACGAAGCACATTTGGAAGTCAAAATGTACGAAACACACCGGGTTCGGACCACTTTTGGAAGTTGAGACGTCGAAAAAGTGCACGCCGTTGTGGTGCGAAGCACATTTCGAAATCAAAAGTGCAAAAAACTGACAGGTTCGGAGCACTTTTGGACGGTTCTGCCTGGCAGGCACAAGGGATTATGCACCTTGCCAAAACTGAGCAAAACGTGATGGTTTTGTAGCGTGTCCAAAACCGACGGCAGGCGTGGGACATTTGGAGAGGATCTGGCATCAGATCTTCAGGTTTGCTAAGATGATTTTGCGTGACAGGTGCAGCGCTTCGTGTGGCCTGGCATCACTTTTTCCTGGCAGGCGCAGTACTTTTTAGACAGGTGGAGTGGAATAATCACAAAACAAATTGGTACGAGGCCGTCACCTCTGCACTCAACTTTCCATTTAAGAACGTCTCGCAGAATTGCTTCGTTTTTGACGTTGTCAAGTGCAAAAATTGAGGAAGTCTCGCAGAATTGCTGCGTTTTTGATATTGTCAAGTTCAAAAACTGAGGAAGTCTCGCAGGGTAGCTTCAATTCAAACTTGCAGATAGACAGATAGACAGACAGACAGACAGATAGATAGATAGATAGACTACAACTGCAACTACAACTGCAGTACACTAAACAAACATGCTACGCTACAATACACTATTTACACCACACTACGCCAATTACACTACACTACACTAATTAGAATACACTACGCTAACTACACTACAACTATAACTACAACTACAATTACTACCAGTAGTACCGCACAAGGCGGTGGCGGAAGTGTCAAAAATAGGAAACCTATAGGAGAGGTTGGTTGTTGTGAGTCACGGATGGCAGAGCGAAGCCATTGATGGACAAACAGGTGGTCGAGGTCTCTTCTCTTTCTCTCTCTTTCTTTCTCTTTCTCTGACTATCTACCTACCTACCTACCTATCTATCTATCTATCTGTCTATCTATCTGTCTATCTATCTATCTATCTACCTATCTATCTACCTATCTATCTATCTATCTATCCATCGATCGATCTATCTATCTCTCTCTCTCTCTGTCTGTCTGTCTATCTAATCTAATCTAATCTAATCCTAATCCTAATCCTAATCCTAATCTAATCTAATCTAATTTATCTATCTATCCATCTATCTATCTATCTCATCTGTCTATCTAACTATCTATCTGTCTATCTGCAATTGTGCAAAAGAAGCTATTCTGCGAGACTTCCTCAGTTTTTGAACTTGACAACATCAAACACGTGGCAATTCAGCGAGACTTCCTCAATTTTTGCACTTGACAACGTCAAAAACGAAGCAATTCTGCGAGACGTTCTTAAATGGAAAGTTGAGTGCAGAGGTGACGGCCTCGTACCAATTTGTTTTGTGATTATCCCACTCCACCTGTCTAAAAAGTACTGCGCCTGCCAGGAAAAAGTGATGCCAGGTCATACGAAGTGCTGCACCTGTCACGCAAAATCATGTTCCCAAAACTGAAGATCTAATGCTGCAAAATGCAACCCCTCTCAGGAAAAGGAGCGCCCGGACCTCCTAACAGCTCTGATGAACATGTCTCTTGTACATCTTGTACTGCGCCTGCCACGGAAAATGCATCTTTGCAGATCCTCTTCAAATGTCCCACGCCTGCCATCGTTTTTGGAAATGCAACAACACCCTCACGTTTTGCTCACTTTTGACAAGGTCCGCAATCCCTTGCGCCTGCCAGGCGAAACAACATCTGAACGTCCAAAAGTGGTCCGAAGCCCGGGTGTTTTTCACATTTTAACTGCGAAATGTGCTTCGCACCACAACGGCGTGAACTTTTTCGACATCTCAGCTTCCAACAGTGGTCCGAACCCATGGTGTTTTCACAGTTTGACTTCGAAATGTGCTTCGTGTCACAACGGCGTGCAATTTTTCATCTCTCATCTGGCCAGCTGGGCTCCGCACCCGCCGCTTTAGCGAGCCTACTTTTCGACCCTCTGGAGCCACAAATCACTGGAAAAACAGTGTTTCGTGACTTTCCTACCTTTTCGCGCACCTGCATCTTCTTTCTTCTTACTCTTTCTCTTCTCTGATCTTCTCTCTTCTGCTCTTCTCTTCTCTATTCTTCTGCTCCACCTCTGCGTTTCATCTGTCCATATTGTCGGAAGTTTGACTTCTAAACTTCCTTCGGTTACTACTACAGCTACAACTGCAACTAGAGTTACGCTACATTACACTACACGATGCTAGGCTACAACTACAACTGTAAACTACAACTGTGAACAACAACTGTAAACTACAACTGTAAGCTAAAACTACAACTGCAACTACGCGCTATGCTACGCTACACTACACGATATAACTACAACTACAACTAAACTACTTTTCCATGTTTCACTAAACTACACTAGACCACCTTACAGCACACAACACTACAGCACACTACGCTACACTACATGTCATTTCACTACATTCATTACACCACACCACAACTACAATTGCAACTACAACTACACTACACTAATTACGCTACACTACAACTACAACTCCACTACGCTACAACTAGAACTACAGCTACACTACAACACACTACAGCCAGCAGTTGTGGGTGAGGTGACCACTGCAAGCATTGCAAGCACTCCAAAAAGCACGACTCCAACCACTTTCCCGTCCATCAGTGGAATCGCTCTGCCATCCATGCATCACAACAACTCACCTCTCCTATAGATCCTATAGTATCCTATCTTTGAAACTTCCGCCACGGCCTTGTGCGGTACTACTGGTAAGTATTAATCTCCAACTTCTGCCATCGTTGAGACCCAGGCCCGGCAGTGGTGGTCGCTAGTGATCTGGCAGTCAAGAATCCAGATGAATTGCAGGCCTGCATGATGCCAGCAAGGTTGGCAGTCATCTTCTCAGGTGCTAAACCGGCAGCTGAGAATGCAGTGTGTACTGAATTTAGCACGACGCAATGAATTTTGATGTACTTTGCGGTGTTGCATTGAAAATCATAGACTAGAAAGATTGAATTTTGTTGTTTGCAACTCTGAAGCGCCATATGTTCACATGCCTGCTCGCTGCCTTCCTGCCAAACAAGGATTTCGCGAACAGGTCGTACCATGATTGGATTGTGGGGAGGTTGCGCTAGGGCAAATCACGACTGCAAAGGGCCTTTACCAAGCAAGACATAGCAAGACCGGGGCATACCGGGAGCAGGTTCAATATACGCCCGATATAAAATGAGGCATTTCGCTTCACTGCCACCGGTCTCTCTGACAGGCAGCAGGAGGATTATATAGACTATTATAGACGCAATGATTAGACTTGATTAGACCAGGGTACTGGGGCAAAAGGTGACTTGCTGCATATTTTCAAAATGGAGCGCGCACTCAAATTGATGACTCCTTGTAATTGATACTCGCCGAAGAGAAAGAGACTCCATTCCTCAAATGTCCCGATTAAACACAGAGACCAAGACCGTTCAAAACTTTCCACATATCTCAGCATGCCCACTTCTAGAGGCCCAGTGAACATGAGCTTGCAGATGCAAACATCACATGGCCAGCCAGGAGTCTTTGAAGGGCTCCCATCGTGAAACTCCTCCAGCAAAGTTCTGCCCAACGCAGCCTGCACGGTCAAAACGCTACAGAAACTTCATTAATTAACCCACACATACTCACAAGATCTCACAAGAATGCCTCCCACACTACATGGGCTGTCGTGGGAATGTGAGTCACTTGCGGTATCTTACAGTAGCCATTTTTGGTGGACGTGGCAGCACATTTGCGAATCGGACTTTTTCTGCAGCGCTTCCAGGTTGCTTCACACGGATGCCCAACCAAAACCTCAGATTTCCATGGCGATCTGCAAGTTCTGTGGGATGGTAGTCCTGCATCCTTTTAGCTTTGAATACACACACATATACATATATATTATATACACATACAGATATACAGATAAATAAATATATATATATTATAGTGTATATTCAAATATCTTCAAGTTGATTAAGTTGTATAGTCGATGTTAAAAGGATTTGGAAGCTTAAAAACGGTTGCAGTATGTTGCAATAATATGCAGTAATAACCTTGATCCAAGTGTCGCATTTGTTCCTTCTTCTGCTGGTGACTTTGCACACAGCGCCTCTGCCGCCTCCAGGGTAAGACCTGTCAGGTCACTCCAAGCCTACCACACAAAGATGAAATAAGAATATGAAAAAAAAGAGGTACAAATGGTTGAAACATTGATTCCCGAGGAAACATGGTCATCGAGTCACTGCTTGATAACGCTTGCAGCCACCACTTTCTTACTTTCAGCAGGACTTTCAGCAGGACGTTTCCCAGTGGCCTGGTTCAGGTAGTGGCGGCCACGGAGCTTCCTCAAAAACATCCTCAGCCCACGACAATTTCATTGCGCTGAGATGGAAATCCGTGAGCTGGTGCTGATCACATATCAAGATTATCAAGCATCAATCTAAGAACTGCCCAAGTTTCTAAGCGTTCAGCGCGAACAAGAACTTCCCTGCCATCAGCCAAACGCACCAACCATCTGCCCCTCTCCATGTCGGCTCTCACAATCAGCACCTGCCATGAGATCCACAAGGAGACACTCTTAGCCTCCTAGCATTTCAGGAATCATGGAGACATGTTGAAACAATTCAGACTGGCCTCTGATCCATTGAGCTCCGTTTTAGATACCAACCTTGGTTGAAAGTTTAGACAGGCTTGTTGTGCTAAAGTGTGCTTTTATTATACCTCGGTTCGCATTGCCTCGTTTGGCATGGCCTCGTTTTGCAACACTTTTGGACCGTGAAACATCCAGCAACACTCTGTCTTGCTCAGCTACCCTTGCAAGCGTGCCCAGCACCCTGGCCGCGGGGAAGCACCACCACCAGGAAGAGCAAGAGTGGACGCGAATGGATTCCGCCCCAGAAACACCATCTGCATCGCACCTCTCAGGGACATTCAGGAACCCAAGTAACTTGGATATCTCTGAGTGATCATGTGCTCAATGAAGTCTGATCTGGTCTTCTGTCTTCCAAAATGCAAGGGCCTCCAGTCCGAATGCTTTCCAACCTGCATTTCCAAACATGCGTGGAATCATGTCGAATCTAGCATCAATTCGATATCTCGATATCAACTCCATCACATGATCCCAACTCAGATCTTCTCAGGCCCCAGCTCCAGGCATTTCCAAAGCTCCACCAGCAGGTGCAGCTGCCGTGCGGTGGCAAGCACTGGATGCTGCTGGGACAACTCCCGCGTCAGCAGCTCTAGCAGCTGAGGATCTAAGTGATCCACGACAGCCAGGCCCAAAGGTGATAACTGCGAGAACTCTGACCACTGATGGCCTGCAGTTGCCAACTGGCAGTTGAGTGGGTCATGAACTGGTCGGATACGCCGTTGCCTTACTTTTGCAGTTTTACATTCTTTTACTGTCACATACTGTCACCAATCCCTCAGCTCGGTGAACTCAATTTATGTCAATTTGCTCACGCGCCTCCGTTCGGCTCCATTGCTATAGAGATATGTGGCATGTTTACGCGAGGCAGCTGCTGCCTCACAGAAAGTGTCATGCTGGACCGCGTGCGCCATCTTCACAAGTGAAACCATTCCTTCTTGGCTCATCTTGTATGATACTTTAGATATAATATAACTGATGTATATATATAATATATAATATATATATATATATATTATGTATATATATATACAGTATTAGTACTGATGTGGCATTTGTTGCAATCTTGGCATATCTTGGCCCTTGGCACCCAGCCTCAGTTCTGTCGCATGCCACGGACTGATCGAAGACACGCCATCTTTGGGGCCATGGAAAGAGATGCGCGTCCCCGGAGCTGCAGCCAACCTGGGACAAGGTGCGATGATGTGCGATGCATCACGAACGAGGTCAAACATGGTCAAACCAAGTAGGATCCAAGTAGAAACCAAGCAGAAACCAAGCGACAAATCTCGAAACCATGCAGATGGGCACCAGAAAAGATCCTCCATTGGAGCCCGCAAGATGCGCACTGCCAGTGGAGGAAGCTCAAAGGGTGGTCCTACACCAGTGAGAGAAACACTGGAGATGCAATGATGATCTTCTGTACAAACTCGTGGGCAAATTCATGAAATCACGTGTCTATCCATCTATCTATCTATCTATCTATCTATCTATCTATATATCTATATCTATATATATAAATATATTATGCATAATATGCAAATATGATCAAGTATGATCAAGTATGTATATGAAGATCGTTGTTTGCTGAGATGACCACATCCAGGCCTTCTGGTGGGGTGGTCACCAATGTGGACGGTGAAGGCTGCGCCAAATCCAGGAGGAATGCTGCGCGCAGCAGCGTCCAGCTCCAGGTCAAACCTGTTGCTGTGCATGGGAATTGTGCACTATGGGAACTCTCCTGGAGGTAATCCATCGGAAATTATCTTCCAGGACTATTATGTGAGTTATATGGATATTGGTTATGATGTGCAAAATGGGATATTAATTACCCCAAGATTCTCTAAGTTGAGATCCGGGTCTTCAAAACAGCAACTGCCTTCGGTGGCGACATCGAAGAAGCGCCGCTCTTTGTACATCTTGTGTTGCATCTCCTTGGTCACTTGTCATGCTTGCAGCGATCTCATTGGAGGGGATGGAGAGCCATGTGTCATCAAACAGCATCAAAAAGCATCACGAAAGGCATGCTGTAAGTATATGTTATCATATATATATATATTATATACAATCATATATCATCATATATTCTGACACAGTGCCTAGCCATGCATAGCCCCTGATGTGACATTCTTCCCGGTCTACATTCCAGACCAGGTGCCGTGCGTAGTTCGAAGCCGCCTCCGGCACCTGCTCGTTGACTGAAGAGCCGACGCCAGCTGCTGATCACGTAGGCCCAAATTGACTGGACTTCTGGCCACAACAAGGCGCTTGCAGCTGCCACATGAAGTATCCTGATGTGAGGACTCATCTAGGACAACTCGACTCAGCTTGACTGGGCGCAGTGGACTAAGGGCTGGTGTAGCATGTTTCAGTCCTGTGGTGACTTTCCGGCCTTTGGAGGAACAAATTGTCGGAGCAAAGGATCAGCTCTGCGACCTGCAGACTTACACAACAGTCTGGGACAGTGGGAAGCTTAGGGGCAGCTGCTAATGCTGCCTACTCTTGTCATCCTAATCCTAAGTCAACCTTATTTCAACCTTATAATTCAACCAAATCCATCTTTGAAAAGATGCTTCCTCAATCTTGTCAAGGTTCCAAATTCAAAACAGGAAACCGCATCACATGACGTCGCCTCCATGCACCCTCGGCACCTGCGTCTGAAAGGTGTAGTCTCGGAAGCCGGCATGGGGGCTCACTGGCATCAGCTGCTTTCCAAAATCCAGGTCCTCAAGCATTCAACCAATGGTCATCGCGGTGTCATGGTGGATGCAGTCATTATTGTGACACCATCAGTCTTCTTCCCTGCGCTGACCCAATACCTACCTACATTGTCCTGACATTCATAGTTAGTTAGTATTACTAATGCAATTGTATGCATTTGTATGCAATTGTGTCATAATATGATATAATATATCATTGCCCCACCCCAAGCATCCCCTCAACGCGCCTCGCCGGAGTTTTGCGATGGCCACTTCCCATCCGAGGTCACCAAGGGAGGCCAAACGGCCCAGAGTCGGTAGCGCCCCAAGAAGTTCGTGAAGCGATTGTCACCCTGCAACTCCGCCTGCAGCACGTCATCAAAGGACTCCCACATGAACTTCATGGAGGCCTTGAAGCGCAGCTCAGTGGCTGCCAGCAACGGCCGGGAAATCACTAAAAAAAATAGAAGTCAAGAAATCCTTATGTCTCAGGATGTCTCAAGGTTGCAAGGTCTACTCACATGGCATGATGCGAAGTCTTGGTTGCTGATTGGTTCCAAACATGAGTGGCCGTCAGGAGAAGTTCAAACCCTCAAGGTTCGCCTCCATCTTCTGGTAGCCACGCCGGCTGACCAAATAGCCCCAAGCACCACAGCAACCAGTTGAAAGTACATCCTCGCCAATCATTGCACGAGATCCAATTGAGTACAAAAAGTACGACTCTTCCTGTTTCAACTGCGGTTTGTAGCCATAGAGCTCTGACATCTGCACCTCCTCTGTTGACAGGACAGCTTCACAGGGATGTGTCAATTGCATGATCTTCCTGGGCTGAGCATATTGTAAACTTCGCAGCCTCCAGTCCAATGGGCCCAAAATCACCACGTCCAACAGGTCGCCAGCACAGGTGATGATATCTCGCAGCACGTTGGTCATCTGGGGATTAAGCACTTGATCATCTTCCAAGACCACCACAAAAGGAGCCCCTTCCTCAAGACCCTGACGAACTGCCCGTGTGTGAGACAACCAGGACCCCACGTACCCTACGAAATGCCGTTCCTCCTCTGCAGTCATGGCTACACCAATGGCTGGCCGTGCTTCATCCCATCGTAAGGCAAAACTCGTCAAATCTCGCAGATATGGCTGAAGACGGCTGCGTTGAACCACTCGGTGGCGGCCATCGGTGGCGGCAAAGCGCCGGGCATTTTTGACACCACATCGTTGCATCTCTCGCCGCATGTCACTGAGCCTGGGGGCACCGGAATGCATTGGTATATCCAATTATGCTCATTTCTGAACTCTATAGCAACGTAGCAACCCCAGAATAAATAGATCAGTCGGAGACCTGGAAATTTCCGAGGAAACATCATCTACGACATCATGGAAACACGTTCCTATCTGTCTGGGGCCCCCATACACAATTTTCTGGAGGCAGTATCTATGAGATTTATTGAGATTTGGGATCACAACACCAAATCGACAGGATGTAGGACGTATCCAACATTATCCAACCACAGTTTTCGCCAAGCACAAGCACTCACGGCATTCTTTCACATGCTTTTCGTGTGCCTGTGAGGGCTTCGATCCAAATTCACCACGAAAGTTGGAATATCGGTCCAGTGAGGCGAGGAAGGCGAGGATCCCATCGATGGTGCGGACAGGTCTCCGAATGACACAGTTTGAAGGTGAAGTTCGTGGGCAACTCGATGAAGGGTTCCAACCAAGCTGGAGAGCTGACCCTCCTTAGCTTCTTCGAAAGCATTTCCACTCCACCACATATGCATAGAAATATGGACATTATCCAAATTTATCCAACACCTTATTCCAAAAAACGGACTCCACTCCCAGGTATGTCCATGGCATGTCCTTGACTTCATAGTCATTAGTCATTAACTGTCCTTTCTCTCATATTATTATATTATACTATATTTTATATCATATATTGTCCAAACTTATCCACATCAAAGTCCTTGCTTTTTTTTTGCTGAATGCTTCCAAGCTGCGCATGGGCTGTTCCCCTCCCAGCTGAGCAACAGCAATGCTGCAGTCAGGCGAGCTGCGGACCGTCCCGAGATGGTCCCTGGCACATGTGAAACCGCATGAAACCGCCGTTTCAAACGTCACATGCCCATTCCTTCATGAAAAACGTGCTCCCAACGACCTTCACCTTCATTGTTTCAATCTAATAAGAATCTAATGTTTATATTACTATATGCTACTGATGCTTTCCCTCTGACAGGCCATCATTTGGTGACCTCAAGTTCCAGCCTTCTGGCAAATCATGCAGCCCAGGTATTTGTCCGAGCTCGACCGCAATCATTGCGCTGCAAGGATCACAGCACTTCTTGCAAAGGCCTTTGCAAAAATTTGCAGCTTCTGCGCTAGAAAAATGGGGATCTAGAGGAGGGGGATTGAATGGGATTGATCACCATGTACCACAGGTATCGTTTTAAATGGTGGGATAAATGCTAACCGCTGCTAACCTCAAATGCTCATGTGACTCATGTGCGAAGTGTTTGTGAAATCATGCGAAAAGGCACACTTCTCAAATGCACTGGCCCCACTGCACCCCTGAAAATCCTGAAAGGTCAACCAAGATCAACCAGGCAACCCGAATCGTCAGAGAGCTGTTTGGACAAGCGCCAGCATTTGTGGCAGCAGCTTTTGGGCCGAAGTCCTCCATCCAGGAGTTCCAAGTCATCTTCCCGCACGTCCACGCAGTCTACAGAGTTCACACAGTCCACCTCGAGCCAAACCCGCCATTGACCCCTGGCCAAGTAGAATTCACCCAGCAAACCCTGGCTGTTGGCCGGAACACTTCCCACACCTCTTCGGAGTCTCACAGTGGCTCCGGGTACCAAGCGGCTTTGGTTTGGGGCGAATCCAGGGTGACATCGATCCACCAGCTCTTGAATCAAATGGTGGAGGAAGCAACCCCTCACTGAAGGGCTGCAAGAAGCCACGGCCAAATCTGACAGTTCTTCCATGGTGAAGAGCTGACAAATCTGGAAGGCTCTTGACAGAACCGCTTCAAGTGCCTGACTGGTTTTTGGCATGGCAAATGCAATGCATGTCCCATGCCTCTGCAAGAGGTCTGACAAAGCCAGGGCTAGGCGGGCCAATGTCTGTGCAGGCAAAGATGCCAAGTGGGTTTCACCTCGAGCCACCTTGTAATTTGCAACGAGGAAAGCCGCAAAGTCTTCTGCAAGTCTTGCAAGTTTCTCCCCAAGAGCGGACATGACAGCAGGCTGTGCCAAGCCACACAGGATGGCAGCAACGGCGTCCAGTGCATCTACGGACTGGTGTGCATTGCTTGATCCGTTTGATCCGTGTGACTTCGCCTCCAAACTTTCCAAACTTCCCAAGGCTTCCAGGATTGGCATCTCAACTGCCTTGGCCGTCAAAAAGACCCACAAGACCTCTGCAGCCGTGGTGATATCACCAAACCCCCGAAGGCGAAGGGTTGTGGCAAAGGCCTCGGCCCTGTCGCGCAAGGCCCGATCGCCATGCGCCAAACCGATGAGTTGCAACTCGGTCGCAAGGCCAACATAGTCAGAGCCATGGCAAGGTTGAGCCTTCTTAGCCAAAGCACGCAACAATCGGTGCAAAAAGTTTCTGGATGCATTGATTTCCTCTGGGGTCTTCGCCAAGTTCATGAGCATCTGACACAATGCAGTCATGCTTTCAGCGTGCAACCACGGCAAACACTCAGTGATCAACTGACACAACTCTACTAGTGGCACATCTGCTGGCAGCTTTCCAATAGCACCCCAGCTTTCGATCGCTGAGGTTATGATATTCAAAGATGCGAGGCTCGCTGATGCTGGTGATTCTTGGGTGAACTTGGGCCATGGGAGCCAAGGTCCATCTTGTCCATCACGTCCATCTTTTGTCGAATCAGCTTCCCTGACCGTGGTGACTGCGTTGTTGCGCGGCCCCGTCAGCAAGGAGGATGGAGAGGGCTGCCGTCCGGTTGCACTGAAGCAATGTCGGCACAAGGAAAGGCCAGCAACGTCACTGTGATACAGCGGAGCGATGGTGCCACACAGGCTGCATCGTGCTGCATCTGTGGCTGCCATTGCAAACAAACATAGGACATGTCTAGGTCTCTAGGTCTGTAGGTCTTGCTGCATTTCAAATTCAAATTTGCATGCACAATAGTGGACTGCATGGCTGTGTCTTCCATTCGAGTCCCTTCTGCCAGGGACGGAAGCTGCAAAAGCCAATCGGAAGTTGCTGTGCTGTGCCGATTTGTTTGTCGTTGCTCCTTGGTTACTTGATGATTCTGATGGGATTTGGCTGAAGGAGACTCCTACGTTTACGCATTTGTTATCATTTGTTGCACCACCCGTGACCCATGTTCGTTCAGCTTTTGACATGCAAATATGAACCAACTTGCGATTAAAATCCAGGAAACTTGTGCCACAATGAAACTTAGAAGGTTGTGCATCACCCGGCGTCACAAGGATCGGCCTGGCCCATAAATGATTCCTGGCGACAGGAACTCCAGCGAGCATTCAGAGAGACTCTGGCCTTTGACAGAGATTCTCTTGGGATTCTTTTAGCAAAACAATGCCATTGCCGCCCTGCCGCCCTTTCAATCCGCCATGATCCACCATAATCCCCGTCCCAACTGGACTCCCATTGACAACACTCACTTCAGATTTGGCGCCTTTTGTAGAGGCTCCAGTGGTAGCTGCGTGCCCGAATCCTTGGCATAATTTAATATGTCTTATTCTGGGTCCCATGCAACATGCGAGATAAAACCACACACCAGCCAAAAGTAACCAAAAGTAACCAAAGTACCCAACATGTCGATGTACTGCTGTCTGATCTGTCTATGTGCACTTAACTCTAATCCCATCATATCCCATCTATATTGATTATATATATTGATTATATAATCTCCCACAGTGGGTTTACTGTTTGCTGCTTCATGAGATTCATCCCAGATCATCCCAGCAGCATCAGCTAATGCTTCATCCGCGCGCTTTGTTGGCGGGGCCTCAGTGATGGAGCAGCCTCTGCGGAGATCCTGAAACTGACCATGGAGGAATTCGTGGAAGCTGACTATCTGAGCTGTGCACTGCATGCTCATCAGTCTGACCTCAAAAGATTGTGCTTTGAGAATCCTATAGACACTTTGGTCCCCAGCTGCAATTTTTCTACCATGGAGCTCAACTCTGTAGGAAGATCATGGACAATCTCTGAAGCATCGCTGGAAGCATCTTGCAATTCCCGAGGCCCCCAGACTTGGAACTTTGAGGCCAGCCTGGGCGGCTGCCGTTCTGCCACAGCATAGCATCTTTAAGCGCCTCCCACAGAATCGTCGATTCCAAGCCCTGGACCTCGCCACCATGCGGATCCAGCTCGCCGCGGTCTTTGCCTCCACCTGCCATTCAAATTGGCTCGGAAAATGATGGCTGTTGCTGTAACATCTGTAACACTGGAGCTCCGGTGGTATACGAACCAAACCGCTTACCCCCAGTATCTCCCAGTCCCAATTGGTATATTGCTGCGCCCGCATTGTACCTGCAGGATCCTGCAAGTATCCGTTTCGTTCCATTTTTCCCACTTGGCCGCTGACTGGTTACTTCATTCCCACAACAACATGTCCTGGGTGCTGCAGGCACGGTGACTTTTGCGAGGGCTGGATCATGCTGGATCTCATCCCCGAGGATGATAACTTCATAACTTCGTCTGCATCACCAGGAGTTGGGACCCAGGCGAACAAAACATATTCGGTGTGAAGCTCGCCAATGGCCGCGCACAATTGAAGGACTCCTGCCTACCAGCGGACCACATTGAAATCACGTGCTACCGCAAGTAGCAGGTCCCAACAATCTAGATATTGTAGAAATAGAGCATATGATTGTTGAATTTGTCCTAAATTCATTCCAATGTCCCGACAACATGAGCCGCAGAGGTTGCAAAACAAGCTTCATGGCAACAAATCGCAATAAACCACGTCACCATCGTGCCTCCAATCCTTTTGTTTCGCACGACCAGGGCTACTCTGCTATCACCACCCTAGTCTTCTACACGGCTGCGGAAAATGATGGAATCATTTGGGGCCTGACCCCAAACAAAGAAACAGTCAACAACATTTGCAACGGAATGCAGCAAACTCGCTCGTTGTCTTCAAGGACTTGTTTCATCCTTCATCTTGATTTGACATGATTTGACATGATCTCCTCCCCCAAAAGAATTGCCAGAGTTTGCAGGTTGGCCAAGGGTTCAAGATGGTTCAAGATGGTTCAAGATGGTTCACATGCGCTGATTTCTCCAAGGGCGGCCATGGGCACCATCCGAGGTCCGAGGTGGCCTGCCGGCTTTGGACACGGCTGCCTGGCAGGTTTCGACATGTTTCGACATGTTTCGACAGTGATATGCTCCGAAGCAACACATGTTTCGACTGAGCTACGGCGCAAGGGCCTGGACTGGTGCAGATGCTGTCCATGTGGCTCCTAGAGCTGTCAAGAGTCATCTGCTGGAACTGGATGGAAGTAAATATGGGAAATATATACGGACAAAATCGAAAAATAATCCTCAAACAAATCCAGAGTTCTTCGCTTCCAACCATTGCCTCACATGGGCGAAAGCTCATGTCACTCTCAGATTACGCTGTAGAGACCTGTGCTTCCCAGTCCTGCCGCTTTGGATGAGGACGTGGCTGACGCCCCACCTGCAGGAAGCCTCAAACGAAGAGATACAGTAGAGATCCAAACTTCGGAATAACTTTGCAATGATGTTGCCGAATGTTGCTGGATGTTGCTGGATGTTGCAATGATGTTGCTGGATGTTGCTGGATGTTGCTGGATGCCTCATGAGATCAAAAAAAAACATAACCCCTCTGCCCCTTCTAAATCACTGGTCGATCCTCGGTGACACTGATGCCGCTGCCGACTCGGACTCCTGAGGCAGGTGAAGGACGTGAAGGTCATGGTTGGTCAGCATCGCAGCGCATTGCGGGAGTCCGCGGGAGGCACAAAAAAACATCACTCCTCCGCCCTTGCTGGCAAATACCAAGCGTTCTCTGCGTCAGAACCTGCAGAATATTGCAGAATGGTGCCAAGTTGGTGCGGGAAAATGATGGGAAATTGGTTTCCGTTGGCATGGGCATGCATGGGCTCAGGTATGCTGAGCTTCGGACCGGAATCTGGCATGTAATCGGATTCTGGCCCCTGCGCGGTATGAATCACAAGTTCCGAGCTACAGCTTGACTTAGTGGCTTAGTGAATTTATCGCATGGCAGCTCCACTGGTGGGGAGATCCAGGAACCCGCCTGTCGCAATGGCTCATACCAGTCCATCTCCCCTTACAGTTCGATCACCAAAGGGCAAACAACGCGTGGAACGGCATCCGTGACTTCAAAATGACTTGACAATAACATGAAGATAATCTCAAAGGCACGCTAAGCAGGCTAAGCATTGAAAGAAACAACTGGGGAAGCAACCGCCATGCCTGCCATGCCTTGGTGTGTGCTGTTGCATTGCGTTGGGAACAGCTGTATGGCAGTTCACAGTGCTGGTGGCTTGGGCAGCGGTCATTTTTAATCTAAACCATCAAGGCAACTTTGACCTTGCGAGTCAGCTGAGATGCAATCCTGAACCTGGGCTCAGAGCACGGCTCAGGCAATACAGCAGGCTGGGGAAAGATCTGCCGTGCTTGCGCCTAAACAACTTAATTTCATGAACATCATCACGTGAAGTTGGATAAGATCTGGAAAATCAAAGGCTTCTGTGGATTCCAGTCACCTTTTTCACCTTTACATCGTATACTCCAACTCTATCCCATTCGACATGCCCATCGCCTGACAAGGTGCCGGCCGACCGGCCAACAAGTCCTCACAGCGGGTTACACATTCCTGCAGCACGCAGCCTCAACAAATGTAGCTGCAGAAAAAAGGAACAACATGGAATAACATTGGAATCATTGGAATGAATCAGAGGACACAATCACCTGCACTCAAAAAAAAAACAGCTCAGGTGACATGGTGTACAGTACAGTAGGTATCAAAAGGTATCACAACATGTATCAACCAAAACATCCAAGACTCGACAAAATCCCAGAAACGCGTGGCGTTGTCAAAGCGCTCCAATCGCCCAGCCGCCAAGCGCGTCCACGATCCGGCTCCATAAGTGCCGAAGCAAATTGCCACACTCTCCTGGTGTCAAGGCGGCAGAACAAAGCAAACCTGCACATACAGGGTAGACATGGGTAGACACCATTTACATTGATTTATTCGTTTGTCAATTTATAGTGTAGTGGTTCATAGTGGTTCATTCATTTCATTTCATTCGCAATCTACCTATTTAAGGCTTACATTATCTTGCATTTCCGCAGGTACATTTTTTGAATCAACATATTCATCCATCTGTTGATTTCGTCACAGCTGTGTCTCCTGCAGGACTTTCTCCCACTGAACACCTGCAGCCACTGCAGACAGCGCTGCCTCTGTGGCTGCTGCGCTGTGGCTTGGGGACAGCGGCATGAGCTCACCCGTGACGTCACGCACTGCCTGCATTTCATGATGAAAGACCAAATGGGACTACCACTAATAACTATAAACATTCTATAAATCCTATACAATATAATTTCTGTGATGTCGGGGAAAAATCACAAGTTCAAAAATGCAAGAATCCCGTTCGCTGAAAATACTCATGCAATAGGGACTCTGTCCCCTGCTGCCGAGGGTCCAACCAATACTTCAGCGCCTCTTCATATCGTTGGCTCTCTTGTAAGCCAAACGCCAGCTCAAAAGCTGGGGCGACCCAGAAAGAGCTCAAGAGCAACCTGAAGAGCGCCTTGGCTTTTGCTATCCGCCTACCCCAACCAAACTACACGTGGCATATCTTGCCCCCAAACAAAAATCTGCAAAAAAATGCATGATAAGAACAAAATGAAATCAGGCAGTTGGACCATACATTTCAAATATGTTCCAAAACATTGTTTTGCACAATTGTTCCTTCATGTTCCTTCATGTTCCTTCATGTTCCATCTAGTCCTAGATTGATTGAGTCACAACATTCCCGACAAAAAAAACACTCCTTTCGCTGCCGCTTAGTTTCGACTAATGGCGTGGGACTTGAGTCAGCAAACACGTCAAACGGATCCAACGCCTTGACATCGTTCCTGCTGTGCAAAGCATCTTGGTAGCCTGAACTGATCTGAACTGGGCAGCATCCCAATATGTTTCCACTGCATCTCGGTATATTGCCTATAGATGGACATGGCATATGTGTATATATATATATATATTTTATGAAAATATATAATACACATATGTGTGTCCGTGGAACACATTGGTATGCAAAATATTCAAGTAAGTTTGTTTTATGTTGATTGCTCATGATTTTTACAAATTTGATCTGGCCGTACCACTGCCACAACACTTTGGAGTTGAGGAGCGCTGAAACGTGCTGTCTTCCCGAAGATCTTCTGGGAAACTATCCTCGGCATGTGGCAGTAGCGCTGAATTGAAGTGCCATAAGACTTTCTTCTGCAGCTCCATGGGCCACACATAAGTCACACATTTAGGAAGCACCTTGTATCTAAATCCGATAAGCAAACCAAAGATTCTGGCTTTTGCTGAGCAAGGAATTCAGACAATGCAGCTTTGGTGAAATCTGCGATGCTGCTCACAAGCTCCCTTAGCTCCTTCACTCAGGGACAACACTGCTGTTGCATGGATTCCAGCAATTTTCAAAGGGATGGCTGATGGTTCGGATGGTTGAGGCTTCATCGTTGACCAAAACAATCGCTGTGCTTTTGGAGTGCCATCGTGCTGTATAGTCCCGTACAAAATCTATCCCTCATTTGAGCCATGTTTTAAATGTCTTACATCCTGGCACCAAATAAGGAAATGCTTACGCCATTGCTTACGTTTTGCATACGCGCACACAGGTTTTGCTTACGCCTTACGCGCATATCTTTTCTTACGCGGAGCTTACGCTGGCTTACGCGCACCACAGTTTTGCTTACGCCACACCCCTACAAGGGGCCCCCCTGACCGTGGCTCAATTGTTTATCTAATCCTCTTCATATATTACAATACAATCTATATAGTTCATAGATATTGGCATCGATTTTTGTAGACCTATGTGTTTGTATGTGTTTCATATGCTTGAGATGTTTACTCAACATTAGTTATATAAATGTTAAAGGATATTATGATATGAACTATAGTGACAGTTTTTTTTTAAAAAAAAAACATGTCATATGTGTGTGTTACTTATGTTTATATGATTTCATATGTATGTATGTCAATGTATGTCAATGTATGTCAATGTATATCACCATGAAAGAAAAATCCATTCTGAATGTGGGAATTCAGAATGGAATTCTATGGAAGTATGTCCTCCTCTTCACAGGCCCCACTCTTCCGCCATCGCTCGAAGCGTCGCCAGGCCGCGCGGAGGCCCCGCTCCGCCTCTGGCGCTGCGAGCCACAGCTGCGGCTCCAAGCGGCAACGCCAGCAGCGACACCTGGAGGTCAATAGGAACAACAGGAACTGGAATCCGAACAACGCAACCAGATACCATAGATGAGGCTATACATACGTATCTATATATATATATTATATAATTATATATATACATATATAGACAATATCTAAGTGTACGCATATCATTAATGTATATATTAGGACTTTTGACAATTTTGTAAAGCATTTGAAGTATGTGGAGTCTGGTCTCAGAGATCTCCAATCCAAGGGTGGTTTTAAAGGCATAATCACTGCGCCATGGTTACATGTGCTGCAGAACATACTGAAGCGTTGGATTCAAGGCGCTCAAAGGCCCATGTGGATTCCAGTTCCGCTTGCCGAATATAATGCGGAGCGCGGATTTCAATGTAGGCACACGTGAGTTCTTGGCCTGGTAGGAGCCGCCCTCGGTTTCTCTGGTCCCACGCGCAGCTCGTGAGATTGAGCGTCAACAAAATTCTACCTTTCATGGCTATTGATCGTTCTTGTTGGACACTGGCCATGACTCAGTCTGTCCCAACAAAACCGAAACCACAAGAAGAAGGTGGACAGATTGAATGCGAAGGAGGGTCTTGATTCAATGTAAATTGAAGAACTTGTGTTGATGCAATTCCTCCTTCCCTTGTCTAAACACCGAAAGATACTAAAGCCGAGTCGCTTTGGGCTCTTGCCACCAAGCATGATGTGAAAGGCAGCCTCCCAAGCAGCATCATGGGCGAGTGACTAGATTGTTGACCGCTGGAATCCAACACGCCACGAGCATTCCAGCATTGACTAGTGCAGCGAACGATGGTGATACGTTGGAAAACTATGGAACATGTTGGAAGCACAGCACTTAACAGCATCTGTGCACCCTTTCCAGGCCTGTTAACGGTTGGACAGCATGAGTGGTTGAGCATGCTCCCATTCAGGTACACTGCCAAGCCGTTGCGGGGCAAGGCTTCCAATGTCTTTAGAGATGATGGTTTCATCATCAACTTCACCACAGCCATGCCATTGAACGAAGCGATTCCCCGCAAGCGCGGGAGCTTGGGCGCCGGAACTTTGCCGACGCAAAGTTCCCCAGGCCAATCCGCCAAGGCACTGACCATGTGTTCAGCATCTGCTGAACTCCGCCACCGAAGGGACATCAACTTGCCCTGATCTTTGGGGCTGAAGTGGTCCCACTGAGAACTCGCTGCTGCAGCAAAGTCATCCGCATTGGCCTTCAAGTCAGTAACTCAGAGGACTTGCCAGAAAATGCTTCTGAAAATGCGAGAAGGATTTCGCACACTATGATGCTGTTCCTGATCACTTGCAACAGGACTACGCTCTCTGATGCAGCGATTGACATGACAGAGTACAACCCATGGAGTATTGGCAGCTAGTGACATGAAAATGACCGGATCAAGTGAAATGAAACAAGTCAACTGATTTTACGCCAAAACACACAAGGTGGAAGCACTGCTCTATCAGCAAGCACCTGAGCAACAATGCTGCCAAAAACTAGTATTTCATCAGCAGCCAAAAGAGTGATTGACGTGGTCTACGTGCACAGTATTATGTCAGCAATTCAGGGATTCCAAGTAACAATCACCGACATAACCTCATGTTATCACATATTGTCATGGTGCTGTCGCAACATTCATCGCCCTCATCATTCACGTTAATTCCATGGCAATTTCAACGTGGCATCAGCACGGCATCATGGCGGGGCACCACTTCTCCAGGCTCAAAGTCCTTTACCGCACGAAGGCCGCGGCCACAGGAGCTCTGGAAGATCTCCAAGGCCTCACAGCCCACCGTAACCCGCTGGGAATCGCTAGGAATATAAAATGGGAATGGGAATGAAATGACAATAATATCAATATAATATCCATGAAAATGTAAGATGGCAATCATGGTGCCTTGAAATATGATACCGTTGATACGAGTTGCGGCCAGCCAACAGCAGCTCTCGGTGCTAAGATGTGCTAAGTGTTCCTAGCTTATATCTTTAAGATCATTAACGTTTTCACCTTGCAGGTAAGTGATGAACTGCAGGTTTGATCATGGCTGACAAAGGTGCAATGCCAAGGCAAAGCGATGCCTCTTCCAATACTGGGGCATCATCAGACTCCAACAGGTGCAAGCTGAAAGCCATGGCTCCATTTGAATTGCCCTGATTTTACTGGATTTGAAACATGTAGATAACTCAGCGGATGGAAACGCGATGCAACGCGGCACGGTTCTGGAAACATACAGAGGGAGTATGAATTTCGGACCCTGTCAATGTCTGCGTCTGTGGAAGGAAACTCGAAAGGTTTGCTCTCAAGTCGGTTCTCCTCGGGTGTTTTGGCCAAACAAATGCGGCTGCAAAGCACTACAATGGGTGCCAAAGCAGGGTATTAATATGTGGTCGCATGGGATGGGCAAACGCACGGCAAGTCCCAGAGTATCGACAAAGCAAACCGATGCAAATCCCTTCTCTGCCAGCTCTGGGGCTCAAACCAAAGGTTCGCACCCTGCAAGGCGTGGCAATCGCAACCCTCATAATCATCGACATGGCAAGATTGCATCATGTTACATATTTCACCGCAACGACAAGCCTCGGGACCAAGATCTGCGAGTGCAAGACGCTCTAGTAATCGTTGTCGAACCTTTTTATGGCAACACTGTTGCAAATGCAAGAATTCTCTGTCGCCCACAAGAACTGGAATCCGAACAATTTGGACATTTACGGTGAGGCTTCACAGTATCTTTAGAAAAATGCATCGTCCCAATCGTCCCATTTTTTACATTATACTATATATATAATTATATATATATATGTGTGTGTATATATGTGTGTGTGTATCCAATATCATATCATATCATATCATACCATATCATATCATATATATATATCATATTATAATATTACATTTTTGCCATCCAATGTGAAGGCTGTCAGCTCGGGCTCCCAGCAGTTGCCAAGTCTAGCTGCTTCTGGTCTTCGGCAACGGCCTGGTGAGAAGAAATGCTACGAACGATTAAAACAAGGATGAAGAAATGGTGAACCAATGTGAACCAGGATACTTTTTGATACTTTTTGATACTTCTTGATACTTCTTTCTGGTTCACCCTACTGTGTGTCCCATATGCGTAAGTGCTGCTGAGCCGACACCCGGACGAGTCCGTCAACCACTTGAAACTTCCATGAGATTCAACTGACGGCAACCGAATCCCGTCCTTGCAGCTCGCTGCAGCCTCCAGCATGTCAGCTTCCAGCGGGAATGTGATGGGAAATGTGGTGAAATGTGTCCAGCAAATTTCAGATGTTTTCAGATACTAGTACCGAAACCAAAGAGAAACCAGTCGCAAGTCATCTGCAGGCCATGCCGCTGGCCTCTTTGGCTTTCAGCTCTAAGTGGACTAAGGCAACCTCCGAGGAAGAATAAAAAACAAGCAAGGTGTGTGTGTGTGTGTTGGGAACCTAATGGCATCTACATCACAATCCTCACTAGGTATTGATGACAATCAAGGCTCCCAAACGTGCTAAAGTGACCTTTGCCTTCAGACCAAAAAATGATTTGTCCCCAACCATTGCAGATATTGTAGGAAACGGTGCTCCCAAGGCAGCCCAATCTAATACTTTCCAAAAAGGTTCGTCGCATGCACAATCACACACACACACACACTTCTTTGATATTCTTCATCCATTTCATCTGTGCAGTTCTAAGTTGTATAGAGGCTGGTATAGGAATTCTACCGTATATGGGATCTGGACCAACGCATACACATCATACACAGTAATAGATAATAGAATGTAATTAGGAGATGAACAAGCTCTTGGTTCTTGCAGCCTATCTGCTACGCATGCAGTCCAGATAGACCAATGAACAGCAAACAGTGCGACACAAACAATAGACAAAGAGACAAAGTAACAATACAGATTGACAATGATTAATTAACACAAGCACTGTGCAGCTGCATTACCTTTGACTCATATGATATTCGTGACGTGATTCAACCATTGTAACCATTGAACCATGTGGATCCGTGTGGAGCCGTGTGGATCGCCCCAGCCCCATCTTGAGCTCGTGGCATCATCGCGCAATCCTTCCAAGTCCCACGCCTGGCCACAGAGCCCAAACATCGTACACTGGGCGGAGCCGAAAAATGCTGAGACCCCAGCGCCATGAACCTGAGCAGCGACAAGCGACAGCATGCAACGTATAGCAGCTATGAACAGTTGGGAAAGTAGTGGAGATCGAAAAATGTGATGAAATCTGAGAAAATGATATGTTATCATAACATGCGGATGGGAAGGATTTCAAATATGTCAAAGCAGCCCATGAGTATCATGAGTGTTCCTGAGCCACACGCCCAGTAATCTGACGGGTCAGCGCTATCGCCTTGCCGAAAAGCTGGATGAGTGTTCTTGGTTTAGTAGGCCTGTGATGTCAAGCCAACATGGCTGGTAGTTATGGGTGTTCATCCCCAAAAATATGATATTACGATATATATATATATATAAATATAAATGTATTACAATGGTACCACTATTATTATATACTAATATTATTACTTATTCTTATTACTAGTAATAGATATTAACATACTGTATTGTCACAGTATAGGTTTTGACATGTTTTGACCCATTCCGATTCTTGTGTTCATTGTTTACTCTGTTCTTGGGTAACCAATGTGCGCAACGGCGGGGAGGTCTCCTGAGATGTCCTATACTGGAACTGCGTGCTGTTCAGGGCCAGCATTTTCCCTTGTCTTCGCAAGCTCTTCGCCGTTTAGCGATTTTCAAATTCCACAGCTCACCTTGTGTTGGAGCTTCTTGTCGCTGCCGGTGCAGGCGAAGCTGAATCTTGGTGAAACCCTGCTGCAAACTACTTAGCCGTTCAGAAAACACAGTTTCAAGCGGAGTTGTTTCCGTATTTTCTGTTAAGAATGAAGTCACGTGAAGTTCATACCATGTTGAACATTTTGTTCATTGAAGAGTTGCACGGCGTTTCCTAAACACACAGGTCTGGCCCACGACAAACGGACACAACTGCACATGGACACAACTGTACATCATCCCTGCTTGCGACTCTACAAAGCCGCAAATTGATCTTGGACAGCAGAGCTGTCACCACTGCGCTCTGGATTGCCCCATGCAATCACGGAGCCGTTTCCCAGAATGGCAGCAAATGCACTACCATTGCCTAGAATATCGCGCACATCTCTGAGCTGGTCTCGCACAACGGAGCCCCACATAGCCCCACATCACCACAGATCTATCAGCCAGGCTAGCCGCAAATTCAGTCTGCCGTTGAGTGGCATGAAGCTGCTGTACCTGCTAGCTGCTAGAGCTGATGTTGGACTGGAGAGCTGTCCCCACCTTGGGTACCCCAGCTAATAAACGACCCATCCTGCAGAATGGCAGCAAAGGCGAACCCAACGTCCTGAACCTGTTTGACCCTCTTGATCTGATGTTGGACCATATGTAGGATCGCCCCACGTAACAACCAACCCATCTGCAAGGATGGCAGCGAATGCACCAAAAGAACTTTCAATCTTTTGGACGCTCCTGAGCTGCTGCACTGCAGAGCTGTCAGCCCCATACTTTGGAACACCCCACGTCACAACGTGGTCGCCTCCATGACACCACAGGGCAAAGGCTCGGTCATTTGCTGCCAACTGCGCTTGAAGCGGAATGGCGGAATGGCTGTGATGAAGTTTCCATCTTGGATGCCTTCAGCTTGCAAAGACTCACCAAGATGCACTACGGGACGACCCTCTGCAGTGACGAGCTTCAGGAAACGACGTTCGCAAGAGTTCTGAGCCAGAACTTTCAACTCCTGCACACCTGAAGACTGTTCAACTTCCAAGACTTCAGTGTGACCGCTCAGCAAAGCGACATTGACGATCAAATATCACCACACAACATGTTGAGCCCAACTAGGCCTGGTGTCAACCCTTTACGTGCACTTAAAGCCATGTTTGGACACTTTGTGCAAATGAGTGCTGGGTGCAGTGTTGCAAAATGCAATCCAAATTCCATTTAAGACGTAGGGTTGGGCGTGGCTTTCTTGTTGCCAGGTTCACCCCACCGTAGAAGTACTCGATTTATCACGAAATATCCACAAGTTGTTCCACCAAATTCCCCAACCACAGCATATCTCACAGCATCTCCCAGACGATGTCCCCAGCCTTTGGCCAACTCGGCCAGCAATTCCGCCACCTCCAAAACCGTTCAGTCGGAAGTCGTTCGAATTTTAGCTCCACAAGTCATCCCTGGCCTCTCCCTCTGGTGGTGGCCATTCCTGGAAAATAATGAAAAATAAACAAGCCAACTCACTAGTGACATCTGATATCTGCTGAGATGGACTGGCATTACAGCAGAATGTTTCTTCCAAATGCTTCCAGCCTGAGCTTCGGGATCATCCAGCAGTCCTATCAGGATGCTCCGGCTGCGAGGTGCAAGGTATTTCTCTTGGGGTAGTTTCAACCACATCACAAGTCATCACAAAGGTCAAAGGTCAAAGGTCTGCTGCGACTAGAGCACTCACCAGCCTGAAATGTCACTGACAGACAATTCTTCCTGAGAACCCATGAGGCCAAGCAAAGGCAAATGCAAAGATATATTGCATGTATGGCCGTGGTTTCCGGTAGGCTTTAACAACCAGAAAATGAATGAATCTCAACTGACACAATGTCTGTATCTAACAGAACAGATCTGAACCCACCATGTTCTCGCCTCACTTGCCTTGCGCGGGGGCATGAAGAGCCGGGACCAACGAGGCCTTTTCAAGCCACGTCCATCGTTGGAATCGGAAACAGATTTTAAAGGATTCCAGCAAATCTTGAGCAATCTACCAGAATATATCCAATTTAGTCCATTCAGCATCTGGACACAAAATCGGGAATTGAACAATTTTCTATAATTTTCTGACAAAATCTAGCTACTGCAGATTACTGCAGTCTTTGCAGATCTCCTTGTGGTCCTTCTGGCAAAGACAGGCAATCACCTGCCTCGTCTCTGCCTGCTGGAGCTCCCGGAGCAATTCCTGACGAGGCGAGCCAAACTTTCAAGCACCTTCTGCACAGTCCCGTGATGTCCTGTGTGCGTCGCTTGATGTCATAGGTTGTCATGTGATGTCTAAGGTGGTTCCTTGTTTGCAAATCATGTTTTGTCATGGTTTGTCATGTTCATGATGTTGAGCTCCCAATCAAATCGTATCAAATCGTAAGATTTCATATTCATTTTATAATATGAATATAATATAACATGAATCCGCTTCGGCTGTGTTCGGCTTGTTCCACGCTTGTTCCACTGCCTCGGACAAGCTCTGACGCAGTCGCCGGCGCCAGGACACCGCAAGACCATCCAGTGCCACCTCCAGGCGGAAAAACAGGGAAGATCTGGATCAGAATATGTAATTATGCTTTAACAAAAACATCATAAACTATAAAGCCTTAAAAAAAAAAAACGAAAAGATATCACCAGAATATCCAAAATCACAAGAATAAGAATGAATAAAACATTAGATGATATTAGATGCAATGAGAATCAATGAGATACATATGATACATTGCATGAGGAAAGTAATGGCTTTTGAACATGGCACCCGGGTGAGACGTGATAATGCACGATCAATGCGTCTGTGGCGCAGTTGATGGAGTCAACTAAAACCAGCGCCTCCAACGGGCTACCACCATGACCAGCTTCCTGCACAAGGCCCGATGAGTCAGCGTCCTCCATGCTGCAAAAGCAATGGCATTCAATTCGGCACAGCTATGCACGGCTCCAAAGATCTCCAAAGTTCCCAAGGGTCTACCAGCTAAATGGGTCCAAATGTGTGCTTCCATCATTTTGCATCCTTCTTGAGTCTTTTTGAGTGATCTCCAAGGCTTTACACTTCTTCTAATTGCCTCATGAAGGGGGCAAACTACTGACTGATCTAAGATGATCTAAATGCGCAAAGAAACAGCCATTGGCCAGTGCTCCTCCTCCAACTCGTCATCCACAGATGGAGGCAAAGTCACAGTCTCTGACTCACAGGCTTCCTGATCTTCCCGGTCTTCCTGCGACTCCTGATCTTCCAACCCATCCTGTCCCGGATCCGAAGGCTCCAGAGGTTCCAGAGACTCCAAAACCTCGCTGTGCTCAGCAGCTTCCAAAAAACCATACCCCTCCGATAGCTCCACCTCTCCCAGGCCAACCTCCACCTCGCCCACCTCACCCGCCTGTGGCACTGTGAGCTCCGGACAGGTCTCCACCAAATCCGCATCCATGGCGTCCATGGCATCTGTGGCATCTGTGGCATCTGTGGCATCTGTGGCATCTGTGGCATCTGTGGCAGCCGTCACCTCCCCTGCATCAGCTCGATGCATCGATGGTTCTCCATCCGCACCCAGCTCTTCAGCCGGACCATAGCCATCGCCACCGTCGTCACCGTCGCTGCCGTCGCCATCCCCAGCGTCGCCATCCTGGACCTGGCTCAACAGCTCCGCCATGTTCCGTTGCATCTCCTCCACCTCTGCCAACTCGGCACGCAACTCGTCCACCTCGTTGGGTTGGTTGTTTGGTTCCACCGGCAACGCGAAGATGGGAAGTCGTCGGGGTGATCCTGATGTTGGGATGTTGGGCCATTGAATTGATCAAAGTTTGATTTTTTTTGAATTCCTATGGATTCCTTATGCTGCATCACTTTTGAGATTGTTGGAGTGTCTCAGGAGTCGCCGGTATCTCAGCATCTTGGTATCGCAGTGCTGTCATCTGTCAAACCTTTTTGATCCCATCAATCTCAGGTCCTTCCGACGAGGACGAGACCAATGTGACAGCCCGGTTTCGAATCCTGACCATGTCACAAACAGCAAGGAACATGAAAAAAGTGAATGTGAAACCAAGCACGACACTGTTTTAGTATGGTGATCAAATAATGTTGAAAAATATTTCTACATATTTATATGCCTATTGACACGAATATCAAATGCGTTCCAAAGCCATGAAATCAGAGTTCGAGCTTGCCACTCCAGCAATATCTACAGTTCATACGACTGGAATAGCTCGCTCAGGTTTGTTTGATTCATATTTGAAGCTTAGGTTCTTTCGACGTCGTTGCCGCTTGTCCTGCCAGACTGGATTTTGGATGCAGGTTCCTCCTGCATCCTGCTGCACTGTGGCAATAAGCTCCACAGCTGAACTGCGTCCTGGCTGGTGGCTCTTGAGGTGTTCGATGTCTGCCTTAGCGGGCGAAAGTTCTGCACCGGACCCTATCACTCCACCACTTCTGCCAAAACAAAATGCAACCCACGAACCCGAATGCTCACACGCATGTTAATGGTACAGATGTCGAAACACATGGATATGCAGTCACGCAGAACACTTTTCTGAAACAGTTTATTTGAACAGTCTTGTACATTTTCCCCTGTTACCATACCAGTGCACCGTAGACCGTGGAATATGGAAGAAGGTGGCGTGCTAAGTGTGGAGTGTGGAGCGTAGAGTCTGGAGTGTAAAGTATGGAGTGTAAAGTACGGAGTGTCAAGTGTATAGTGTGGAGTGTGGAGTGTGGAGCGTAGAGTGTAAAGTGTAAAGTGTGGAGTGTAAAGTGTGGAGCGTGGAGTGTAGAGTGTGGAGTGTGGAGTGTAAAGTGTGGAGTGTGCAGTGTGGAGTGCGGAGTGTAAAGTGTGGAGTGTAATGGAGTGTGGAGTGTAAAGCGTGGAGTGTCAAGTGTCAAGTGTCAAGTGTCACGTGTAGAATGTGGAGTGTGGATTGAGGAGTGTAAAGTGCAAAGTATTGAGTGTAAAGTGTAAAGTTTGGAGTGCACAGTGCAAAGTGTAGAGTGTAAAGTGTAGAGTGTAAAGTGTAGAGTATAAAGTGTAGAGTTTGGAGTGTAAAGTGTAGAGTGTAAAGGGTAGAGTGTGGAGTGAGGAGTGTAAAGTGCAAAGTGTAAAGTGTAAAGTGTGGAGTGAGGAGTGTAAAGTGTAAAGTGTGGAGTGTAAAGTGTAAAATGAAAAGTGTAAAGTGGGGAGTGTCGTGTGTAGAGTGTGGAGTGAAAAGTGTCAAGTGCAAAGCGTGGAGTGTAAAGTGTGAAGTGCGGAGTGTAAAGTGTAAAGGATGGAGTGTGGAGTGTAGAGTGTGGAGTGCGGAGTGTAGAGTGTAAAGTGCAAAGTGTAAAGTGTAAAGCATGGAGTGTAAAGTGTGAAGTGTGGAGTGTGGAGTGGGAAATGTAAAGTGTAGAGTGTGAAGTGTAGAGTGTAAAGTGTGGAGTGTAGAGTGTGGAGTGCGAAGTGTAAAGTGTGGAGTGTGCAGTGTGGAGAGCGGAGTGCGGAGTGTAAAGTGTAAAATGTTGAGTGCGGAGTGTAAAGTGTAAAGTGTGGAGTGTGCAGTGTGGAGTGCGGAGTGTAAAGTGTGGGGTGTAAAGTGTAGAGTGTAAAGTGTAAAGTGCAGTGTAAAGTGTGGAGTGTAAAGTGTGGAGTGTAAAGTGTGGAGTGTAAAGTGTAGAGTGTGGAGTGTAGAGTGTAAAGTGTGGAATGTAAAGTGTTGAGTGTGAAGTGTACAGGGTGGAGTGTGGAGTGCCAAGTGTGGAGTGTTGCACTTGCCACGCAAAACGACGTGACAACCTGCTTGGAAACCTTTCGAAAAGGAGAGGTTTTGCAGCTTCCCCCATAGACACGGCGAGGCCACAGGAAAACCAGAGACTCGAGACGAGACACGTGGGAGCATCAAAACGAGCATTTCGTGCGAGACATCCTCCAATTTTCACACTTTGTAGCAAAATCGATGTTTTCCTACAAGTTTTCTTAGGAACCTCCAAATTTGCTACCTCAAAATCGATGTTTCGCGCGAGGCTTCCATCAATTTTCATCACATCTCACAAAATGCCACGCTTGCCACGGAATTTGCACCTTGTCGCCACTTCGCGAAGCCCTGACAATGTGATTTGCAAAAAACACGCAAGACGACACGTCTAAAGTGCTCCGCATGCCACGCAAACTGAACATCGATGGACACGTCCAAAGTGGTGCGCCTGCCACAAAAACTGGAACTCATCTTCTGAAAACGACGCAAAAATATTGCGCCTGCCACACAAAACGACTTTCGACACGCTACAAAACACGTCTGAATGTCAGGAAGTGCCACGCCTGCCACGCAAAACGAAGCAACGCGACGTTTGAAACCTCCAAAAGTGGCCCCTTGTGCAGAACTTACCATAGGCACGGCCATAGCGACCTCGCGCCGACGGTTGCGAACGGCTGCGGACGGTCGCGGACGGTTGCGAACGGTTGCGGACGGTTGCGAACGGTTGCGGACGGTTGGGCCAGACCCCCAGAGTGAAACGGGAACCCTTACTACGCATTCGGGGAAAAGATCCCAACCTGTCACTATGGAATGACCCCAGAAGAAGACAAATGTCTTAACCTCAAACTCACTCCACGTCTTTTTGGAAAGCGCTCGTCTGAGAACAATTCAACGAAGATTTACAGCAGGCATCAGGTTGACATTTGGCATCTTGGAGAGACTTCAGAGAAAGGCACGGGATGTAGGATGCCTTCGAATGTCTTCAGAGATGCTCAAAAGATCTCACATTTCAGCTTCAAAGGATGCTCGTAGTTCCATCAAAGCTGACCAAAGATGCCTTGACGACCTGTGGAAAATTGGAGGGCCGGGTGATCTAGCGCCTAGTGGAAAGATATTGACTTTCCTTTCAAAAGCGCTCTCGGGTGTCCAACGGAAAGTCCAATTCTGGACTTCTTTGGCTGCACTGCTGCGAGTATTGTACACATCATAATTGCACATCATACACCGGGCCTGCACCAATGAAAGGATGAAGGCATCCAAACGCGAGCTACAAGTTTCGGACATGTGGCATACGGATTAGTCTGTTACTTTACCTAGCCTAAATGCAATTATCATGCCGTCGTGCAATCTTACGCCTTTCTTTGCAGAATCTTGGCGAAAGTTCAACCCAATGAAACATATGAAACATGTTGAGTCATCAGTTGAGTCATCCTCAAGTCATCCCGTAAAACGATGTAAAAAGTTGTAAAAGTTTACGCACACATCATGTGGCTCACGGTTGGATGCTCAAGGCATCTTCCTCTCCACTGGAAGGCGCACATGGACTGCTGCAAACTTGGACCATCTTTTCTGGATGCCAAGCCAAAAAAGCAAACAACGCATCAAAGTCAGAGGATGTCAGAACAAACTTGTCACCTTCCTTGATACCCCTTGAGATCCCTTCATGATTTCAAAGAGGGTGTGGTGACACTGACAAGAAATGATCCCTTTATCATCTTTATATTATATATATATCGTTATCATCTTTAGCCACCCATGAACTCTTGACTTTGATGGGTGCCATCCTACAACCCATGAGCTATTTGGCTTCTGATCAGGCCGGAACAGCAACCGAAGGTTCCTAGATTCCTAGCGGTCTATGCTGCCTCCAGGTGCCGATCAGTAATCCCAATCCAGCATGAGTCAGCTATCCTTTGATGCGATCATATTGTAGTATCGGAATGTGACGGGGATATCAATGGGATATCATAGGATGTGAGGTCCACAACATCATTACATGACAAAACAATACGTTGGATCCGCATGGATCCAAAAAACCTGAAAACTGACTGACTCACGATTCCGTCCAGGGCTTGGAGGCATGAGGTCAATTTCTGATCGACATGCCAATAATATCCATTTACACAGTTGTTTACAACACCATTTATATACATCGCTCATCACCGACGGCCAAGACACCGGAGCAAAAGCAGAAGGTTTCAGGTTGTGAAAGCGCTTCAGTTCTGCTCCAAGTAGCTAGCCTTCAGCTGTCGGATGCGACATCGTCCGCCTCATCACTAGCCGCATCATACTCATCTTCATCGCCACCTTCCTCTTCTCTCTTGTGCAAAGCCTGCAGGTTTCCACATCAACATCTTACGATATCTCACGATGTCGTACCTTCCGTATCCTTCCGTTACCCTCCAGTTTGCCTCAGTGCTTGAGCAAATCCCGTTGTTTCAGAGATCGCAAAGGGTGCTGTGCCTCGAGAACTTCTGGGCTCGGATACCAACCTGCTTGTTGCATTGCCTCCCAAGGCAAAATGCCACAGGTCAACAGGTCACTGCGCGGCACAGTTGCATCAGGTGGCATCAATTTCATCAAAGTCAGTCTCCAAAGGTCTCGAAATCCCTGCCTTGTCAAGAAACACCTTGAAGAACTGCCTCAAGTTGGGTATGAGGGTCCCGACTTGGGGATCTGCCAAAGATTGGTTCAGACAGCTCTGCTGCAAAAAAAATGAGGACCAAATGAGCTGGTCTAAACTGCATTCCCTTAGCAAAAAAAAAAACACGCGAGTCAACCTGCGCTCTGACTCATGCTGCCAAGCAACTTTGACAGCCCATTAGAAGCCTGCCCGTGAAAGTCACAAAGTAAGGCGAACTAACCCTTGAGCTCTCTGAGGTGCTGCTCACCCCAGCTGTTTGCTGAGCCCACTGGAAACTTGATCGGGCACAACAGCACAAAAGGTATGTAGTGATTTGCAGCGATATAAAATGATATAAAAATGATGTTATATCAATATATTCCAAATACACACACATATATATATATGTATATGTGTGTGTGTGTAAATACAGCAAATTATAATAATAGATATATAATTATTATGTTGCATATGTATCCTCATTGCTTCGGAGGCCTTCGTCAGCTCGATCTGCAAATGCAATGTGTCGTCAAACGCCTCATGGAAATGTCACATGAGGATCAAACATTGCAGCTGCGAAAGAGTGACGCCACGCAGGTAAAGGTTCGATGTCTGGATTTGTTTGGCAATTTGGGACAGTCATCAGCAAAATGTGTTACTTGATTGGTGCCGTTGTAGTGATCACCTGTTATATCCAAGGACCTTTATATAATTCGCAATATTTTGCAATGCTGGACCCACTGGACCCCTCGCCTCATAAAGCGGCTTAGCCAGAACTTCAGCCCGGTCAGGTGGCACATCCCTAGCAGTAGCTGTGTGGATCATTTCTCGTGAATTCCAAAATGATCCTGATATTCCTCCTGTTTCGATGCCCTCTAGGCCTAGAGTCCTAGAGCGCTTGTAGCAGTCAAATGGGTCTGAACTGAACTGTCACTTCCTTTTGGTTTTTTTACTCTTTTTCGGCCGGGACCTCCAACAGTTTGCCCTACAGCTAGGGAACGAAATCAGGAGAACAAAGTGAAGGAGTCAGCTATTCCACACTTGAATTCTCAATCGACCCCACTACAAGCGGCAAATCTCTATGCAACACAACATAGCGACTCAGCTTCAAACCTCAGCATCATTGCCCTCAGAAGCGCTTCAGCAATGTCAGTGAGAGGTGCACGCCGCACCGAATCGTACCGATGTTCCATGCAACACTTGGATGGAAGGATCCGCCTACATCTCATATCTTCTGATTACTAAAATCTTTTCTTGCCCAGGGGCAAATCGCCCCTTCTCATGTAAATATGCCTCAGTTGTAGCACATAGCACATGTGGCACTGCCAATTCTGTCTCATTGGATATACTACTTGCTGGACCTGCCGCAGCTGTCATGCAATGTCATGAAATATCGCGAATAGGAAACGGCTGACATGGCCCCAAGCCATCCATAGGTTGTCACATACCGTCACACGTCATCACTGAATATCTGCGGCCATGCTGCACACCAGCTCGGCCAGTTGCATACCTAGGATCAGAACATATCAGAACCCTGGTCAGCTCAAGTCTGCTCTAGGTGACTGGTACCAAAGTCCTCCAGAGCATTTGATCTTCGGATCTTCTATGATTTTGTTACACATTGTACAGGATTCCCATGTCCTTCCGTTTTATCTGTTTTGTTATCTGTCTTGTGCTCTATTATCTCTATTGGAATCGTTTCAAGACTCGACTCTTCGAAGGTTCCCTGAGAGCTTCAACTTTGGGATTTCAGCGTTTCAGCCTCTTAATCCAGTGGATGCCAGGCTGCTGAGCAAAAACCTCAGCGCTAAGTTTGCACAGCTCCTTGAGAGGGCCTTCTTCTTTCCTCAACGCAGCTCAAAGTCGTAGGTGCAAAATCGATCAAAAAAACCACATGACGCACTAAATGAATCTTCAAATCAAAATACAAATACATCAAAATACATCAAAATACATAAGTGATAATGATTGGCATTCGTGAAAACATCCAAAGAGGACAGACCTCTCGTAAAACATAGGCCTGCCAGTTTGCACCCCAGCAACTTCGTCAAGTGGCATTTGTGACACTATCTATATTTATCTCATTTAAATTACATTTATTGGCACCGCTACGTCTCTCCCTCTCTCTCTCCCTCTCCCTCTCTCTCTCTCTCTCTCTCTCTCTCTCTTGGTGGCCAAGCTTACAGACTTTCTCTTCGGAATGTGCATGCTGCATCCACAGGAATATGTAGACACAGATATTATAGATAAGTACTGCAGACGGATGATAAAAATGTACAGTATCTTGACAGACAACGGAAGCTACGAATAGGATGGGGCAAGATAAGGCAAGCTAAGAGCAAGGTGTAACAAAGTCAGGCAAGATGAGCTACATTAAGACACGTTGATAGGCAAACAAATAGACAAACAATGGACCGTATGGACAAAGGAAGGCATAGGGTGAATCAAATAGATTGACACATCAACAGAGAATCACCTCATATCACCTCTCTCTCAAACAGCCAAGCTTCGTAGTGGTTGGTGCCTCTGACCTTAGCAACGGCTGTGCAGCGCCATCAACAGCTCAAGCCACAGGCTATCACGGGGACCATGTCAGTGATCCAACCACGTCTGGCTTGGTGGCTTCAACCCAAAACAAAACTACCAAAAACATGTTAAGATATGTTAAGATATGTTAAGATATGTTAAGATATGTTAAGATATGTTAAGATATGTTAAGATATGTTAAGATACTGCTTCAATATCTTCAATCATTCATATTATGAAATAGTGAAGTGGGGATCATCATCCCAGCAGAGACAGAGAGTCCTTGAAAAGCACTTTGTGGCTGCGCCCTCGACACGGACCATCCGTGATGCCAATCCGATAAAGCCGCTTGAAAAACATTGGGAGGTTGGCTTTTGGGACTCACTGTTTTGAGATAAGCATGAATCGCCAGCATTCTCAACACATCCCAACACTGCTATGCGTGCGACTGCTCGCAACTTTTTGGGGCAAGGGACATCCGCGAGACCCTGAGACCGGCTTCATCCTCCACCACGATGTAGCCTTTCAAACGTGCCTCCCTTCGAATCACTTCCTGCGGCAAAAGTGTGACGACCCCTTGAAACCCATTTGAACTCCCAAGTTTGGGATATGACGTTTAATTACATTCCAATCATTCCATCACAATCCTTCTCCAAACGCGAGATGTCATTGCTGAACCTCAGGCCGGCAGTAAGACAGAATAAGACAGACAACATAACTCAACATAAGATAACATAAACACCCCGACAATCCCCGACATGGAAAAAACCTAAGGATCTCAACCAAGGTGCTGGACGAATCCCGGTTGAACACCTTCAGCCAGCTCTGCATGCAAACGTTCCACAGATTCCTTCAAGTTTCCAACCACCACGCGCTCCTTGCATGACTGAGCAGGATGCAACAAGTCTCTTTATGTTGGAAGACATGACACCCCCCCTCACAAAACCTGGAAATCAAACTTGATCAAACAAGTCAAACAAGGGCATCGTCCTGAAAGCCTGAAACGCCGATGATGTCATAGCCATATTCTTTGCAAACTCGAACTGCACAGTCACGGAAGTCCTGCCATTCATTGAGGCCTACAGCATCCTACAGCTGAAGCCGATAGAATTTCATAGAATTTTAGGGTTGTTTTATGTTGTTTTTGTCCACCCCTTGCCTGGCCAACTGCCGCGGGAAACTCATACATGGCCTCAAAAAGCACGCTGCCAACAGCGCAAACATGGCCTGTAGATTTAGAATTGCAATGGATCGGAGGCACTCTAGCAGCACTGAATGATACTGAATGTCAGACGCTGTCATCTATACTGTTGGCACGCATGACATTAAAAATAATTAAAAATAGATGCGGAAATCATCCAAAAAATGAAATCACAAGCCACAACATGGAAAATCATGGAAGGAGATGTGCTATTCAAGTTCACCAAAGTTCACCATGGGCCCCACTTGACTCTATTTCACACGTCAATGTCGGTAGAACTCCCTTGCCATCCTGCCCTTCCGGTTCCACACAAGGACGAACCCCTCGTGCCAAGGTTCTTTAAGGGGTAGATCTGCAAGTTGACTTCTCAAGACTTCCTCCACTTCTGGAGCAGAGCCTCACACCACAGAAAAACTGATGCAAGATGCAAGTCATGTAGCAAACTGACGTTGAGGATCAAGATCAAGGTCAGTCGGGTCTTTGAAGGCCTCTGTCATTGAAGATGTCTACATCGTAGCCATCGTCCTGTGGCATCACACCAATGCACTGTCATGCCTTTATTCCCCACATGCAATACCGCATTCTGCATGCTCCTCATCCACGTCAACCAAACCTGTCAGGGCTTCAGCCACTGCGCAGCCACAGCCACAATCAAGTATCAGAGTGTAAAATCGTCATCTATAATGTCTCTATACCTGTCGTGCACTGCATGAAAGAGCTGACAGAAGTTGAAGCTGCCACGTCGGAAAATGACTCGGCACGACTGCCCCGATGTTATCCTGATGTTTCAGCCAAGCTTCTGCGGGCTGCCAAAGAGAACTGGGGTCGGATGAGTCGGAACAAACAGTTAGAGCATGTTTGAATCATGCTGAAATCACGTTAATTAGAATCATGCTGTCTATGCATGTTGCAGATCTTGAAGCTCGGCACAAAAACATTGAAAAATAGGAGGAAGAAAAAAAACCTGCAGTGGACTCCATTGGTCAAGACACCTTTGGAAGCACAAGCTCTTGGGTTGCATTGGGGCATGGGCCGATCGCCTCGGCAGTCCCAAGACATCCTAAGACATCCTAAGACCTAAGACATCCCGAGAGGTCCCAGATCGACACTCAGATGTTAGGAGCTACAGCAGCTGCAGAAGCTGCAGTTTTGTTACCATTTTCGACCAAGGCACCTTGGAAATACGCAGGTTTTCTGCCTCTGCCAAGGTCCGGCCCAACAAGACCAGGCCAGGACCTGCTTTTTTGGCTCGAAGCCGGATCCCCGAACACAATGGCAACTCCAACACATCCTGGCAGCGTTAACATGGAGAGCCTGCTGAATGCCTGCTGAATGCCTGCTGAATGCCTATGGGGCCTATGTATCACTATGTCCAACTCAACATGTTGTCCAACATATTGCAACATGAGCTTGGCATGACAGTCTTGGACAAGAAAAACTCAACGCACCAGGTGCCTGTCGCAGTTTCTGGGAAATGGGCCCTTCCCGCATCACCAGCAAGGAAGAACCTTGTGTTGAAGACCAAAGGTTCAATTCCCGAGCAACCTGACACAACACAGGTTCTGCAAGTGAGACAAGCAAGATCAAGCAAGACCAATAACTTTGGCAGTAAGCTAAACACAGCGATGACCAAAGCATGGCCCTTCACCTGCAAGTGTATCGCCCTTTTCTTTCTTGAAAGGTTCGACAGTTTCACGCTTTGGTCCTCCGCAGCGAGGATGGAGCAACTGTGCCAGTTCCGTCCTATTTGAACAGCCCCCCGGCAGCACACAGTTCCACAAAATCCTCCATCAATCCCCATCACCCATGTCCAGGATTTTTTGGCAAGCTGCCAACTTCGATGCGTCTCATTGATGCTGACAAACAGAACTGTACCAGAGCACAATGAGGATCCAGCCTGCTCTTGTGGCATAGCTGTACAAAAGACCTGCAAGACCTGCAAGACCTGCAAGACCTGCAAATTTAGATTGTGCCTCGGTTGAAGCTCAACCCAGGTAAGCTGCGAAAGCGCAGAGGATCGCAATGCCGGGGCCGATGGTGATGGTTGCAGCATCAGCAATGATTGGAGCCGATCCACCCTTTCCATCGCAGTAAGCACAGGCGGTAGGATAAGTGCAGCGGCATACTCCGCAGTTCACCAAACCGGCAGCACAGGTTCCACTTCCACCACCATAACTTACACTGGAGACAGAACTGACTGGTGCCGCCCCGCCAGTACCGCTACACCACTTGCAAGTAGATTCGGGCACGTTCTGGCAAACGCCGCAGCTTACAACCCTCTCCAGGTTGCGGCCAGAGGCCTGTGCGTTCTCCTCAGGATCCGCAAACACCGTTGAGAAGAGTGCCACAGTCAACAAGAACTGGAGCCTGGTCAGCATGGTGCTGTCTTGGTGCTCTTGTTCCTAGAACTGTGCGACTGTGCGATGACGCTTTCAAGCTTCTGGAGCCAAATGCTTCGGTGAAGATTGGAACATTCGCATACATTCGCCACACCATGCAAGGTCCTAAATCGATCAAACTGCATCCATTTTTGAACAGTACTGAAACGCTCATGAATTATATGAATTGTGGAATACATGGTATCGATGGGCATTCAGAGCGACAATTCATGGGTCTTGAAACTTGGGATATCTTGGGCATCCAAGGTCGGCCGCCGGGTCCGGATGAAGGCTCGAGAGCTCTTCCATTGCTTGTCCGCGGATGGTCTCTTCATCTTCCTCTTCCTGTGGGGCGGCATCCTACTGTCACCCGCATGCAAACAGGTACTGCTGTATCAGAACATATCAGAACAAGCAGAATAGTAGTAATTAGCAGAGGTAGGAGTAGAAGTGTTGCAAGTAGAAGTACTACTATAATTAATAGTGAAACGTCACTAAGGCTAAGACAGCCAAAGTATCCCAAAGTGTATCTTTGACAATTTATGGTGTGCAAAAGAAAAAATGCGGAGCCCATCGTCCTATGCACTAAATATTGACTCATACGTGCCTCCTCTTTCTGAAGCCGACTTAGCAATGCCAGCTTCATGGTGGCTTTTTTCAACTTATTCACCTCAGGATCTCAGTGAGCCATTGGCCAAGGCTTCCAAGGCTTCCAAGGCATGGCTCTTGAACTCAAAAAGCACTTGTGAGCACCATATGATATCATGTGTGCCTGGTCCGCACCTGCATTGCAGATTGAAAAAAGCAAAGGGAGCGAACAAATGTAAAAAGCAACAGTTGATGAGATATCATTTGATATCATCTGAACCATGAAGGTCATATGTGTTTATATGAGATTACCCCAATAGAAACTCATAATGCCATGTGTTGGAGATCAAGAAAAAGGCTCTAAGGTGGCCCTCCATGGCCTCCGGTTTCTTCTCCGGGGTGGGCGGCTTCTCTGGGGGAGGCGGCTCAGGTGGTTTCTCCACCTCAGTGTAGAGCAGTGCCACTGGATGCCACGTGATGCCACTATTCTCTTTGTTTTTGACCGCACGTTCCACACGGAAACCATCTGAAACTATCATACAAGCACTATCATTTTGGGATGATGATTATGATTATCACCACTGTTATCATTATCATTCAATATCATCATCAATGATATGATCATCACCATTATTATGATGATATTATCACCGTTGCCGTTATCTATCATATTTTGTTATTCTGATTCTGATGATGAAGCTTCAAAGGGTGACCCCTAATGATCCCTGGTGACCCCTGCCAGTAGGCGAGATGCCTTGGGAACTTGAGGAAGTTTTGGTTTCAGGGCCTGCCTGGGCAATTCATGCGTGATTTTACCCCTGGGAATGCATCCATTTCTGTAGCATGTAAACATGTATATCAGCGCATGTATATAAAATATACATAGATATATGTATATATGTAATATTATAAATATATCGTTCTGTGTGTTTACCATCGCCTTCAGACAGTGTGTGTGCATGCGTCGATGGTTAACAAATATATATATATATAATATGTATGGATGGATGGATGGATGGATGGACGGATGGATGGATGGATGGGTGGATGGATGGATGGACATGTGTGCATGCATGCATGCATGTGTGTTATGTTATGTTATGTTGTGGTATGTTGTGGTATGTTATGGTATGTTATGTTCTGAACGTACGTACGTACGTATGTATGTATATATGTTCGTATGTATGTTTGTTTGTATGTTTGTTTGTATGTCTGTCTGTCTGTGTGTGTATGCATGCATGCATGCATGCATGCATGCATACATAGATGTCAGTCAGTCAGTCAGTCAGTCAGTCAGTCAGTCTGTCTGTCTGTCTGTCTGTCTGTCTGTCTGTCTGTATGTGCGTATGTATGTGTGTATGTATGTTAGTATGTTATGTATGGCATGTATGTTCTGTATGTTATGTGTGTAATGATATGGTATGGTATGGCATGGCATGGCATGGCATGGCATGGCAATGTCTTGGTACTGTATGTGTGCGTGTTTGCGCGTGTGTTTTACATGTATATATAAACTCTTCAAGATAACCCAACGGCAAATTGTCCATCCATCACAAATGATCTTAAATAATCTTGAACCATCTACATCCAACAATCTGGGCTCCTTTAGAACTCAACAAAACGAGCGTCTTGGTGATGGCCCCACTGCACCTGCGTCGTCTTTTGCCGGTAAAGGCCGAATCATCCCAGTCTGCGAAGTACTCTTCCCAAGCGGCCTGCATAAACACGGCTGCATAATCTTTAGTAAGAATGCACAATCATTTTTGACCAAACCGGTTATGACCTTCTAGGCTACTCATTTTAATACTCAACGGGCTCAACAGGCTCAACGGACTCAAGTTTCAACATCATTGCAGTTTCCAAATTCGGCAGAATCAGGAAACCACTGGAGAACCCAGCCGCAACAGCTCCAAACTCTGCCAGGACACTTTTGAGATCTCACTCTTCCCTTGCGAAATGCGCTGGAAGGACTGCTTCACCGACATACCTCCCATAAAACCGTGGAGCCAGCAGTGCAAACCGGTCATATTGTGACGTTAATACACGGGCACGCCCATGTCAACACTGACACCTGCCAGCTGACAACATCTCCCACCTGCAATCTTGTTCGGGTCCTCAGATTCGGCGCTTTCAGTTGAAACATATTTGAAATCACCGGTCAATCTTGTTCATTCACATTGGCTCACTTAACAGTCTCAGAACCACATCAATCCCACAAAAAATCCTGCAGAATCCTTTTGCTTCCAAGGCTCGATTCTCAACACCAGAAGCCCCGTATGCCAGGACACAAAGGCAAAGGAATCGCCACGATTTGCCGTGTCCATATATTGGAAAGCATCGTCCAAGGATCCCAATTTGGCGGACAGCAAGAAGGCCAAAGCATCCTTAGCATCTGCATCTTTACATCCATCGATAAAATTTATGTAAGCCACATCTGTGTGTATATATATATATATCTCTCTCTCTCAATATCAATATAGAATCTATGTAGAATCTATACCTTGTCTCTCACTTATACTCGATCTCTGCGAATGGTCGGTTGTTCGCCTGTATCCAAGATCATCAAAGATCATCCAAAATCCGGCAATTGAATCCAAGCGACCTTTCCAGCTAGGCCATTCTCCTGAATCTGCCGCTCCAGTTCCAACTGCTCTTTCTCTTCCGCGGCCGTCATCGGTTTCAGTTCCTATGCCGCTATGAATCAACATGACTGTCGGCCAATTAAGACATATTAAGTAAGCCCAAAGAGTGTCCCCAACAGCCAGAAACGAAAACAGTTGCCAAACACGCAATGAGTGAAGTATGTTTATTGCCCCGCCCTTCTTACTCTAGAGATCGTGCGTGTCGGATGGGCAAACATGTGGTGTGGTGAAATGCGAAACCTCTTTGCCATGCAACCGGCTGCGGAGATCGTGCGTTTCGAACGCCCAATCATGTGGTGGAAATTGGTGGAATGTGAATTTCTTTTGGGCACGGGCAACCCTCTGCAGAGATCGCGCAGGTCGGACATCCAAACATGTGGCAAAATGCAAATTTGATGGGGCCCGGCGCAGCCCCTTCGCACGAAATGAGGGGCAACCGTCAAAAACTGGTGTAAAATTGTGATTTTGAAAGTTCAATGAAAGTCAAACGGCAATAACTGTGGGAAAACTGAGATTTTTTAATGTCAGATGCAAACGTTCCAGAATTTGCGTAAAATTGCGACTATATCCATTTTTTGAAACGTCAGGCACTACCGTTTGGCGCGAAAAAAAAACTTGTGTAAAATTGCGATTTAACAAGGTCAGGCGCAACCCTTTCACGCAAAATGATTGTCCAACGTCAAAAATTGCGATTCTCCAATGACGGATGCAACCCTTTCGCACGATATGATGGTCGAGCGTCAAAAACTTACGTAAAATTTCGATTTTTTGAAGTGTGTAAAAGCTGCTCTGTGGAATCGTTTTTTCTGTGGGAAAGCGTCTGTGGGTAAAGGCTTCTCTGTGTAAAAGCTTCTGTGCGTAAAAGCCGCCGTGTGTACAAGCTTCTGTGTGTAAAGGCGTCTGTGTGTAAAAGCTCCTGTGCTCAAAAGCTTCTGTGGAAAAGCTTCTGTGTGTGTAAAAGCTTCTGTGTGTAAAGGCTTCTCTGTGTCAAAGCTTCTGTGTTTCTCTGAAAAACAATCTGTGTCTAAAAGCTTCTGTGTGTACAGGCGTGTATATGTCAAAGCGTCTCTGGGTAAATGCTTCTGTGTGGGAAGGCATCTGTGTTCAAAAGCTTCTGTGTGCAGAAGCATCTGCCGCATCTGTGTGAAGAACTTTTTGTGTAAATGCCTCTATGATCTCTATGTGTAAAGACCTGTCTGTGTAAAAGCTTGGGCAACTGCGTGTTTAAAGTTTCTGTGTGTATAAGATTGTATCAGCTGCTCTGTGCAAAAGTCCTCTCTCTGTGTAAAAGCTTCGGTGTGTAAAAGCTGCTCTGTGTAAACCCTGCTCTGCGAACAATCTTCTATGCGTAAAAGCGTCTGTGTGTAAAAGCTCTATGCGTAAAAGCGTCTGTGTGTAAAGGCTCTGCGTGTAAAGGCGTGTGTGTAAAGCTTTTCTGTGTGTGTGTGTAAATGCTTCTGTGTATAAAAGATGCTCTATGTAGAGGCTTCTCTGTGTAAAAGCTTGTCTTGTCTGTTTAAAGCTTATGTGTAAAAACTTCTGTGCGTAAAAGCCTGGGGGCGTCTGTGTGCAAAAGCTGCTCTGTGCATCTTTGTGTAAAAGCGTCTGTGTGTAAAAGCTGCTCTGTGTAAAGGCCTCTCTGCGTCAAACCTTCGGTCTGTAAGCTCTGTCAACAAGCTTCTATGCGTAAAAGCGTCTGCGTTTAAAAGCTCTGCGTGTGTAAAGCTTTTGTGCGTGTCAATGCTTCTGTGTAAAAAAGATGCTCTGTTTAGACACGTCTCTGTGTAAAAGCTTCTCTGTGTAAAGCTTCCGTGTGAAAACCTCTGTGCGTAAAAGCCTCTCTGTGTAAAGGCCTCTCTGCGTCAAAGCTTCGGTGTGTAAAAGCTGCTGTATGTAAAAACCGTTTGTGCTCAAAGTTCCTTCCCGCAAACGCTTGTCAGTGAAAAAGCTTCTCTGTGCAAAATCTTCTCTGTGTAAAAGCTTCTGTGTGTAAAAGCTGATCTGTTTAAAGGCTTCTCTGAGTAAAAGCTTCTGTGTAAAAGCTTCTGTTTGTAAAGGCATCTCTGTGCAAAAGCTTCTGTGTAAAAGCTTTCTTGTGAAAAGGCTGTAAAAGTTTCTGTGTCTAAAAGATTCTTTTTGTAAGGCGTGTGTGTGCAAAAGCTCCTGTGTGTAAAAGCTTGGGCATCTGCGCGTTAAAGTTCCTGTGTGTGAAAACTTCTTTGTGAAAAAGCATCTGTGTGTAAAGCTGCTGTGTAAAGGCTTCATGTGGTAAGGCTTCTTTAGAAAAGGCCTTTCTGTGCAAAAGCTTCTGTATGTAAAAGCGTCTGTGTGCAAAAGCGTCTGTGTAAAAGCTGCTCTGTGTAAATCCCTCTCTGTGTAAAGGCTTCTGTGTGTAAAATCTTCTCTGTGTAATTTTCTCGCTGTGTAAAGACAACATGTCTTTTGATTCTGACTGTCGCTCAGCTGCCAGCCCTGGAGCAAACCCTCTGCGGGGACAATATGACATGTGACTCGCGTCGGCTATCATTCATCATCATCTCCATCGCCATTCATCCTCGTCATCGTCATCGCCATCATCATTGTCGTCATCATCATCACCATCATCATTTTTCTTGTGTATTATCTTCTCGTCTCCTCCCTCCTGCTTTCTTTCATGCCACGCTGCCGTCTAGTGAGTGCCGTATCATTTTTTGAAGCAAACTAGCTCTTCAATCCCTCCGTTCCGTTATTAGAACAATTCTTCAAACTTTGCAGCATTCTGTTGTTCAATGTTCTTGGAACCTTGCCTGGGCAACTGTTCTTGGACACGTTGCTTGACACTTGTTTATCAGAACCTTGCTTGGGAACCTGTTCTTGGGAGCCTTGCTTGGGAACCTGTTCTTGGGAGCCTATTTATAGGAACCTGCTTTTGGGAGCATTGCCTGGTGACCTGTTCTTGGGAACTCTCTCTTGGGAACCTGTTCTTGGAAACTTTGCCTGCTTGCTTCAAACCTGTTCATTGGGACCTTGCTCGGGAACCTGTTTTTCGTAACTTTGCTTGGGGACCTTGTTTAGGAACCTGTCCTTCGGAACCTTGCTTGGGATTCTGTTCTTGCTTCCAACCTTGCTTGCAGATGTTCTTCGAAATTTCGTTTTTCCCCACCTGCCAGGTGAGGGTTGTTAGATTTTATGTCAGTTGCCTCCTCCTGACTCCTGCCTCGTCCTCCTCCTCCTCCTCCTCTCCTCCTCCTCCTCGTCCTCCTTGTCATCCTTGTCGTCCTTGTCGTCCTCGTCGTCCTCGTCGTCCTCGTCGTCCTTGCTCAACTGCGACCCGCGATCCACAGTGTTCTCTGCCGGACCTCAACCACGACCACCCACGCCCAGTGTTCCCTGCCGGACCTCAACCACGACCAGCCACGCCCAGTGTTCCCTGCCGGACCTCAACCACGACCAGCCACGCCCAGTGTTCCCTGCCGGACCTCAACCGCGAGGATCCACGCCAAGTGTTCCCTGCCGGACCTCATGTAGGAAGATAGAATGCAGATAGAATGCCAGAAGATTTGCCAGATAGAATGCCAGAAAATATGCCAGAAGATATGCCAGATAGATATGCCAGAAGATATGCCAGATAGATATGCCAGAAGATATTCCAGAAGATATGCAGAAATATGCCAGAAGATAGTCAGATATAGAATATATGTCAGATATGAGGCCCAGAAGATATGCCAGATAGAATGCCAGAAGATTTGCCATAGAATGCCAGAAGATATGCCAGGTCATATGCCAGAAGATATGCCAGATAGAATGCCAAATAGAATGTCAGAAGATATGTCAGATAGAATGCCAGAAGATTTGCCAGTAAGAAAATGTATAAATGTCATGGTGGGGATCACACGAAGTAAAGTAATTGCAAGTTGTTTTTGGAAAGCTGTTCCTGGGAACATGAGCAACCTGAAACCATGCTTGGGAACGTGTTCGTGGGAAAGGTGCTGGCAACCTATTGCTCGGAACCTTCCTAGAGAATATTTGTTCTTGGAACCCGAACCTGTTCTTGGGAACCTGTTCTTCGAACTTCGAACCCTTGCTTGGGAACCTGTTCTTGCGAAGCTTGCTTGCAAACCTGTCCTTGGGAACCTTGCTTGGGGACCTGTTCGTGGAAACCTTGCTTTGGAACCTGTTCCCAAGGTTTGCTTGGTAACCTTGCTATCCTGCAAGGAAACCTGCTCTTGGAACCCTTGCTTGGGAACTTGAGGCACTGTATTTGGAACCCTGGCTTGTGAACCTGTTCTTGCGAACCTTGCATGGGAACCTGGTCTTGCGAACCTTGCTTGGAAACCTGTTCACAGGAACCTTGCCTGGAACCCCCTTGCTTGCAAACCTATTCTTGCAAACCTTTTTTGCAACCTTTTCTTGGAAACCTGTTCCTGGGAACCTTGCTTGGGAACCTGTTCCTGGGAACCTTGCTTTCAAACCTGTTCCTGGAAAATTTGATTGGAAATCGTGTTCTTGGGGTGGCTGAAGACCCCAAGCTTACGTTCCCAAGCAAGTTCCCAGGAAGAGGCTCCCAAGCAGGTCAGGAACTGCTTGCAAGTACGGTTCCCAAAAACGGTTCCCAAGCAAGGTTCCAGGAACCGTTTCCAAGCAAGGTTCCAAGCAGGAACAAGGCTCGCAGGAACAGGTTCTCAAGCATCCGTTCCCAGGAAGAGCTGGTTCACAAGCAAAATTTCCAGGAGCAACTGGGAACCCCTGCTTGCGAACCTCTTCCTGGGAACCTTGCTTGAGAACCTCTTCCTAGCAACCTTGCTTGGGAAGCTGTTCCTGAGAACCTTGCCTGGGAACTTTTTCCGGTAACCTTACTTCTGAACCTGTTCTTGGGAAACTTGTTTGGGAACCTGTTCCTGGGAACCTGTTGCTGGGAACCTTGCTTGGGAACCTCTTCCTGGGAACCTTGCTTGGGAACGTGCTTGGGAACCTTACTTGGGAACCTTGTATGGGCACCTGTTCCTGGGAACCTGTGGCTGGGAACCTTGCTTGGGAACCTCTTCCTGAAAACATTGCTTGGGAACCAGCTTGCTGGGAACCTTGCTTGGACACCTCTTCCTGGAAACCTCTTCCTGGAAACACTTGTTTGAAAACCTGTTCTGGGAACCTTGTTTTGCTTGGAAAAACATGTTCCTGGAAATCTTGCTTGGGAAACTTGCTGGGAACCTTGCTTGGCACTATTGCTGCTATGTTGAAGTGCCTCCTTTTGTTGGAGTGACACCTCTTCCTGGAAACCTCTTCCTGGAAACACTTGCTTGAAAACCTGTTCTGGGAACCTTGTTTTGCTTGGGAAGAACATGTTCCTGGAAATCTTGCTTGGGAAACGGTTCCTGGAAACCTTGAAAACGGTTACTGAAGTCCGTGCTTGCAAAACCTGTTCCTGGGAACCTTGCTTGGGAACTTGTTCCTGGAAACCTCTTCCTGGGAACCCTTGCTTGGGAACCTCTTCCTGAGAACCTTGCTTGGGAACCTCTTGCTGGGAACCCTTGCCTGGGAACCCTTGCTTGGGAACCTGTTCCTGGGAACCGGGAACCTCTTCCTGAAAACCTTCCCTCTTCCTGGGAACTCTGCTTGGGAACCTCTTGCTGGGAACCCTTGCTTGGGAACCTGTTCCTGGGAACCTCTTGAGAACCTTACTTGGGAACCTGTTCCTGGGAACCTTGCTTGGGAACCTCTTCCTGGGAACCTTGCTTGGGAACCTCTTCCTGGGAACCCGGTTCCCAACCTTGCGCCGTGCGGATTTGGCTGCTCCGAGGGACTCTCTTGGAAAAGGAAACCCTTCCTGGGAACCCGGTTCCCAACCTTGCGCCGTGCGGATTTGGCTGCTCCGACCTGCTCCGGAACCTTTACTATGGCTGAAGACCCCAAGCTTAAACCCCCTTGGGCACAGCAAACTGTGCTGCCAAGCAGCAATGGCTTGGCCTCGAGCTTGTAGCTCCAGGGCGGTCTTCAGGTCGTCTTGGTACTGCATCACTCTTTCTTGTTGCTCCCAGTCCTTGCGGCAAAACTCTCAACCGCAGTCATTCCAGCAGTTCTATTGACGTAAATTGGATGAAATTGGCCCGATTTTGGAAGTACTGAGCTTTGATGGTCCTCATCCTTTCGCAGGATCTCTGCCACATCATCCTGAAGTCCAGCCAGCTCGCAAGATGCGTTTTGGGTTGGGTCGAGGGAATATCCCTATGCTTCGTGTTGATATGATAAAGGTGATCACTCTTCCGGCGATTGGGTCACAGGATGCCACAAGGTTTGCCAGTTGCACTGCAAACATCGAACAAGCCACTCGGCCACGTGGCTGCCCGCTCCCGGGCTCCTTCTTCCCTTGTGTCCAACCGCGGACGCAAAGCTGGCTCAAACGGCGAACTGGCGATGGAGCACCATCCTGCAAGTTTTATCCTTTAGTCCAAGCAATTCGTTTCATCCTTTAGTCCAAGTTGGGTCCGATATTGATTCCAATTGATTCACATCGATTCGCAATATGAAATAGTATATTACAATGAAATCAAGAGGTCTACGCTTTGTGTGAGGTGTCAGCATTCTAGGGTTACAAGTGGAATACTTGATCACTCTCATGCCCATCACCCAAAGCCGAATTTCCTCTTGACTTCAATGATCTACAATTTGTCCAGAGCAAACTAGCATCATCGCCACAAGAATCACAACGCAACATCAGGAGAAATATCATCCAAAATCATCAAACATCAGCTTCACAGGTTCATCAACAACTGTCGGGACGCGAACAGCGCATACGTGCGCATACCACAACACAAAGAGGTGTCCATAGCCCTGAAGCCAACCCTAACCTCTCCTTCACGGAGCCATTTGGGGCCTTCGAGGGTGTGCTGGGAGGCACGGGCTTCCTCTCCTCCTTAGATTGTGCACGTGCCTTTGAGGGCGAGGATGGGTGTGATAGCGTGGGTCCCATAGTGGGTCCCATCGGGGATCCCATCGCGGATCCCATCGTGGACCCCATGTCCTTCACGGCACGTGCGGGTGAGGCAGGTGCTCCCGTCTCTTTCACCACACGTGTGGGTGAAGGAGGTGAAGGTGATGAAGGTGGTGAAGGTGGGGGCGGCTGCATCCTTCCCGATGATGATGGTGAGGGTGCCTCTTTGGAAGGCGTGCGAAACCTTGAAGTTGATGGCGGTGAGGGCAGGTCTCTGGAAGGCACCCGTCCCGGCTTTGGAGATGACGGCGACCCCCAACCATCTTTCGAAGCTGAGAGTGATTGCTGGTCAATGGCCAAGGCCATGCCCTGCGCCGGCTTGGGATCTTCTGACCGGATGTTCTTTGGACTGGTGGGGCCAGCATGTAGTCTACCTTGTCTTTTTGGTGGTAGTGATTCCTCATCAGATTTCGCTTTTTCGGGTTTGTGTGGAAAGAGTGGTAAATTTCGCAGAGATGCTTTCAGAGAGGTCAGTCGCTTGGACATCGACGACTTGGTACTCTTTTGTTCTTCTTCGGAGTGAAACATCAGCGGCGGATCTGCTGTCATCGGGGGATCCGCGATCACGGGCAACTCTGCCCCCTCGGGCGGAAGTGCCAAGAGAACCCTGGCCGCAGCGCCCTGGGACTTGGTGGACACCATTGCAAGATCCTTGGTCCAGCCACATCCAGTGATGCCAAGCAAAGGTGGGACACGGCACGGAAGTTGTGGTGGGCACATCCGATGTTTACTTAATTAAACAATTTAAACAAGTATGTAATTGTTCATAGTTTCAATACGATCTCAAAGGCAGCCATCGCGCAGGAAATGTATTAGCTGTTTCAGCCAAGGACTGAGGTTGAATCTAGGCCTGCAAGGCCGGGGTTCTCGACTCACAATGACTTTGCAGACTGCTACTTCAAACCATGATGAGGCAACCTCCCCACTGCAACAGAGTGACGTCATCCAAAGGCACGGCGGACTTGACTTCAAAGATTGGAGACCCTGTAAAATCGCCTTTTTTCGACCTCGAACTGAGGAATCTCTGGACATGGGATGCGTGGACCAGTGGAACGCCATAGCCAATCTACATATGCGTTGTGCCGACGCGTCGCAACAGAGGCTGCAACAAAATATATCTGAAGGAAGCACCACGAATTTGCAGATTTTGGGTGCAATAAAACCTTTCAAGCATCATTGAATGCGACTACTGTATACACTGTATGTTGACTGCCAGTTGAGCTTAGTGTAGTTTAGTTAGATTGACTCGCACACTCTGTCCCTAGCAGCCTAGCACTTCTTTCTTAGCTCAGGTAGCTCTCCGTAGACGGAGATGTTTGTTTCATTGACAGAGTCTCCGACTGGGCGTGAGCATCCTGAGCTACTAGTTATCTTTAGTGATCTGTTGTCCTGACCCGAGGGCCAGACTGGAAGCCATCGCTCCTTGAAAGGCCATCACTTTTCGCAATTCTGCCTTTTTGCACTCGGCCTCTGGCTAATCGACCTGGCAAACAGAGCGCTTTCAAGGGAAGTGGTTTCAATATGTTTCAATATGTTTCAAAGTAGCGGTTTCGAATGGTTTCCGGGTTGAGCCCAGAATGGCCCAGACATTCAAGAGTCTCAAGATTCTCCGGCTCCATCCGGCTCCACACCTGCATCGGGCTCAGGAGGTGGGGAAGGTGCTCCAACTGGCAGCAGCCTTGGTTGTCGCAGCTTGTCGCTTTAAAAGATGCGATGTTCACAGGCAAGGTGCATCGTGTAGGCACCATCGTCTGTCTGGGCACGAGTCCTGGAGAACGGGATGTTGATGAAGGCTGGGATATTGGGGCATCTTCTCCCATTGTTCAGTGCCTGTCCTGGGCGTCTTCCTCATCAGCGTCCCGGCACCACAGGATCCCAATGCATGGGGCACGCGATGCCATCTACATCTGCGAATATGATAAGGGCTTCATGAAATGGATGGTGAATGCGCAAGATATCTGGGTTCACTGGTGGTATGATGTGTAATTATGTGCATGTAATTTATAAATATATATATATATGTAATATATATATATGTGTGTGTGTAATTATGTATATATGATTATATATGTATATGTATATGTAAATAAATAAACAAATGAATAAACAAATAAATAAATAAATAAATAAATAAATTATTTATATATATATATATATGTGTGTGTGTGTGTCTACCTCTCTCTCTCTGTCTCTCTGCCAGCGCAAGTCTGCATGCAATATCACGGAAATATAAACATATGCATACCCTGGTAGGCGCAAAAGCCAAGTCCGCTTTTGCTGTTTTATGGATTGTAGTATGTTGTGGTTTTGTGGTGGGCTACGGTGATGATAACACTAACAAGAGCAGCCTGGTCCACCTTTGGCGGACCTTGCCGCAGCTGCGAGCAGTCTTTGATCCACACAGCATCAGGCATGAGGCAACAACTGCCCTCTTAGTAGTTGTCTCAATGACTCAATGTATCTCATGTGCTCTTGTAGTGCTAGTTTTCCGATCATCTTAGAATCTTGATCATCTTGTTTACACAGGATCCCTCGGGGTGGCCAAGGAGTCTTACCGCTGCCACTGACAAACCTGGGACATCCTGGGACAATTCTGAGCTTCTGGCACAAGCCTAGGCGGCCTCGGGGTTTGAACAATCTGCACCTCGTCTTCCTGCCCAAAATCGCCACAGCCGCAGCCACAGCAGCTGATCTGCAGCTGATCTGCAGCTGATCTCGGCCCCATCGCCTCATCGTGCGCGATCTCCAAGGCCTCAGTCTCCTCTGGTGCCACCACGTCTTCCTCACCTGCGGGCGAAATGTGGCCGGTGCCCGCTATAGCCTGTGAAATCTCTGGCCTAGCTCAACCAAGCCCATCGCCTGGTGAAAAGGATGCTGGGGACAATGGCCCAATTGAACAGGGCCTCAGCATCATGAAAGACTTGTGGAAAGCGCTGAGGCTGGAGCAAGCCACGTGGGTGGAATGCTTGGAACTGCATGCCGCTGGCATTGTCAATTTGTATCAATGTGTCAGGTCTCAGGTCCTACGGTTATTCACTATGGGCCAAGTCATGATCGAATGACCTCACTGGCTCCCAGCATAACCCAGAGAAAACGCCTCCCGGAGTTCTTGTTATCTCATACTCCAAGTGCTAGGCGAGGCAGAGGGCGATGCAACACCGGCCTCCGGCCAATCAAACACCGCACTTTGAAAGCATATGCAGGCAAATGTTTCATCAATGAGTGTGGCCAAGCGGTCTGTAAATGTATTCACCTTTCAATGCATTGCCACTGACCAGTGTGGGCCTCGCAAAGTGACGAACCTTTGCTCTCAGGCGACCTCAGACCCACCGGGTGTCCTCCAATTCTACGGACCTAACGGACCTAACGTCTTCCATTTTCGAAGCCTCGGTGTGGTACCATTCACCTTCGGGGGCAATAAGCTTGCTGCGCATTCCGGTGCTCACTCGAGGCGCTTGAAGGTTGTCTTTTGGCATTGCCTCAGGCTAGGCCTCCCATAACCCTGGGAAATAGGCCGCAGAAAACGCATTTAAACTTAAACTGTATACAGAGCTGGGTAGCCGTGCATAACCATTAACAACGGTTTTTTTTGCCATCTCTTCGAACTGGGGGGTTGAAAAGCACAGGTAGACATACTAAACATACCTTAACTACGGCCAATACTTTGGGCCAGCGTCCCTTTTAGACGCGCAAGGCACTTCCAGTGGTGTGCCACCACACGCTCTTCACTTCTTCTGGATCGTACGCTGTGCCGTTTGGATGGAAAACGTCGTGAAACCACGGATCATCCTTGCCAAAGTCCTGAGGGTACAGGCCGAGGCGACCCTGCAGCAAGCAAAAACTTAAGAGCCTGCCAAATAGAAAGCGGAAATCATTATTTGTATAGTCTGTATATATACAGTAGTTATGTATCTGTATATACGATTATATGCGTATATTTTTTATATTGTTTATGCGTGTGTGGATATGTATGCTGCACATGCTAGATATATTACACTTGGCCCGGACGTGGCTTGAAGATGCTTGAAGTCTTTTCTGTTTGTAGACATAGACGATATGTATACGATATGTTTCAATTTTCAATGCACATTGCATCTAAGGCTCCGTTTCTAGCCAGGTGTTCCACGGCACGTGGGTATTGGATCTGCCTTGGAACAGGCCCCAAGTGTAGCCCCACGCACCGTGTTGCTTCAGGACTGGCAGGCTGTTGGTCAAGGTGGAGTCCAATGGTCGCGCCATGAATTCCTCGGGTGTCAGCGCCTTGTGAGACGTATGGATAGTACAGTCTACAGCTCTAGCAGACTGCACTTCAAAAGAATCAATTCCACTTCCCAATCAACATGAATCAACATAATCCATCAATGTTAACAGTCTGTTAAGAGTCTGTTAACAGTTGTTTGCAACAGGATGTCATTTCCAGTTTCACCGGTCGAGCCACGGTCACCAAGGCCGGGCCTCTCTGAAGCTTCGCCAGGTCAAGCAACCGCTCTTCAAGCTGCTCTGGAGTACAATAGCCTAACGGGCCTAACGGGCCTAACAAATCATCATGATATCATCATGCTGTATGCGTGTGTACCACGTGCATCAATGTACACTAATGTATGTTAATGTCAATGTTCTGTAAATATATATGTTGGACCAAGACGGAAAAACAGGTGAATCTGGAGGTCGTAAAGGATGTGATATACATTACGGTATATGACAACAAAGGAAAAAGGCGCAAACGCAATCCCGACAGCCTCTTAACAGGTCTTAACACCTTTCACTGCCAAGAATTCACTACTGAAGCTGCAAGCCAAACAGCCAGCACATCTGTCACATCTCCGAGGAACAATGTAAAGACGGCACATCACTCAAATCCACCAGCTTCTGGTTCAGCTGCTCCTGGCGTCACATCGCCCCAGCAGTTGGAAACGTTCGGAAACGTCTGCTGCTGTCCTTGAAACGCTTCACTTCGTCGTCGTCATCTGCAGTTGGGAACTCCCAAACTGCAGTGGTGAGGGGCTGCATGGGCCCAGCCATGCGAGCCCATTCAAATGCCTCACCAGGCAATAGTGAGGTGGCTGGTAGACGTACTGCTTTGAAACAGATTCGCTCAAAACCTAGAAAAGATTAGAAAAGCATATAAACTGATATAAAACGTTTATAGACCCTACAAGTACAGACTACATAGAAAGAAATGTTGCATGTTGCCTGTTGCCTTCCGTTTTGAAAGATGCCGTTGGGCTTTCAATGAGGCCTTGTCCAACAACTGCATGACGATCTGCAACTTTGGCCCGTCCAAGAGCCAGTGCTCCGGATATTCGCTCATCTCCCGACCGTGCATGGCGTTCAATCTGGGCATGATGAGATGTTCGCTCTGCCGTTGGGTGGGTTCATTGTAGATGTCCCACACGGCAACCCGTGGGTCTTTGGCAAAACGGGTCACCACTCCAGTGACGTAACGCTCCAAACGTTGAAAGGCCCAGCTTTCACCATGACCAAAAGCCCTCAGCACATCATGACTTGGACATTGCAGCCAGGCACTGTTGTGCACCCCAGGGATATAAGGATCTTCCTCTGGCAGGTCCGGTCTCCAACAGGCATCAAAGAGAACCAGCATCACCGACATGTCATGACGTTGAAACATGTCCAGCAATCTGCTGATCTTCGCCAAAAACTCCAACTCCTCACGGAAGAACAACTCCTCGTGAAGGAAGATCCTCAAGGCCGTGAAACCGGCACCTCCTGGGCTCGCGGAAACCCTCTGACAGATCAAACAGATCAAACATTCATGAGATATGAAACCCATTAAAACATATTAAAACCCAAACACTAAGTATTGTAACAATATGTAACAATGTGCGTTGCATAAATGCGCGTTGCATAATGTTGCATATCTTACCTGAAATGCACACCTTATTGCAATGATGTTGATGCTGATTGGCATTGATATTCGCTGAAAGAACGCTAATGAAGTTCCCCCAGCTGGTTTCTCTGCCAGGAGTCGAGCAACATGAAGCTCACGCTCTGCCACCAGAAGTGACAAATCAAAATTCTTCGAATCAAAAAGTTCCAACACGTTGCCACAATTTGAGGGTAGATAATTGGCCTCGGCTCACCACAGGTCAAGATGGTCAAGCTTCATGATCCGGCCCGGGACTACCCTAGTCTCCAGGATCTCCAAATGATCCAAATGAACAGTGATAGTGACATATATATATTGACCTCCAAGGCTTTTGGTCCATCCTCTCTTCGTTTCCAAGAAGCCCCGACCCGCCATGCACCCGTCCATGCACGCGCTCGATCTTCGCTCCAGCGAGCCAGCACCGGGAGGAAACTCCAGGCCACACACGCCAAACGCCAAATGCAACGCAACATGGCCACAAAGCATATCAAAGCATCAGCAGCGGAAAGCAACCGGCAGCAACCGGCAGCAACCGGGCCAATCCTCAAAATTTATGTGGAAAAGTGTTGGGTGTGGCACGGGTGGGGGTCTAGATGGGTCTAGTGTTGAGACCTGGGGGACCATGCCCACAAACCTGCAACATCCTGCAACTATTGGACTGGTGTTGCACCACCATTCCGCAGTGATACTCTGATCGGCACGATCTTGCGATTCAGATTGCTATCATTTGCTATCCGTGGTTCGAAGGGCTTGAGATAGTTTGAGATGGTTCTTATTTATATTTATTTATCACATTTTATCACTGAGTTCAAAGGTCTTGAAGGAGTCAATTTGGCCATGGGGATCGTGGAGGATCGCAGAACTTCAGCTGGTGGCCACAGAGTGCCACAAAGTGAGATAGGCATGTTGACTTTGACCCATCTAAACATATCTAAACATATCTAAACATATCTAAACATATCTAAACATATCTAAATATCAATCAACATCAATCACAAAACCCCAGAGCTTCAGAGCGCATCCTCTACTGAGCACAGTAGTCATGATAATTGTGCTTTCAATGTGTTTCAACATGATGCTATAAGGTAAGCCGGTACGACAAACCGCCCTCGGGAGGGAACCAGAAAGTCCCAAGCCTAACCGGGCCTAACCACCTGCATGTTTTGTTTTGGGCGGATCACTGTGATCATCTGTGATCCCTCAACACATCATCAACATCATGACATCAAGGCATGCGCTCTTTGGCAAGGTCTTGAGGCACCCCACTCTTGTGGGAGCGATGCTTTACACGATGGTGCCTCAAAGATGTCACTTGTGGGAGCGATCCTTTTCCGCTAGGTCGCGTCACTGCTTCGGGATACGATTTCTGTTGATGGGGAGCCAGCTCTGGTTGGCAAAATGAAATCAAGCAGAATCCTGAAATAAAAACTAGACCGACATATCATGACACTTATCATGACTATATCAAAATGATCAAAAATGATGAAAAATGCTGCCTCGAGGATCAAAACCTAGCGCCCTACCTCTTCTTTTTTTCCTCGCCGCTTGCACCTCAGAATCTGCCAAGTGCACAATGGAAGGTCCCAGGTCCCAGTCGAATCTGTATTTCTTGTGCATGTCGAATGTCGGAGGATTCTTGTCCCAATCCTGTTGAGAGTTCCAAACATTTGATACGCTACTAGAATTACTAGAACATACTGGACCCATCTCCACAGGACGGCTCAGTGTCGGGCTGCTTGCGCAAGGTCGTCTGCGCTTCCGACCTCGTGATGCTTCCAAATCTTCCAAGATGATCCCCACCAAAATTCTATGGCCATGCGGCCATACCCCAAAGTGCACAATCTTGCGCCGAACTGGGGCACGCAAGAAGCTTGGGACGCGACGACTCTGGCTACTGGAAACCATGCCATGGACATGAATGAAAGAATCTTCAAACGCATCCGTTGCGATTCTGTGTGTCTTCCTCCTCTCTTGACACTTTCTGCTAGACTCTGCTTGGACATGCTTGGGCAATCCTTTCCTAACTTGGTGATAGGCCATGCTGGGGAAATCTTCCGTGCTTCGACCATTTAGAGTCAGAGGCTGATGAGGCTGGGTTTTCTCTCATGTCATGCTTAATAAAGGTCAGCAATCTAGTTGCGGATTGGATGGATTGGCTATTGCGCTCATATGGGATTCAGGGCCGAAGTGCCTTGTTCCGAAAAGCCTCAAGATCCTCAAGGTTCTCTCAAACGTCCCAGCAGAAGTCCTTCTTCCGTTGGTTGCAAGAAAGTCCTTCAAGTTGCAACGGCAGGCGGTTTGCCGGTGTGAGCATTCGTGTTTGCTTTTTTGTCTAAGGCAGTTTCTGCCACTTTGCACAAGTAGGTCAGCATCCATATGAGCAGCCATTCTGAACAAAGTTCCTGGCAAACGGCCTCTACAAACAATAGGCTGCAGGCAAATGAATGCCGAAGATCTACACATCCAGGGTCCTCCAGACCCGGAAAATGATGCAGCTAGGCGCATGCTTCGCTGTTGCCAGCTATATACATGGCCCCGCTCTTGTCGGAAATCATCAGAGTTTGCATATACATATATATTTATGTAAATTTATGATTATTTATGTGTGTAGAGATCCTAGGGACCTTATAAGACTGTAATCACTGTAGTCTACCGACTCTCTTGGACTATCCCACACTCTTACATCATCTCCAGTTCCTTTCCGACAAGCCAGGAACAATAAGCACCAGGACTCCACAACTCTTCTCTTCAGTAGAGGCAGGTCCCTGCAGAAGCTGAGAATGCGTGTTACATGGTTGTCAAATGTTGTCCAGCCTTTTAAGTCTGGCCATGGCCATGGCAACCAACATGTACCTGGACGAGCAACTTCGCAATGCATGGCTCGCTGTGCTTTGACATGCTTTGACAAATATAGCCGCAAGATCAACCACAGGAAATTGCTGCAACAACACGGCTGACACAATCAAATGTGACAATTGACCTTAGCAAAACATCTTGGCTCTTGTTGATTAAGACCTCGGAGTGCAACTGGCTAGGCAAAATTCAACAGGGCACGGATCATGGAAGCTTATGAACCTCATTGTGCTGAGAACACCGCATTAAAGCAGGGAAGGGATTCAAGCCGCCCTACCCAGGCAATGCTGAAACATGCTGAAACCAATTCACAGGCCCATTTAAAGATACTGATCCAACCAAAACACAGTGGAGTGCGTTTTCCATTTCTCCGAGTGGACGACATAGAGCCTGCTAAATTAATCTGGGCTCTTCGATGGATGCCCACCGTCCTGGCGGGTCAAAGCGGGTCAAAGCGGGTCGAAGCGGGTCGAACCCCATCCGCCATACTCCGCCACACTGCGCCACACTGCGCCCATCCCGTTGAAAGACGGGGCGGCTGCACGTACTCGGCCTCGAGCAGCTTCCAGGTCCGCCTCAAGGTCAGGAAACGGCAGGACAAAAACATCTACCAGGTCCGCGTTTTAAAGTAGATCATTACATCATTCGATCATTTTATGATCATTTTGAATCTGAACATTTAAAGCATCACGTATTGTAAAATCAGATCATATATATATAGAAATCAGTTGAAATCTAAGAAACCACTGATGATCAACACATCTCAACAAAAAACGCTTCCGCCTTGTGCTCCTGGTGTTCCATCTCTGCGATGATGGCTTCGTCCTGGCATCGCCATCAGCCCAACTCACTGCGCATCCAGCGTCGGCGTCCCTGCCTCCAGTGGGGCGATACCCAGTTCCAGGGCCAGCTCAACAAATTCCTCGCAAAATGTCATGGCAAGCCATCTGGAAGCACGGTATTAAGTAATATAATCTAGTAATGTATATATATACATATATATATAATGTATTATAATGTATAGGAATATATATATACTAATATATAGGAATATAGAATCATGCATCTTATGGTGACCAAGTGCAATAATTATTGATCACTTTCTCAACGCTGCCAGAAATCCTCCCACCTCGAAGTCGATCTTGCCATTGCCGTCCGTGTCAAAACCTCACATGCCAAAACGTGCAGAATGGTAGCGATGAGCCAACTAATCCAACTACCTCCAAGGCAGCCAAGGCAGTATCTGTTCACGGTTTGATGTTTGATGGCTGAGGTCTTTGCGGGCAAACATAGCCTGCATTTTTCCTTCATCGACCTTGTAGTTTCTTCTGAACCTTAGCTGGAAAATAGTGGGCGATAGCTGCCGTGATCATCTGGCCATGTAGCTAGCAGTGTGGTTCTGGGATGCCGTGAGTCAAAAAAAAACAGACAAAAGGAAAACACTCCGCGTTTGTTGCTTTTGGGCGTTTGTGGCCCTTCCACCATTGAACATTTTGGGTGCCCAGCTTGGACCTACACTGGGACCTACACAAATCACCCACCCACCCCATGCAACACATGGCCAGGCAGCTTCCGTGACACTTTCACAACTGGTTTGGCCTGGACAAGTGCTCCGAGGGGATTCTGCTGACTTGTGATCGCTACAAGAGCTAGTAACTGCTAGTAAATCAAGGAAGGAGTGAAGGATTACTGAGAAACATTGGCCAATGGGGGAATGTGCTCAATGTCTGCTGCCCAGTTCTGAAGCACATTCCCAAATGACTTCTTTTGCTGCTGCAAATCGAAACCGGAAGATTAGGTACAAACGTTTGCTTGAACCCAGGTCAAATTGCATGGGAAATGTCTCACCGAGTGAGCCTTCAGATTACTCTCACTTGGTATCTGGCAGTTTCTTCTTCCACTATGTCCGCGAGCTTTGCCCTCATGACGACAGCTGCACGACGACTGCAACTGGCACACTGCAAAAATAATCCACCGGGGGCGAGACCCATCTGCGGATTCTAGTCGCCTGGAACCGTGCGAAGTCAGGCTGAGACAACCAAAACCCAGTCGAATGTACTGCGATGTACTGCGCCTGCCAAGCTCTTCGGCCACCTCATTGTTATTGTATGTCATTGTATGTCATTGTAGTCACTGGGAACCCCTCTGGTGCAGTCATGGTTCAGGCCCTGGCCCAATTCACAAATTGCTCTGTGGTCTGCCCCTCAGGGCCTGCCATGTCCCTGGTTCCTGCCAGCTGCAATCCAGCTAAAAATACGAAAATATAACCCAGCCATCCTTAGCCTATACTGCCCCAAGGTCGCATCTCGAGGGATCATCATGCGTAAGACTTGAGGACAACTTAAGATCTTTCAAATCACCAACCCTACTGGTAGAAATCCATGGGATGCAGTGAATGAATGGTAGAGGACCAAAAGCCACTGCTGCACGTCGTATCGGTAACTGTATTTGATGTCGCATCCCAATCCTTTGCCGCTGCGGAATGCTGCATAAACAGCCTAGTCCAACACAATGCAACCCAGCAACCCAGGTCATGAAGGAATGGCAGCAGCTGGAAGTCACTGAGGTCTCAACTGCTTGGCAGCACTTGGTGAAGTGTTGAGTCACTTGCAGCAACTGAGGATCCTGTGCCTTGGCACATATAAGGCGTACCTCCTACGCGCACCTCCTACGCCTCGGGTGGCTGATGGTGGCTGTAAATCTGACCAAATCTGAGGCACCAAAGAGGCAGAATGATCCATAGCCCCCAGCAAGGCCACCACCTTAAAACAGTGCCACTATTACAATATTATACATATATATATATATATCTATCTATCTCTATCTATCTCTATCTATCTCTATCTATCTATCTATCTATCTATCTATCTATCTATCTCTATCTATCTATGTATCTATCTATCTATCTATCTATCTATCTATCTATCTCTATCTATCTCTATCTATCTATCTATCTATCTATCTATATCTATCTATCTATCTATCTATCTATCTATCTATCTATCTATCTATCTATATCTATCTATCTATCTATATCTATCTATCTATATCTATCTATCTATCTATCTATATCTATCTATCTATCTATCTATCTATATCTATCTATCTATCTATCTATCTATCTATCTATATCTATCTATCTATCTATATCTATCTATCTATATCTATCTATCTATCTATATCTATCTATCTATCTATCTATCTATATCTATCTATCTATATCTATCTATCTATATCTATCTATCTATATCTATCTATCTATCTATCTATCTATCTATATCTATCTATCTATCTATCTATCTATCTATCTATCTATCTAATTATGTGCCACTGGACCAACGATGCAGCAAAGACAATCAAAGACACATTCCGCTGGACCAACGATGCAGCAAAGACAATCAAAGACACGCAGCAAAGACCCGCACCATGCCGAGAGGATTCATGGATGTCTCTTCGCCACCTTAGGTGCAAGGGGTGTGTTCATCACAAAGTCAGGACAAGGGATTTTAAGAGCTGAGTGAGCTACGCAAATGCGCATGCCAAAGATCGGCAACAGTACCATGGGAGGCCTGGCACCATAGGTAAAACTGTAAAACCCACCTTTGCCACTCTTTATCAGCAGTTTCGTGGGTAAAGGTCAGGGTTGCTAAAGCCCCGATGGGCCAAAACCTGCCCACCTCAAACTCCTTGATGAGCGCGCCATCCTGCACCAGGCAAGTAGCTTGTTTGCAATGGTGAATCAGAGCTTCAAACATCGACCTCGAGTGAAGTCTGATGATCCATTGACGTGCCACCATGGTGCCACCAGATGCAGGGTCCTCTCTCTTTCCAATGAGGTTGGACGTGATGAAGCCTGGACTTCGGTGCACCTGTGCCACCTCATCCGTCAACATGTCGCCATCGTAGTTGTGGCCTACGGTACTAGAGGCTGCCATCCCACTGCGCTAATGTGCCAGACAGCCCAGGAGAGGTAAAGGAACAAACAGGGAGCGGGGTGCTTTGATCACCATGGTACTGAATGACGATTGGACATGCGAAGTGAGGTCAGAGCAGGCCATGCCAAAACCTCCATCGGTCCAACGGATGATTTGCATGGTAGCAGCCTGTGGCGCATTGCCGCATGCAACTTTACAACTTGCCCATGCACCATCTGGCCATTTGGCGGTTCAAACATCTGTGGGAAATTGTGCTGCTGATCTGAGGTGTGTGACATCGCTGATCAAGTGCTGCCTCGGTCAGAATTTTACGTCAGTCTAATTCTGCTTTCTGTGAGATGCTCTTAGGCAACATGCAAGAACCCCTAAACCTAAAGAGGGCCAGATTCGAGCAAAAAATGCAGAAAGACTTGATGAACACTTTAATTATTTCGAATCCATGTTCAGACCCTTGCTTCAGCATAGGAGTCTGTGAGAGGTATCCAAGGGCAGGGCAACTCACCGTGCGTCTTCTCCTCAGCATAGATCCAGCATGATCCAACATGATCCAACTTTACCCCTCACTGAGTGCAGGACCAGGAGCCCCGCTTTCAGAAAGTCTCCCTTCGCAAATCCAGTGCCATGCGGCTAAACTCTCAATGCGTCATAGCATCTTCATCCAGTTCAGCCCAATGAGCTTGCAGCCTTGTAATCCGCGTCGAAGACTTCCTTCATGATCTGCCAGAAACCTTCTTGCCACTTGAAGACCTCAGGCACGTGGAAACCAAGATGATCCTCACATTGAAATCTTCTTGGGCTGCTGATTCCATCTGATTCCCAGCATCAAACGCCACATTCTCCGACCCAACATCAGTTTCCCCCACCCTGAGCAAGCGACGGTCTTCTTGGTAACCACATAAGGAACCACCTCGAGCGGCACATGGCATCACCATCCCAGGGGATTCAAAGGCACAAAATCACTCGAAACATCTCGAAACACTACCCTGGCCTTGGCTTCAAGGCAGCGCTGGAAGAAAATGTGCGCCAAATCCTCCCAGTAATGTGCAGGTCATACCAGGTCATGTGACAAATTGCTGCCTGCATCCATCTATTAGCTGTGGCATCTTGTGGCTGCCAAGGCCCATTCCTCCACATTGTCCAACGGGTTGTCATAGACCACAACGCACTGCAGGGGGAACGGCAAAGATGTTCACAGACCCGGGATGCAATTTGCTGGGAAGATATGTTTTTTTTGATAAATTTAACTTGAGGCCGGGGGTGGATGACGAAAGCTAGCGGGGTAGGAGAAAGAAGGAAGCGAAGACGTAGCTTCAGTGTCAGCAGGGAAATGTCGGTGGCGTTTCCGCGTCAAACCCTAAGTGAGGATGCTGACCCTCTACCAGCCGGAAATCTCCTCTCAGGAAGGCTCGGGGGGGACCAGGGGGGGATCGAACCTGATGCCGATGATGACGATGATGATGAGGATGGTGATGATGATGATGATGATGATGATGATGATGATGATGATGATGACGATGACGATGATGATGATAACAAAGTTGATGACGATGACAATGACGCTGACGCTGACAACGACGATGACGGCTGAAAATGACAATGGCGGTGACGATGACAATGACGATGACAATGGCGAAGACAATGACACTGACAATGACGATGATGATGATGATGATGATGATGATGATGACGATGATGAGGATGATGACGATGATGATGATGATGGTGATGCTGATGATGATGATGATGATGGTGATGATGATGGTGATGATGATGATGATGATGGTGGTGATGATGATGATGATGATGATGATGATGATGATGATGATGATGATCACGATGACGAGAACGATGCCAATGACCATGACGATGACGAAACCGATGACGATGACGATGATGAGGATGATGCTGATGATGGTGATGGTGGTGGGGTTGGGGGGGGCCTTTCGCGTGAAAAATCACGTGATGTCCTTGAGCAGCCCCCGGAATACTTGCTAAAGCAAGAAGACTCCAGCTAGCTGACGCTAGCTTTCGTGACAGATAAAAAAATGATTTGACTCATCTGGTGGATCGAGGCCGAAACACTTCGATCATCCTTCACCTCCCGGCCGTCCACGATGATGGGTTTTCCCTGCAGGAAAGCGGGGCAATCAAGATCAATCATTATTGCCATGGTATTGCCTCGGTTTGCCCCTTCTGTTCTGTTCAGGATGTCGATAAATTCATCAATGAAAATCAAAATGATCTGAATCATCATGGACGGCATCTTCGGTCTACGACAGGCCGAAAGAACATTCGGGCTTGCTCAGCTGCCTCATCCATGCTTTCTGGAAAGAAAGTGGTGAGCACCCGTCCCTTGCCCACCTGCCACAACATTTCAGCAATCTCTGACAGCTTGACAGCGACAGCAACACCAACACTTATTTATGATACGCAAGCGTCATCAAATTTCCCAGGTGCACAGCGGTCCCAAAACTGGGCTAAAATTGTGGTGCCCAAAAATGAGACACCACTCGTTTGGGGCCCATAATCATATCATAGATCATATATATTATACTCATTGTATAGGTGGATGGATAGATAGATAGATAAGATTAGATAAGATAAGATTTGATTAGATTTAGATTTAGATTAGATTTAGATTAGGATTAGATAGATAGATAGATAAAGTATGGTTATATAGTTATGTATATTTATATATATATATATATATGTATCTATATATGTGTATATATATATATATATGTATACATATATATTAAATAGATTTTGTATGATTTTGTAATATGTTGTAAATTCTTGGTTGGCCACCCATGCCCCAAACTTGTGGCCCCCTTGGTGCCCATGGCCATGGCCTTCTTCCAGCCAGCTCCATACTCACCGCCCACGGCATGGCGCTCGAAGAGCACGGGTCTCTTGAAGCCCAACTCGATGCCAGGGATGTGAATGGTGTCCTCCGAAATCGACAAATCTTTGACAAAAGATGATATGTTAGATTACATGGATATTACAGTTATTATACCTAATTGATAACTGGATATAACTGGATGTTACATGTCTATAATTAGTTATAATTATATGCTCTTAAGCAAGAGAAAAGGTGATAAGCAACAAACCACACCATTTTTCCCTTCCATGGCAACCGACCAAACTGACGCAACCCCTCACCGCAGCCACTGTCCCGGGAGATAGTGATTCCATTCCAACCCCGACGCCTTGCCAGAAAACCCTCGTTACCATGGGGCCTTTCTCACCACCAGTAGGACCAAATAACGCAAATAGGACATTCTGAATATGATTTATTGTGGACATGTCAGCACGTTCTGGTCACCAAGCATTGGGTTCACTTGGCACTGCGATGCACTGCGGAAGCAGAATCTGAGTGGTGGACATCAATCCGTTTGGTGAGCCCAAAGCTTTGGTAAGGCCCATGGACGCCATCCTTGTTGCAAAGGGTCGTCGTCATCTTCGCCGTCGTCATCATCATCATCATCATCAGCAGCAGCAGCAGCAGTAGCTCTTCGAATAATCAGGTCATCAGTCCGTGACGATCAACAACAACGTCAGAAACGAATAAACAAACGCCCTCAAGAGGCATTATCACCAAATATCTTCAACGTGCATCCGTGCATTATCCCAAAAAAACACCCAGAACAATTTGCTGGCCCCTTTCAGGGGTGCCCGCTGGCATCATCAAAGACATCCTGCCATCTTGTCCGAGGTAGGAAAAATCTCACTGAGATGTTGGCTGTTCCTTCGTGGGGGTGATGGTCGGCCTTGGTGAACGGCAACAGCACTGACCACAGTAGATAACTTAGATACCTGTCATTGTTGGCTAGAAGGGATGGTTGAATTTGATCCAATTCGTTCATTGCCACTGAGGCCCAGGGCTCTTTGAAGATGGAACCGATTCGAGCTCCAGCAGCTACAGCGTCCTACCATGCGTGGTACTTCACAGAAAAAGTTGGAAACCCATGCTGCAACGCACAGATTTTGCTCATCAGGAAGAACGCTCCAATCTTGCCCCATCCTTCAGGACTTGATCGTTGGTTGCATCACGTTCCTGGCAGATGGATCATGCACCATCACCTCTTCGAAAAATCACCAGAATGGCAGAGCTCAGAACCCCAATGGTGGCCCAATGGTCATCAATGGTCCTTGCAACTCAAGTCATAGAACTCCCACTTCGAGATGTCCACTGAAGGCTTCACCCATTTGTCCATGATCAACTCCATGGTGTACTGTGACATCTCCTGATCGCTTCCCGGTCACAGCTGAACATTGCAGACCCACAACGCCCGCCGTCCTCACCGGAGATGTAGACCATTGGAGGCGCCTCACAGCCCCCAAAAAACCGGTCAAGTCTGCAGTCTCAGCAAAAAGTAGAACAACGAATGGACCATGGTTTATAAAAAAAATGGGGGGACTCCTCCATTTTCGTCATAATATGATACTTTTTTGTGGTACCCTCCCAATTAAACCTAGGGGTTTATTGATCCAGGGTTGACATTAGAACAACTAGAACCCGGAACAATCCGGAACAACTATACAAACTATAAGAAACCAGTGAAAAAAATGATTAATATAAATAACATAAATCCAATATTGGTAACCAAGAAGCAAATCTTTAACCAGTCAACCAAGCCACTGTGAAGCGAGACCAGGATGAAGCTGCACGGAAGCCGCGCAAGCGCAGCATCATTGGCTGGGCCTACCGAGCTTTTGATGCCAACAGCCCAACAATTCCAAGTGTCCCAAGATTCTGCACAAAAATTGACAAAGAAATATACAGAACATTGTCTAATATATTCCAATGGGTGAAGAATAGTTTGAGGTTGTTTTTGATAAGGTTTGGGACGGTGTTTTTGATTTCTTTCCTGATACCATTTGCCTTGTATTTGCAACAGTTTGAAACTAGAACCTGTCAGTTTTGCCTGGTACTTGCTACATTTGGGCATGTTCACCTTCCATTTTGCACGGTACTAGTATTTGCTACATTTTAGCATATTTGCCTTCCATTTTGCACGGTATTTTGCTACAGTGTTGCACTCCAACCTCTCATTTTGAATGGTATTTGCTACATGTTGGTACTTCAAACGTTCATATGGGTTTCCTTATATAAGGTTTCTTTGAGGTTTTATTTAGGGTTTCAGTTAGGATTTCTTTAGGTTTCATTTAAGGCATCATTTGATTTTTTTTAGGTGTCATTTAGGATTTCTTGAGGGTTTCTTTAAGGTTTCATTTAAGATTTTTTGAAGGTTTCATGTAGGGTTTCATTAGGGTGTCATTTAGGGTATCTTTAAGTTTTCTTTCGGATTTCATTTGCGATTTTTTAGGGCTTCATTTACTGTAGGGTTTCTTTAGGGTGTCAGTCGGGGTTTCTTTAAGGTTCGATTTAGGGTTTCATTTAAGTTTTTTTGGGTTTATTTAGGGTTTCTTTTTGGTTTCATTTAGGGTTTCGCTTAGGGTTTCCTTAAGGTGTCATTTCGAGTTTCTTTGAACCCTTGGGGCATCGCCAATGTGCGAAGCCCTACAATAAATGGGTTTGCCGAAAAGTATATAGTTGTTTATCATTATTTGCCCATTGATTGTATCCGGTTCTTCAGGTAAGCCTGAACTCACAACACAAGCCCCTCTTCGATCTCGAGTTTGGTGAACTATGTAACTATGTAACTATGTTGGAGTCAACACGATCATGTCCACGAAAAAGAATTGTCATGTGCCAAGGTCCTGTGAATCACTGCGCAGGTATGCAACAAATAAGCTGGCTTAGCCTGTCCAATCCTGGACGTGCAGAACATGGGAAAATCATAGGAAATCACCAGGTGCCCAAACCGCTGCCTTCCACATGCTGGCGACAGGTTGCCCCAACTTCCAGTTTGAGCCAAAGGGCTTGAGACAACTGACATCAACTGACAGTCATCTGCACAGCGAGGCGGAAAAGCAAGGATGGTGTGGCTCTTGAAGGTGCCTACGACGCACGAGCTTCTCGTGCCTCGAACTGAAATCGAACCGATGACTTCTGACCTCTGGTTTCCCATGGTTTCCCATGGTTTCCCCTCGGAAATTCTTGGGTGTTGCAGCACCTTGCTTAGCATGGCAGCTGATAAATGAGACCCCATGGATCTATGGATTTAGATCCATCGATCAGAATTGCGGACCCATCATGACCCTTCGTGAAGGGTTCAAGGAGGCTAAACACTTGAACAGGTGTGGCAATATCAAGAGCACGACATGACATCACTTCATATCACTTCTACTTATCTCTTTGTTTTCATCATTCTTCATGAGCTTCCACCAAATTCTGCCAAACCTGATTAAGCAAATGCAGGAGGTCGCTGTCACCTCTGCATGCCCCAAAGTTCCCACTAAAATGACCAAAAATAGAGGACCAACAAATATGTGCTGATGACACCTGGCAACTTGCGTCCTGCTTGGCAGGGAGCGCGGCCAGAGTGCAATCACCAAGACTGAGCCTCCAACAGGGGAACGGGATCAGTTCTCCCTCGGGATGCTTGAAGCATTTAACAATTCATAACAATTCTATGATTTTGGAATATTCGGCAGCAACGCCTGCTGCAACTCAGGTTGAAAAGAGTGCGCTTGTCGCAAGGAGCAGAGAGGAATTGAAATGATGCAGGTTTGGGAAGACCGTACTGCGGTCCATTGCATCAACTCCCATCCACTCTGCGATGGGCAGCATCACACTCTCCCAGGGATACCGGGGAATCATTCGTCCTGACAGTGCGATCGATGACAAGGAAAAAAGATCTCAACTGGCAGATTGTTGCAACCCTTTCGTGGCATTTCTCCACAAAACTCTCGTTTGGACACTCTTTTGGTTGTCTCCACCAGTAGCGATGAAACCAAAAAAAACGCAGCTTTGAATCATACGTCCTCGGCCCACATCATACAAATTCCCCTCCAGCAGGGAGGTCGGGAATTCGTTGTAGATCTCACCGCCCTTCACCTTGCCACCCACCACGAACTGGTTGCCAGCCCAGCCATGGTCTGTTCCCTTGCCATTCGATGTCAAGGTGCGACCAAAGTCCGAGGTTGTGACCAAGACCACTGAGTCAAAGACTCCCTGAAGCCAACAAATTTCTCAAGCCAATTGCCTACCCATGATCCATGCCTATTTGAGGACTACTTTTCTGATGGTCTAAATTTGTGCCAATGACATCTATGACATGTGATTCTACTTTCTGTGAAAGTCAGACGATGGCATAGGGCAAACAAGCTAACCACTCAGTAGAAATACAGAAGCCACCACGAACCAAAAGAACGAATGCTAGTAGTCACAAAGGGGAGGTTTCCAGGGCTTTGGGGACGGAACACCGACAGGTCTGATAGGTGAATGAACGTAAATGATACAGTCGAGCGTTGAATGGTGAATCCTGGTACCCTGTGGGATCGCGCCTGTGCCTTGAGTTCCTTGACAAAAGCATCCAGGGAATCATCGATGAAAGCAAAGAGTTCATCCAATTTCTCAAACTCGTTGTGCGTGTCGAAACCTCCCAGCTCTACATAGAAAAATTCACGTTCAATTTGGCGAGTTTGGCTTGTTGCGATCAACTTGGAAACCGCTTGGAACTGTCGCAGGAGGCTGAGAAAAGTCCAATCTTCTGTTTCTGGCCACGTGCTGCTCAGGGTGACGTTGCCCAATTGGCCTGCAAGGATGTTAGCGCTGTCAACCATTTTCCCAAGGTTCTTGGAATACTCCTCCGAATAAATGTTTCCTAACTCTTCCTTGGTGATGTTGTCGATGAGTGGCCTTCCTTAGATACCGCGGAAAGGGTATGGGAAGTTAGGACAGGCTTCGACATGATAAGGGAAGACCACCACAAGATACCACAAGCACGTCGTAGCACGTCTCTCTACTTCTCTGCCAAGGCTCGTGCGACATAGTTCTCAAGGGTGCGGATGTCGCCACTGCCATCCACAGACTGCTGTATCACACTGAATCCTTCCGACCACGTCTTCTTGCCCTTGAGGGAAAAGGAGCTGGTCGAAAACCTGGGCCATGGATTCAAACACAGAGCAGAATGAGCAAAGCACTCACAAAAGTGTTCCACCATTACGCTATGAAGTTTGCTTGGGATAGCCTTGCATGACACAGGAGTGAGTGAGTTCTCTTGTTGTACACCTTTGCACAGGGGCTGACGGGGGCAGTCCCGGACACTGTGCAACCGAAAAACTTCTGACTTCCGGCTCCGAGTACATCTGCCATGCGGCCACCAACCCCTTTGGGTGATGCTCCAGCCACCTGGCAGTGCGAAAAGTGCCGAGATAAATTCTGTCCATCTATGATATCTAGCAGAAATAGCAAGACAGGAAATTATTGTTTTATGCAATAAATCGATAATTTCCTGTCTTGCTATTTCTGCTATCTATATATATACATACACATATATACATATATATATATATGCGTGTGTGTGTGTGTGGGTGTGTGTGTCATTCTTGGTCCATATCACAAGTCGAGCCTGACACTTCAAGGTTTGAGCAGCTGCAGTCTGGTCCTCGATGCTGTGGGCTGCGATGGACAAATTGTCATGCTACCCTTGGCAGCACCTAACCTTCACCACCCCTGTTACACCTTCTGACCACCCTTACAATGTCTTTCACTCTCTTCATCGCCATCAGGTCTTTCATCTTATACAGTAATTCTTAGTTTTGAAACTTGAAGCACAGCAACTGAGCACGCTGGGTGGCGGCATGTGTGTTCTGTTGTGTCTTAAGTTTCAACCCTCCCAAGCCGTGACCCTCCAAACCACTGTAGTAGGGACACTATTCTTTCCGGCATTCCCTCCGCTATCAGAACTAGTAGAGGCGGTGTTTGTTAGTTACTGTGCAAGTAAGGCACCTTGCCTAAGATGGCTGCGAGAGTAACACAACACTCATGCTGCCCCACGCATTTGCATCCGAAAGTCTGAGTGCGAGAACAAACCGACGCAGGTGGACTTTGTACCACTCTTGTACTCATACTTTGTCAACGGCTGCACCAGGGCGCCAATGTTGCTGACAAAAGCCTTGGTTTGGTCCAAGTAGAGCGCATGGCTCGCAATCGGTTACAAGCGTTACAGCCATTTTTCACTAGTGCACAAGTTGCTCACACTTCTTTTTCGACATGGGGATATCGATCGGGACAGATCTCTGTCATTGAAAAATTATTGTTGCTATCATACATCGATCACTTACACTTTACATCACTTTACTAACCTTTCAGACCTTGATGGACAGAACATGGGACTACCCGCACTTTCCCCCCGCCACGACTACCGTGGCCCCACAACAACTGTGGGTCCCCCCTTCACCCCGGACTTCCCGGGGCAAAAGGGTGAGGAGGGTGGGTGAACAAAAATACGAAGGGGGGACATGAACTTGTGCCAAAATGGCACGGGTGATCAACCGTTCTTCTGCTCATGCATAATCACTGTTGTGCACTCTGTAAAATGCAACATTACTGCGTAACGGTCAGCTTTCACTAGTGCACAAGTTGCTCACACTTCTTTTTCGACATGGGGATATCGATCGGGACAGATCTCTGTCATTGAAAAATTATTGTTGCTATCATACATCGATCACTTACACTTTACATCACTTTACTAACCTTTCAGACCTTGATGGACAGAACATGGGACTACCCGCACTTTCCCCCACTTCTCGTAGTCCAAGATGACTTCAACCTTCAGGTAGTCAATGATCTGGTCAAGCTTTTCCCATTCCAACCTTGATGGAGGGTCTGCCACATTACTTGGTGATGGAACACGTGCGTACCACGATAAGCTGTTGTTTTCAGAGTCTCTCATCATGGCTTCCACCAACATCTTTCTGCTAGCGACTGACTTGGTCGTTCCGCTCACAAAAGCTTCCTTCACCCCCTCATTGTCAATGAAAAAGATGACCCTTGCACTACCAACTAGGTTCACAAACTGTCTTTTGATCACCACTATCGGCAGCATCTCCGCTTGAGCTATGACCTGCTCATGCCCAAACGACTTCCACTGGTCTGTGATGGCCCCCGGTACCTCAAAACCAAATGCAATCGGTTTGGCTGTCCTTGGTGAGAACATGACTGCCCCACAAGATGCGACACCACCTTCATAAGCACCATCTGTGAAGATGATGCACGGGGGTTCAACATCCCAAGCGTTCAACCTTCTGGGTGGCGCTGACTCCAACATAATGGCCGCTTGAACCAGCGCCTCCTCCACTTCGCTGTTCAACTTCTTGACATACTTGCACATGAGAGACCTGAGTTTGATGGGCTCGAGCAACGGTGCTAACCAACGCCCACTACACTGCGACTCTGCAAAGTTGAGCCTACCATATACCCTTGCAGCCATGCTAGGAGGAAAGGATCCCATGCTCTTGGCTTCCCTGATCACCTCTCTCAACTCACTGGCCCTTTCAGGTTTGTCCCTCACTTTGCAGACTCCCTTGTCGGCTTCTGAGAGGTCAACCACCACACCTAGAACCACGAAACTGTCGCTGGGTGGGAGCCTCTTCTTTGGCTCCTCGGCTATCTGCCAGCCCAGGACCTTGAGGGCACTCTCCATGATCACCTGAGATTTCACAGCCAGGGGGGCTACATCCACATGCGGAAAATCATCAAAATAATTGACTACCGGGAGCATGAAATACCTCTGCAGCACCTCTCTCAAGCCCCTTGCCAGTCTGTTGAACCCCATGACTGCTCCTGTTGCCCCAAATGGGAGCACATGAGAAACGAAAAATGAAACTGTCCCATCTGTTGGTTCCAGCACGCCAAGCACCGCATTACTACGGTCCGCGGGCCTCAAGGGCAACTGTTTATATGCCGCCTTGAGGTCCATGCATCTCCCCTTGAGACCCACAGCTTTCGACCTGAACTCTGGTGCCTTCAGACCTGACAGCTGCATTCCACTACTCAATGTCACTTGAACATCTTGTCTGTCAGGGGGTCCCAAGACTCTCATCCAAGCCGCAGATATCGCCACCACCTCGTCCACTCCACCAAGGTCCAGCTTCTCACCTGGGCCATAACACTGATTGACTGAAAATTCACTGAGGTCATCAATGTTGCGGATCTTCGACCCTTGTAGAATACCAAACCTCCTACTTGGGGTCCACAAGTTGCCTACCACTGCCCCCACTTGCTCCGCCGACATAGGTCCTTGAAGCCAACCCTTCTCGACCTCAGAGATGGTCGATGCCCAGACTTCCTGGGCAACGTCAACAGGCCTGCCATCGACTTGAACCTCCCGCTTGGCCATGTGAGGTGGGATTTTCGACTTGACCTCCTCTTGTGAATACTTTGCAATCTTCCACAAATCATCTTGTGTAAGCTGTGCAGGTTTGAACTCTGGCTGGAAACAACCTGTATCCCGGCCTTGACCTGTGATGGGTAACCCAACTGCTATGTCATGAACCAGGTTGGTGTCCCCATACCCAACTTGTCTCAAGACTTCGTCAAAAAGCAGAAGGCTCTTGCCTTGCAAGATTTCGGCTACCTTAGGTTCCATTGCCCTGTGAAATTCCAGCTCTCTGGGCGCCAACTCTGCCGCCCTCCTCTTCAGCCATCTCAATCGTTTAACACGCTCTTCATGTATCCAGTCAGTCCCTTTGGTGACCACATGAAACATGGCTGTGAGGACGTGGTCAGGCACCTGTTGACATGTGTCAAAAGGGTGCACCAGCTCCAAGGACCTCCTAATGCTGTCTTGGAAAGTCATGGGGATTCCAACCAATACTGACATATGTACCAATTTGAGCTCGTCCCCGCACTTTTCCCCGCTATTATTGGACGGTACTGCACTAATAAGCCTGGAACCTGCTGGAAAAACTCTGCCTGCAAGGGTGATTTCACGGTCAACCCGTCCCTTCCAGTGCTGGACCACATTGAGGTCCACCTGGGCATTCACCAGGAGGTCCACGACCTGCCCATCTTCAGGGAGCATACCTGGGCTACGGCGGCCACGGGGCTGTCTCCCCGCAGCGATTTTCCATGCCGCATTGGACTGTATGACTGGTGAGGGCCCTTTAGGTTCTAAACTGATTGGCAAACGTTTGGAAACTGCACAACGACTGATGATTGCTGCAATCTTCTGACAAAGCTGGAGGGGGTACTCAGCCTCGCTTGAGGTATCATACGCCCACTTGCCATCCAATGTCCTGCTTACTGACCACTCCTTGTGCTGGTGAGACTTGTCACACCTTGCAGCCAGGGCATTCAGCTCAACGCAGTTGTGCAATAACGATGTCCGTTTGTCACGAACTCCCCCATGCATGCAAACATGAAAAGTAGTGAAAAACACTCCAGGGAGATCAAAGAGAGCAGCAATGCATGGCACCAACCACATGTAGCTGCCGGTGGGGTTCTCGATAAACACAATGACTCCCTTTGAATGTGCAAGTTGAAAAACATATGCAGCTGTGTCGTAACATAGATTTGCTAACCGCACTCTCTGAAGATTGCGCCCGGACAACCCGGGCAGCCCGCTAGGCCACTGTGCACTCCTCAATGGTGGTGGCTGAGGAACTCCTAGCCGGCGCAGGCGAAAAGGGATGGGCTTATCTCTGGCTCTGGATGCTGTCTCACATGGGGGGGCCATGGGGATGAAGAAGACTGTGCCACCTTCCACCTTCTGCTCAATAAATTTGCGAGCTTCTCCCTTAGTTAAGTCCATCACTATACAAGGTCCTACTCGGTTCTTACACTTCTTGTGATCAATGCCTATGGCGAAAAATCCATGCAACTTCAAACATTTACTTAGTTTACATGACCCGGCAAACAACTCAAGAGTGCATGGCTGCAAGGCCTGCACACTTTCACCTAGCTCGGCGGAGTCATGTGCACCATCACGGTGCATATCTGTACAAAGATTGGATTCCGGGCTGATGCTTGCATCAGCAGACTTAAAATCAGCTGCCCCACTCACATCTGTGCGGCCGTCGGGTCATTGGGAACATTGTTGGGCTCCATGGTCATCCTTCCAGCACTTCATACACACATGCAGCCCTTTTGCACACTCGCCATTCTGCACCTTGTTGGTGCAGTTGTTCAGCTGGAACCCATAGCAGATCCTCTTGCCCTTCTTCATGGGCTGGTACCCCCATAGCTCCCTCGGCATCTTGATGGGCATCTTTTTGACCTGAGGGGTCACTGGGGCTTCTTGGTGCTTGCTCTTCTTGTCCTTCTGCGAGCTCTCAGCTTCACGCAATCTCTCCTTCAGGCGCTGGTTCTCCTTCATCAGCTTTCGTTTGCCGGCCCCCACTGGCTCTGTGTCCTGGTCACCAGATGATGCCGCCGCTGATGATCTGGCGCCGGGCAACGGCATGAGCAAGGTGGTGAAGGCTGGGTGCACCAAGACTTTGTCCACCGCCAGGTCAGCCAGACGCTCACCATTGGTGTCCCTGCCCAAGTCACCTTGGAGATCTTCTGCCATGAGCTTCCATGCCCTCCGGTCCGCCTCGGCCAATTGCTTCAGCGTCACTTGGGCATATCCCATGGGTGGCTCTCTCTGGTACTCCTGGAACATCCTGTCCACCAGCTTCTCATGACTTGTGTAAGTCATGATATCGGCCACTTCCATGGCCAACCCTCTGCGCATGTATGCCTGCCTCATCCTCAGGTCGGTCTTCAGGTCCGCGTCTGGCAGTTTGGTCTCGTCATGCGCCTTCAGGTGGCCACTTGCGTCCTTCTTGATCAGCTCCTCGGTCTTCACATTCTGCATCTCTTGATCCCTGGTTGGGATTTCATGAGGCGCCAGGTAGCGCAAGTCGCCTTCAACCTTCATTGAGTGGCACTTGTCTACCACATGATGTGCTGGCTCCAGCTGATCACCTATCTGGAGGTGAGGGTAGCGCTGCTTCACCTGCGCCCACCTCGTCTTCCTTTCCACTGGTGGTAGCTTCCTGGTCTTGCTCCCATCGGCTTCCTGTGTTCCCTCCAGGCGTGTCCTCAGCTCTGCGGCCACTATCGTGTAGGCCTCATGGTACAGCTTCCTCAGTCTCGGCAGATCCTGGTGATCGTTCCTCCCCAGTATCGGCCTCACCACCTGCTCCATGAAAGCCGTATCGTCCCCTGTTCCCGGTGCCCAGCTGCTTGCAAAGGCAAAGGTGGATAGGGTGGTCCATCCCTTGCCACTCATCAGCAGCTTGTAGCCATCCAGCCCATTCTCCTTCAACTTCGCCTCGAACACGGCCTTGGACTCTGTCAGAGTCGCCATGTCCCCGGTCACTGCGGCTTGAGCCACTTCGTCGCTAGCGGCACCAGACCACTCAGAGAAAAACCGACTGCACTGAAACACATGTTCATCACAACTGCACTACCACCTGGTCACCTGCCTCATTGCACATGTGTCGAATTACCCAACATGTAACAAGACATCTCTCAACTGTTTCGTTTCAAACAACTGCACCGCATCAACTGTTGCACACATGAAACTACTTAACTGTTCTAGTTACTCACATCTTCACCACCTACTTAACATAGACATCTGACATCCCTACTCTCACTCACTCCTTGCACCCGGCAGTCCTCATAGTCGCACTTCACACCGAAGGACTTCCCTCGATCATCCACCTGACCCGGACAACCCGGTCACTTTGATGGGAACAACTCCCGCCAGGACAACCCTGGCCACTTGCATGCACATCCGCCAAGTGAAACTCACTCAGCAACTTGCGCCATGATGCTCAGCTACTGCGCACCAGACTAGTTCACTCAGACACTCCACTGCGCTCACTTTTCGTCGCAACGAGCTGAGATCATTGCTCCAGTTGGGCTCTGGAGTAACCTTCACACACTTTGCACCTGCTACTAACTGCATGCACTTGCTCATCTAACTTGACTATCACAGCAGTGATCTTACGGCCACACGCCAGCTTACCCTCTTCAGTGCTGGCTCTATGTATGGTGCCTGTGATACCATGCCTGTACAAATCAACACCTGATTTCTTCGGAGGACCTACTACCGCCTGTACAACTGCCTCGAGGTTGCGCTCAGTTTCACTTTCATCCACCTCATCTCCGGACTCTTCACTCTCCGTCGACAGCTCTCCAACCTCGGCCAACCTCACACTCTTCTTACCAGGCGTTGGGATCTCCTCCATACTGAGGTCGCCTCTCTCCTCCACCAGCAAGTCGTCATCAGCATCCTCAGCATCTCCCATCTCTGCCGGCGGATCCTTCCATCTCTCGGATCTTGGCAGGTCAGGTCGAAACCTATACATCCTGATGTCTTTGATCACCTTCATCAGAGCATCAAGACCGCCAGCCAATGCATCCCTGCTGTAGATGACCAGGCTCGTGTCTTTCGGTTTGACATGATACCCCATGAGTCGCCTCAGCTTCTCCGAGACCATCGCCTTAGCCATCCAGCTAAGGGCAGTAGCCTTCATGGAGTGGGCCCCCACGTTGCTCATGTCCATCTTCTCCATGGAGTATCTTTTCAGCAGCTCACACAGCCAGTTGGATGCCTCGGAGGTGGACAATCTGCTCTGGCTCCATCCTCCACCTGTGATGGGGGCTGGCATGAAGGGGCGACCAGGGAGAGCTCTCAGGCCAGCTTGAGCTCTCAGCCTCAAGAACTCCTCAGCCCATGCCACTCCTGAGACTCCCCTGCTTGGGGCCACCACTGGCAAGATTCTCCTTGCCCTTCCCACGAGGGAGTCCGTCTTGTGGATAGTGGTCCCTCCCTCTATGTAGTCCCCATCAAGCTTCGGCTCTTCCTCGATGCCCTGGCTGTCTCCGAACCTCAGTCTGCCGTACACACACAGCAGGCAGTGCCCAGCAAACAACCTATCTTGTAGCGGGGCCAGCGGGTTCTCGACCAAGGCTTCCAAAGTCTGGATCTGGTGGACAGTGAGTGCATCCCTCTGTCTCAGAACCCTCTTTGTGACGTAGCTCCTATGTGCTGATCCAGCTATCCTGCCACTGTCCAGCACCTCATCAACGCCTTTGAGCTGCAGGGTGCCCTTGCAAAATGCCAGGGCACTTCTGAAACTGCCTGCTCTGGTTGCAGGAGCTCGGTTCTTTCTGAGATCATCCACATACTGGTACACTTGTTGTTCACGTAGAGGAAAAGCTGCAAGATCTCTGGCTTTGCACCACCTGACATACAGCATCATTGCACTGAGCCTCACTTGGAGGGTGCCATTTTTCTTACGTGCAAAGATGTCCTCCAACACGTTCTCGCCTGACTCATCCAACATCTGCCCAGCCGCACATTGGTCTCCAGCTTCATGGATGACCACCATCCACCCTGCCATGAGCTTCGTCCTCTCGTCGGCCTCAGCTTGCTGCCAGGCTTTGCGTTCTCTGTCAAGAGGTTTGAACCCGCTTCTCACGAAGACATCTGCTGGCATCTTGTCATCCTCCTTCGGCTCCACGATCTCTTCCTCGACCATCAGAGCAGCTTTCATAGCACTAAGGTTGGGCATCTCCATCACTTCTGGTGCTTTGCCTAAAACCAGACCAGCGAAACCTCTCTCCCAAGGCATCTTCAGGCAATCCGGTATGTGGGGCTTGAGCTTCAACTTCTCACTCAGTCCCATACCTCCATCCACGGGCTTGACGACCTTTGCTGCCTGTTCACCTGAGAGGTCTACGGTGGCTTGTCTCTTCAGGATAACATCCAGCACTTGCTGCAAGTCACGATGTTCAGTTGCAACCTCTGGACCCTCTTCACCTTTCCAAACTGCATCTAACTCACTCTGGTACTCTTCATCGAAAACCTCAGTGGGGCTTCCCATGTCCACGTCCTCTTTGGCACCGCTCTCCATGGCCACCAGCTTCTGTCGCATTTCATGGATATTCCCCACTAGAGGGTCCAGGCTCAGTAACTCATTGGTAACAGGTTCATCCTCCACTGACAAATCCACAACAGTCCCCCGCTTCGTACCCCCATTTCTGGGACTCTCTTCATCACTAGAGATTTCCATGGCAGCCATGGTGAACAAAAATACGAAGGGGGGACATGAACTTGTGCCAAAATGGCACGGGTGATCAACCGTTCTTCTGCTCATGCATAATCACTGTTGTGCACTCTGTAAAATGCAACATTACTGCGTAACGGTCAGCATAAAACAAGATTGGTCCTATTTGTTTCATTCAGGTTGTTCCCAAAAACGTTCACCACAACCACAACTCATGTTTTTTCCTGAAACATCCTGAAACATGAATGTAGCAACTGCTTCACCAGCTTGGTACAACTGCCTCAACTTCGGCAGCTTGTAGTGAAGTCCAAAGCTTGGACATGCCTGGGAGCTACTGATTTCCAGCAGCTTGGTGTTGCCCAGCGCAGCCTCCCCTCGCACCGCCATATATTCGTCATGTAAGGCACAATTAATTGGCACCAGCAGGTTGAAGGTGTCCGCGCCACCGCCCAGGTATAAGTTGACCACTGCCTAGAATCTCCAGGGGGCGACATCGCGCCAAACCCTGAAGACAAACTGTGTTTGCAAACTAGGATTTCAGCTCACTTTCTCGTCATGTCGGACCAACTTCAAGTAACATGTCATCATGCCCCGCACAGTGTATGCGATTTACGTGCATATTATTGTATATATATATATATATGTGTGTGTGTGTGTGAATATGTATATGTATGTATATATATATATGCATCTCAAAGTGACAACTGACTTCGTAGCACTTCTCACTCCGCACTCTTTTTCGCCTTCTGCCTAGCAGTCTGTCTGTTCACCTGTTATCCTCAGGTTTGCCTTGGATCGGTCACGGTGTGGTCAGAGCTGCCTGGTCACCCCAGGAGAATATCGCCTGAAAAGCGGGTATGCGCAGGCACCCTCTCCTAGGCGGGCTTCTCCACGGGAGGCCGGCTCTTAAGGTTTGTGCAGGAGGGGAAAGAAAGCAATGAATGCTATTTTGGCTCAACTCCACTTGAGCCAAAATGATATGATAGCATTCATTGACTCACTTAAAGATGACACATGCACACCCAAAGCCTGCCAAGCTCAATGCATGAATGAATGAATATATATATATTATATGTGTGTGTAACATACTGTATGTATATGGTTTTGCATGTACGAATATTAAGCATAGAAATATCACTAACTATTGATCAATATTATATATGTGTAAGAATGTATGTAATTGTATAGACATGCTGTTGTTTACTGCACATGCCAATGGCAAAGGCCTTGTAGGATCGCGGTGGCCCTTTTGCCACCGTCTGTGTCTCCGGCGCTCGAGGTCCCACAGGCTTGGGAGCACCCAGGGTATTGAACTCGGGCGTCAGAACCATGGCTTCCTTCCCATGTCCCAACCATATCCAACCATGGGAAAACATTGAAGAACAATGGGAAAATGCTGCAAAACCTCATAGCAAAATGATGAAACATGGTTTGGCCGACTTTTGAAGTTGTAACCCCGAGGAGGGGCTTTGTTGATATGTCAGAAATCAAACCGATCATTCATTTTTGGCCCGAAGTATGCATCAATACACTCAAAACTTAGAGGAAAAAGTGTTTAAAAAATGTTTCAGAAAGAGGTGACCATCCTGGATGGCTTTCACATCGCCATTCTGAGTGCTGCTGTAGGTCATCACAGCCTCCCGAACATGACTTGTGAGACGAGAGCCCGTGAGCAAAAGATCCAGATCATTCAAGGCATCGGTGGAGTTAGTGCTGAGTGTCAGCTTTAGCGAATCCATGGCATCACATCTGTCCACCTTAACTCCAAAGCCGTATTTGCAATCTGTGACTCCCTGGTAGTCTATCAAGGAAAACATCCCATTGAGAAAATTCACCAAGCCGGCAGAGTCGAAGATTTGGAACTCGGGTGCGATGTGACCAGATGGCAATTCGTAATCAGGCATGTAGAAATTGAAGACTGTGGGTGATGCAAATGGTTCCTGGCCAATCCTATCCTGGAATAGTTCGAACAAGAGATCTCTCCGTGAGGCATCCTCAAACTCCATAGCCCTCAGAAAGTGCACCAATTTCACCAGCGGCTCCCTAAGGGCTCCTGCATCCTGTGATGCCCTTGCCTCTGGGTGGAGCAAAATGGCTGCCATGGTGGCACCCAAATCGCCATATTCTCCAGAATAGCTGCGACCATAACGTCCCGTGCGGAACGCAGTGGCAACGGATTGCACATATGCCGTTGAAGGGCTAGAGGTCACAAAACGCTGGATCAGGCGATGGCTGATGAAGGGAGCGGTGTTGGGATGATAGACCAAGTGCTCCAATAAGGCCTCGATTTCTTGCGTGGCAGAGCGGGCCGTGTGTTCAACATCTGCTCCGATCACAGGTGGGTTGCGGAAGGACTTGTCGCCAACGACAACCACACTACGCATGTTGCGGAAGTACTTGCCCTGATACTCGAAGATGGTGTTAGCATCAATACTCCCACTGAAGTATGCCTTGACTTCCCCACACGAAGCGCAAGAGGCGCTGGGCTTGAAGGCACCAACCTTGAGTTCACTCAGCTCGGTCGGTGCTGGCACGCGGTCAAAACTGCTTGGATCTCGATCCGCATTGGGCAAAGACACGAATCAGTGAGAGAGGTGCAAGTGCTGGGGCAATTCTTCACATCAAGCGGCCCATTGTCCCAGTTCACCGAGACTTTGTTCATCTTCGTCTTGTCGGTGTGGTAGCTCGCCACTTTGCCTGATGAGTCCACGGAGATGTTCACAGAACACGTTTCCAAGGTCCAGACTTTGGCCGTTTCCGAGTTGTACCCGCACTTGCTGCTGGAGGTCTCCCTATCCAAGGTCTTCCAAGGTGTGCCATGTTTGGTTTCCATGATTTGTCAGTCCTATCCCAAAGGAATCTGAATAGTCTGTCATACCAGGCCGTGCCATAATCTATTATATGCCTATGCCAAATACATATTTTCTAGAGATCCGTTTGTTGAGCCCATCTTGAACAATTTCCGTTTCCTCCCCTCACCAAACCCTTGTCCTGTCACAGATGTTCATGCCAATACCTTTGCAGTTCTTCTCTGCCTCACTGAAGGGAACCAGCTCTTCCTCATAACCACAGACATGATCTTCTCTGTAGTCTCCATCGCTTGAACAGTTGATGCCATAGCTGTTGCCTGCCGCAAAACACCGTTTTTCACAGTAGCGGTTCTGTGCCCACCAGTCGTTCCCCATGCACCTGTCCTGAAAAGAACTGACAGCTCGGAGTTCAGTTATGAATGAAGATAAGCGGTTAACTACATATGCTTGCAAATGCTTGCACATATATATATATACTATACCGGTATGTTATGTACATATCTTTGTGCGTGCGTTTGGCTATTCATCTATTATTTATCAGTATGTTTGCTTACTGATGTTTAACTTATGCATTTATGTGTATTTTTGTTTATTTACTTATTTTTCTAAGTTTTATGCGTCTCGTTACTTACTTGGTTGGCTGGCTAGTTAGTGAGCTGGCAAGGTAGTGAGTGAGCTAGTTAGTTTGTGAGTTACTGAATTAGTGAGTTAGTTGGTGAGTTGCTTAGTGAGATAGTCAGTTGGTTAGTGTTGTTTATCAATTTATCATGTATATCTCAATTTTGTCACAACATGGTATATAAAGTTTTGAAGAACACTGGAAACCCATAGGCCTCGGGCGAAATGGTCTTACACGGCCCCTTGAATTCTGCGCCTGGAGTGACAGGAAGCCATTGAATTGTGATACCAGACCAGAAAAAATCGTAAACCTGTAATCCATAATCCGGTAAATCATTGGGGATTAGTTTTGGATTTGGTGTGAGGTATCATGTATGTACACCTACACTCCTAGACAGTTCTATAGATGATTATATATAACTTATCAATACTTATCACGATTCCATGCCAAGATGTGTCAAGTGCTGAAAGTGCTCTGCTGTCACCTTCAAAAAAGCACCCGCAACCATCCCCCTTTCACCAAGAGCTCCTCCCGTGTAAAGGTGTTGTCGTTCGCGGTGGCGCAAGTCATGCCATTGTCGGCAAACCAACTTGGAGCGACGCTGGAGCAGCCTCCGCAGCAGTATGAACCGCCCTGGGGGGTCTCAGGATTGGTACACACCCTTCGGCTTGTCCACCAGCGCCGTTCACCACCACCTGAAGTTTGAAGCAAAATGAAGCAAAGCTGCTCTACCTTTTTGGGAAATTATGAAGTCCGCGGATGTCCATGGAATGTCATTCTCCAACCAGATACTTCATCCATCTTCATCCCATCCGTGATGCCCCGCCTGTCACAATCCTGCCCTCGAAGAAAAATAAATGCATGCACCGCGGCAGAGAATATTCATAGTAAACGCCTTGATCACTTAACTCGACGACGTGAGGCCATGTTGTGGTGCACTCATCCCCTGAGCAAGTCAAGTCCTGCTGAAGTATCACTACGGGCTGAAAGGAGCATGCCTCGGCTTCGTTCTATGTCCAAGCGAAGCGGTTGAGTTGGCATCCGAATCTAGTCCCTACGGAGTCTCTACATTTCTGGACGAATTTTCTTCTGAAACCAACAGCATCCTCCCTTTGCGGCCGAGCTGCTCCACCAGAACCGCACAGGGCTTGGTACAACGGGGAGCTGGATTGGAGCTTCAGGACGTCACTACCACTGTAGCTGCTGAGGAATTCATAGCGTGCCCCTGTTAGCAAAAAGGAGCCCTGGCCAGGGGTTGCCGTGATGGTTAGAACGGTCAGAACGTTTATCCCATTCGTTCTATTGTGGAAACATGGAGCTAGAGAACCCCACTGCCTTCGGCAATTCGGAGCATGGAGGCAATCCATCGCCCAAATACATCTTGTCCAAGTCCTGCTTAGGATAGTTGTCGTGCCACCGTGCGATCATCTGCATAGGGTCAATGGCATTCCTGGACTCGGAGAATGCAAGACTCAAGGCATCCAAAGCAGCGTGTGCCAAATATGTGTGTGTGGATTTTTTAGGTGGAAAATAGATGAAAATAGACCAATTCTTCACCCATGCACACTGCAACTGAATTTGAGCACTGATAACGAGAAAACCCAGCAGTGTCCAAACAAACTTGAAATGGATTGTTCACAAAATGATCCTTCGTTACCATGTTGTACGAGCACTAGATTCATTGATGTCACTTTGGCCTAGTCATGCCTTGCCACAGACTCAAAGACCTGCAACTCACTGGAGTTCCTGGACCTTCCACCTACGCCTGGGCTATGTGAACGTGCCAATCGGTCCACTGGTGGAGGTAAAGCATGGATAGCTGGATAGCTGTGGGAGGTTGGCATGGACCTGGTGGACCTGGTGGACCTGGTGGACCTGTCAAGGCGCCCAGCGTCTTTCCGTTGTTGCTGCGGACCTCCTCGACATTGCTTCGAGCTGCCTGCCGGTCCAAGCCCGTGAAGACGCGAGCGAAGGTCATGATGTCCTGCCGGATGCAGGTGGATTGTGCGCTTTGCTCTCAAAGTTGTTCAAGCTGTTTGAGGTGCAAATGGGTGCAACATGTCTAACACTGTCTAACACTGTCTAACAGTCAGTCTGACACATCATAATCCGGAGAGTTTCGAGCAAGAAGATCTCTTTACTGGGCAGCCAGATTACATCTTCCGTGAGAAGGTTTTGGATTGTTTAAGAAACAAAATCTGGCGCAACCTTGGGACCTACATGGACCTACCAAGCGGGTTGTGCCCATCCGGGCTCAGAGTCGATGAACAAGACCCGCCACTGTCCACGCTCCTCATTGTTGTAGTTTGGAATGGGGCTGCCTTCATCATCCAGGACCACAGCACCAGCCGGGTTCAATTTCACAGTGCCAATGGTGAACAACTGCATCACCTCCAAATTGTCCAAGGCAAAACATTCGGCCATAGCTGGCATATGTACGGTATCTAACATGCTGATACCCACGGACTTGTCAAAGTCATCCTCTGTTTCCTGTAAGAGATTTGCGTGGAAAAGAGGTTCTTGTCCAACACCAACCAGGATACAGTAAGTTCAAATGCAATGACTCAAACTTAAAAGTGACTACGTAGGCTCCACTCCCTCCAATCCGGTGCACCTCTCGTGCATAGTTCTCATCTGGATAATTTTGATCATGGTCGAAGGCAGAATTCCGCAAAAAGGACAGATACTCGCCCATCAACGGACTGAAGGTCACCTCTTTCAAGAGGTCCAAGTAATTGCCAAAGGCCTTTCAAATCAGATCTATCAGATCTCAGGCATGCAGGAAAAGGTCGCCAAATAGATCCAGCCAATTGAAGGCAGAGGGCATGTTCAAGACTGTGATGCTTGGATGGTTCCCTACATGAAGAATGATCAAGATGTCAGTTATGTAAAAAAATACCAATTCCAAAGCTATCAATTTAGTGTCTGACTTCATCTGACTTCCGGCCTTCCGCACCAAGATGTCATAGTAGTTCAGCCACAGCTCATTCTGCCACTCGTGAGTGAAGCCTCCGGTGCCCACCACCACAACCTGAGACAACGCCCAGGCCATCCTTTGTCGCAGTTGATCGGGCGCCGACATTGCCTCCGGGTCAGTAAAGCTTGGAGCTTTAAGAGTTAAGTACGGTACCAATGGGCCAAATCTCATCCCGTGTATCACAATTGGTCTCTACAAAACAAGCCATGGCCATACACCGTAGTAACCCCCTCATCCGCTCAACCGTCCATGATTGGTTTGTATCGCTCCACTGGCACAGGCCTGTCCCATCCACATATTCATCTTGGTCCTGCTGACATCTCTGGTCTCGCCGTCGCGGGAAGGGAAGTCAAAATCAATATCTCCTTCGCGTTCATCGCGATTTATCCTCATTAAAGGGCTCAACGGGAGGAATGAAAATCCAACAAACATGATCTGGAACATTTCGCTAGGAAGCATTGTTTGGCAACTCTGACAGAAGATCAAGACGTACATGTTTGGCAAATGGTCACATGTAGATTGGTCCAGGACTGATTGGGGATATGATGATTTCATGAAATTTCATGAATAAGGTGCCCTGGTGTATTTGCACACGCCCCTCGATCTAATATTGGTCTAATCATATCAAATCCATCAACCCAGTATAACCCAGTAAACTCATGTTTTTTCTCCATGGCTTTCTGCCAAGGCTCGTAAAGAAATGCGCGTTGTTCCCCAGCTGTGGCATGTTGGCCGTTTCCCCCGGAGATGGACAGGCCAAGGTGAAGCCGCCCGAGCTCGGCGAGCTCGAGAGGTTCGCCAGTTGCAGAGCCACGGTCTCACTTTTCACGGTGGATGGGAGGCTACCATATCCTCAATATTTGGATGAATTTGGATGAATTATGATGACTTATGGTGATTTATGGTGACTTATGATTCTGATGATTTATGCTTTGGATGTGGTGTAAGTTTGGTGTAAGTTTGGTGGCAGATTTGCTTAGATGGACACGCCTCTATGATCCTGCATCTGCATCTGGTATCATCTGGTGCGTCGTGAATTATGGTGGCGGGAGTGGCGTGGTAAAATTGGCAGAAATCAATAGAAATCATGCAAGAACTATACACAATATCAACAACATATCGACAACTGCAGAAGAGCATCGAATGGTTTCACCCATTTTGCCAATGTACTGCAGCCTTGCAAGATTTGTTTCAAAGCGGTCCATGGGGTGGTTGGCAGGATATTGCAACGTGTAGCCGCTGCTGGCCCATTTCGTGATGGCATTGGAGCCTCCTGGGTGTTCTGATACCCACAGGAAGAAATCGTAGACATTGCCTTCCTGAAGGTGCACATGCTGAAACAGGAGGTTGCCAGAAATGCTCACAACCGCATTGGCCGAGACAGAGTTGCAGTTCACAAAGATGTCTCTTAAATCACCTGACCACTCAACAGTCATGGAAATCTGTTTGAGCTTCGATTCCCGGGTTGACATCTACTGAAACTGCATGCAAAAAACTTCACGCTGCCTATGGTGCCTATCAGAATACACGCTTAATCAGCAAACAACTCGCACAGTGTCGACCACCTGAAGCACTGATATTGTAAGGCCTACTACCGTGAACACTACCGGATCGTGGACTCGTTTGTGCATTGCTTCCCCCACCTTCTTTGGACTCCAAGGCATTGACGATCAAGCTCCTGTCGGCTGTATCTAGTGTGGAGGCGCTGCAACTTGTGCAGAGTTTCCACCTGGACAAAGTGCCACATGGACTCGTCGTGGTTCGTAAGCCTGAGATCTCGTAGATGTACCTCCCTTGTGAAGACAGCTGCTCCAAAGTCTCCACAGTGAGGTTGAGACTGGCCGAACTGGCCTCTGCCACGTTGCAGACCCGATCGGCCAACACTTTGCAATGCTCCAAATTGAAGCCGGTGCTTGGTACGGCAACACAGACCTCTTGATCTGCCGAAGTGGCATCCACCAATTTGAACCTCGAATCATATCGATAAGCGCTGCCATTCACCTGAAGCCACTTACCAAAGGCACAAGTTGATGGACTGGAAGTAAGTACAATGATGTTGGGGCGAATGATGGCAAATTGAGTGAAGTCGGTGTCGGTCATGCCATCCATCCAAATGGCAGGGATTCGCATCACCACTATGCTTGAGCAGTCCGTGGAGGTTGACATGCTCATCAAATCACCAACTGCAGCTGCTTCAGGGGTAGAACACAAGTAGCCTGTGAAAATCAGATTCGTCCAACCCACGGAGCAGTCATCTCCATCATAAGGGTTTCCAATATCCCAACAACTTTGGCGACAAGTCATATCTGTGGTCCAGGACTCGCTGGCAGCACAGTTCCAACGCTTCACTTGGTCTGCGCAGGTTTGGGTTGACCACCAGCTACGTCCTTCGTTGTTGCAGGTGTTTGGTGCTGGCAAGCCATTCTTCAGCAAGTTGGGATCCAACATACTGCAAAGTTGCCCATCCACAAAAATTTCGGTCCCAGTGGCCACCACCTGAAGTCCAACATCGCGTTGGTCAAATGCCACGTTGGACCATCGAGATCCTCCTTCACAAGCAGTCCGGGGGATGGTGGATCTGCGTGTTTCGGAACTGCTGGGATTGACCCGACTGCGGTAGCGACTGCGCAGGAGGGAAGGATCCTCAGGTAAATCTCTGGTAAATCTATGGTAATCTCAAATATTTCCGCTCCAAAAAGATGTGGTTCATGGTGCACGCTGACAGGGGCGCATTTGGTCTGCATTCAACAGTCGCGAAATCATCCAAACACAGAACCCTGAAATGAGCAGCAACAAACAGAAGCACTTGACAAGTGAAAACAGTGCAAACCATGCAAACCAAGCATCAAGCGCCATCTGTTGAACAATCCATGCCTCGTAACTCTCCTTCCCCTTCAACTCTGCCAAGCTGCTGTGAGTGGGACCAAAGGTCGCCTGAGCAATGCAGAACCATGTATATATAGAGGCTCTGTCAGCCCAAAGCTTAGGAAACCATAAGCCCTGCGGAAGGGAAAGGAATGGAAAAGAGGTTGGCCCATGTTTCCCCTTTGAGAGTAGAGTGGCGTCAAACCCACAAGCTGCCTCCTTCCTGCCTGAATCAAGAATTGAGCATCTAGGGCATCTGACCGTGGCCACTCTGTATCAGGAGTCAAAGTGGAAGTCGTTGTTGTTGGTGCTGTCGTTGCTGCTGGGGCTGTCGTCGCTGTTGGTCCTGCGGCGCCTGTGGTCGCCATCGTGGTGGACAGAAAGCCACCGGATCCAGTGGTCGTGACGTTGTCAGGTTTTTCGGTTACACCTTGCAGGGTTGACATTGACAGTCCCAGCCAACAGTGCCACTTCTAAGCTGCTGTGGTTTGAACATTCAGCAGGTTTCAGCAGGTTTCAGCAGGTTTCAGCAGGTTTCGACACCCCAACCTGGACTGCTTCCTCCAGGCTCATCCTCCGTCCCGCATCCGCTCAACGCAATGGCAAGTAGTGCAAGTAGCACATGCACGGCACCCAAGGCGCAACGCATGTGGTGCAATGTCCCCATGTCCAGCTCTTTGCTCCTGGACTCTCAGCGGGCCTTTGAACCAAAAACTGCGGCATCAGCATCCAGCAGGTGGGTTTACGACCATGAGCCAAAGCCAAGCTCAAGTCTGTTCCAAGCCGCTCAGCCAAGTCCAGGATAGGTCGGATAGGTCAGAGTCCTGCAAAAATGTCAGTGGTAAATTTCATGCTGTCAAAGGAGCGCCCTGGACACAGTGGATTCCTTTTTCCAAACTGTGAGCCTCAATCTTCCTGCAGGTCAGCGAAGAAGCTGCAGGTTGTTGTTGGGCGGAGCCACCAATTCAAACTCCGCATCTCGACTCTTTAGTCTGAGTGAGACTGCTCCTAGCTTTCCGCCATGAAAGGAGTCTTGCAAAGTGGTTCGAGCATCTGGGGGCCTTTCAGGTTGCCCCCAAGGGTCATTTTAAACTACAACGGTGGTCTGACTCCTTCCCACGACTGGCCTTACCAAGTATCCCTGGCCGCGGTCACCACGAGGCCCGCGGCTCAGCGGGAGAATATTGGGAGCCACAGTGTTCCATGGCACCTTCCCACGTTCACAACGGCGATGACTGTCTGCTTATGACTCTCTGCTTCGACGAGCAGTGTCCCATCTTGAAAACGTTCAATGTAGCTACACCACATGAAAACAATCAAAAAATCTCAAGCCACAAAACAAAAGTAGACACCAACAACGCAATGAATACAGCTGATCTTTGCCCACACTCCGGCAGTACCGGCAAGGCATGGCTTTTATGGATTTTTATGGGCTAACCAGATGCCAAACATGTTGAAATGTCTAAAAGCCTCCCCGGAATCACCATCCATGCAGCTGTCAGTGCTATCTGGGTGCCTTCAGGACCGCCACCGTGGCTTTGGTGATGAGTTGCGGGCAGAGGCGTTGAACCTTTGGCCCCGTATCATGCTCCACAAGTCCCCGAAATGATCAAGATGATTACTTTCATCCAAGACCTACGAGGTCCAGCAATGTCTGACCAAGAATGGGGAAAATACCAAAAGGAAACAAAAGCGCATGCCCTCAAAATCTCTCCAATCTTCAATGCTGTTTGGCTTGACATTGACCAGGTGAACACCAGGTACACCCATGTTGATTTTGGATGATTTTGGCCGAGCTATTAAACAATTTAAACAGCATCAGTATGCCTTCGTTTAGAGATCAGCGTCACCCTGTCCCTGCCCAGCTGGGACCAGCAACGCTGGGGTGGGCGATGGCGCACGTCTCAGATGAGATGACATCGAACGCTGGGCTGTCGACCTCGCGGCCAAGCTGATCCCAGTAACTTGTGCGGGCTATCCTAGGCCTTGCCGGCCTGTCGAAAGGCGAACTGGTGGGGTAGCTGTGACCCGGGACCTCAGTGATGGAAGCATGACATCGAACTATTTGAGCACTTTTTGTGGCTATGTTTGGCTCGTGGTCGGTTCGGATGGACCGGTCCATTATCGAGGAGAAGTGTTTCCTTGGGGCCCTGAGGGCTTCACATGCCGTGTTGGTATTGTCATGGGCGGACCACTTTGTGATCGAGAATTCCTCGGCTTAACAGAAACGACTTTGCAAACATCCCAGTCATGTCAAGATATGTCAAGATCCATGGCAAAATTCACGGAGCAAATCAGAATGGGTTGGGAACAAATCTGCCAGGTCTGTCAGCTGACAACTGTTCTGCCAAAAATAGATCAACAACTTACGCACATACAGATACAGGACACACTGAAACACACATGATGAAGGGATTGAAGCATAACCATACAAAATCTGATGATCAACACCTATGCTTTTATGGTCTTGAGCCATAGAAGAAACTGAGACTTCCACGGGGATGGCGGCCTTGATGATGACCCCGACCTCAGCAGAGGTGACCCATGGGTGCCATGCCATGGGTGCCAGCCCCTGGGGATCTGGCCTCATTTGAGCCCCAGGAGACGCCTTGGTTAACGTTGGAACGTCGGAACGTCGGATTGAGAAGCAACATATAGATGTGACAAGATGACCATGACGTCGGTCACGTTGACATCAACCTTTTTGCATGATCACTATGATTCAGTATGATTCAATATCATTATATAGTGTCAGTAAGACTTGCATACAAGAAACAGACTAGAATGGACTAGACATGGACTAGACATGGTACATACTAAAGATTCTTGTGTTGGTCATTTGCATCACGCTGCTGTCCACCAAGTCCAGCCCACCATCCACAAGTGTCTCAGGCCACCACCGGACGTCGCATAGATCCGGATCTGGTGGGCGTCGACCTCAGCACATCGCACAAGGTCCCTGAGTTGCCTTGCCGATCGTAAAAGATGTATGAAAAATATGGGAATGTTCTTGATGTTTTTGATGTTTTTGTTACCATTTAATGGCAAGGTTTCCCTGCACTTCCCATAAGGTCTGGTTTTTTTCAGGTCCTGTGTCTTGGCTTCCTGCGGCGCTGTTGAAGGCCGAGCTCGCCCTTCCAATTGGATGACCATTGGCCCATTGCGGCCATTGCCGTTCATATCCCAACGGGGTCCCAACCACTCCCCAAAATCCTCCGCCTGGTGGACGCGTGGAATCCCCCAATAAGTCTGCCTTGGCTCTTACCTCGGGGTCTCCATCGAGAAGGAGATCCGCATAGGTCTACCAAGGCCAAATTCCATAGGAACCGGAACTTTGAAGTTCACATAGTCCACATTGTCCGAGTCCACATAGTCCACATAGTCCACATAGTCCACATAGTCCACATAGTCCACATAGTCCACATATTCTAAGGATCAAACAGGACCGCCGCCGCGAAAGGCTCCCATTCCTCTCTGTGACCCAACCTGATGCAATGCCCATGACCGGATTAGATGCCACCCACTGGGCCACTCTGCCGAAAACGCCGAAAACACCAAGGCCCAAGCTCCAGGGGTTGGAGTTCGCCCGAAGAGGCCAAAGCCTCGCCACAGCCAAAGTGATGATATTTGCAGATCATTTTCGTCTTTGATCAGCTCTGTTGTCCACTTTTCATGATGCCCATTAAGGCTACCACTCTGAGGTCCAGAGCTCTGATAACCAGAGCTCTGAGACACGCTGGGATAGCGACCTGAAACACTTCCAGTGGCTGTGACGGAGCGGCGACAGAGCGCAAAGCCAATTCGACCTTTCACTGTGCCTTTGCTTAGGCAAGTGAAGCTACTGATATCTACAGAGTATAAACTTTAAATTTTATACTGAACTTATCATATTTGACTTGAGGCCCAGGGGGGGTGAACGAAAGCTAAAGGTCACATGAATGTGGAAATAGGTGAGCGGAACTTGGAAACGCGCAGGGAAGTGCAGAATGGCAGACGATACCCATCCACAGGGAAGGAGTCAAAATGGTCGCAAAGAATTGTGTAATGCCCAGCTTTCAATCGTAGAACATGTGAAGAAAAGAACATGGTTACTGAAAAAAGTTGGGGCCTTATCCAGAAGTGAAAATTTTAATGGTGCTGAAATCCTTAACTGTTGATCCGAGTCATAAAGAATTCTATTGGGCCCACTGCCAAATTGTTAGAACCTCTGGCGAGCTTGGAAAGTCTCAACCAAAGAAGATTGGTACGAGACAAAGTTTGGACCCCATCCAAAATTATAATGTTTGATGGGGCTCAAATCTATACACTGTTGACTTGAGTCAGAAAGAACTCTATCGAACCTAATGTTCTGGTGAGGCATCTTGCGCAAGAGTTCCACCCGAACAACATGCATTCTTCTGTTGCAAGTCGTAAAACATCTGAACATATCTGAACCAAAGAAGAAGGTGACTCTATAAAGTTTGGGCCCCATCCAAACTTGTAATTTTTGATGGGGCTCAAATCTACACAGTGTTGACCTCAGCCAGAAAGAACTCTACCGAACCTAATGTTCTGGTGAGGCATCTTGCACAAGAGTTCCATCCGAACAACATGTAATCTTGCGCTGCAAGCCGCAAAACATCTGAACCAAAGAAGATGGTGACTCTATAAAATTTGGGCCCCATCCAAAATTACAATTTTCGATGGGGCTCAAATCTACACAGTGTTGACCTGAGTGAGAAAGAACTCTATCGAGCCTAATCTTCTGGTGAGGCATCTTGCGCAAGAGTTCCATCCGAACAACATGTAATCTTCCCGTGCAAGTCGTAAAACGTCTGAGCCAAAGAAGATGGAAACTCTATAAAGTTTGGGCCCCATCCAAAATCATACAGTAGTTTTTCATGGGGCTGAAATCTACACAGTGTTGACTTGAGTCCGAACAAGATGTAATCTTCCGTTGCAAGTCGAAAAACATGCGAACCAAAGAAGATGGTGACTCTATAAAGTTTGGGCCCCCATCCAAAATTATAATTTCTGATGGGGCTCAAATCTATACACTGTTGACTTGAGTCAGAAAGAACTCTATCGGGACCAAGGTTCTGGTGAGGCATCTTGCGCAAGAGTTCCATCCGAACAACATGTAATCTTCCGTTGCAAGTCGTAAAACATCTGAACATATCTGAACCAAAGAAGAAGGTGACTCTATAAAGTTTGGGCCCCATCCAAACTTGTAATTTTTGATGGGGCTCAAATCTACACAGTGTTGACCTGAGTCAGAAAGAACTCTATCGAGCCTAATGTTCTTGCGAGGCATCTTGCGCAAGAGCTCCATCCGAACAGCATGTAATCTTCCGTTGCAAGTCGTAAAACATGAGAACCAAAGAAGAAGGTGACTCTATAAAGTTTGGGCCCCATCCAAAATTGTAATTTTTGATGGGGAAAGAACTCTATCGAGCCTAATGTTCTGGCGAGGCATCTTGCGCAAGAGTTCCATCCGAACAACATGTAATCCTCCAGTGCAAGTCGCAAAACATCGGAACCAAAGAAGATGGCGACTCTATAAAGTTTGGGTCTCATGAGATAGGATGCCTGTCCAGATCTCTTTTTTCACCAGCTTGTTTTTGTTGCTGAGCAGCTGCGGCACGTTTCGGGCCCCGGGAGCTTAGGGGGGGAGGGTTCAAGTGAAAAATCACTGTGTTGGACTCAGACCTACCCCTCCCCTTGCTGAAGCAAGAGTAACTCAGCTAGCTACCGCTAGCTTTCGTGATTATATAGGTCGCACAAAATGGAAGATACTATTGAGCCATGAGAACTTCAGGGTATGCACTGTATGGACGTTCCAAACCCCCTGAGGCAGCTGCCACGTGTGGGATCCCCTCGAAGCTGAGGCGACCTCAGCTGACATCCGCAGCCTTTGGAGAGGTGGCAGCATCTCAGTTGTTTCCGCTGTCTCTTCAAGCGGCTTTTGGAGCTGAATTTCTCTGACAGTTCACGATCACTTCCCTCTCATGGGGATTCAAAAATATGCGAGCACGCTTCTGAAGATTCTGTAACGTTCATGGATGAAAGCTTAGGCACACCTGGCAGGATCTCCCACTATTTCCAAAAACACTGCGCTGATTTGATGCACATCAACCTCTGCATTGACTTCTTGAGTGCTAGCTGCTAGGGATTCTTCCTTGATTTCTTGATCTCATCGTCCAATGTTTGCGCAAAAACTGTCGGTTGCATGCTGATTCCAAGCTGACCCTGTTTCAATGCTTCAAATACCAAGTCCCCCGCTCATTGCGTCGAGAAGATCCTGAGTTCTTTCAACAACCATAGGATCATTCACTTGGACATTTTAGACCTCCCTCCATCTAGTCCCATATCAACACAGACCAACACATATCAATACCTCAGACCTCAATGATCACAATTTCCAAAGCTTCCAAAGCTTACAGCGGTCTGTTCATCCCAGACCTCGTGGCGGTGGATCGTTGGAGCTAGCTCGCCGCTCCCTGGCACTGTCGACTCTGAGGTACGATGATAGACAATGATAAAATAGACTATTAGGTTAAATATAGATGTTTTATTGAATAATAATTCCCCACATATACACATAAGATATGTCATGCGGTATTATGTGACTACGCAATCCAATAAAATTCTCCTTCTACTTTGAAATTTGCCAGGATGACTCTGGAACAGGACTCTCCTCAGCCACATGCCATCCATGGCTCCACACTGCGCCAATGCCGTCTCTCAAGCTGAGGCTGCTACGCTTCTCCGACCCATGGGGCCAGTGAGCGAGTCTCTGATACCAGTAGTGGGGCCTTTCCAGCACATGTCACGAAGAAAGGGGATTCACATCTAAGTCGCCCCAAGGCTACAACAATCTGCAACATAGTAAATTTGAGACACGCCGCACTTCTAAGGTCAGAAACTGCATCAAAGGCCAGTTCCATCTGATAAATTTATATATATATATACCAGTAGTACCGCACAAGGCGGCGGCGGAAGTTTCAAAAATAGGACACCTATAGGAGAGGTTGGCTATTGTGAATCACGGATGGCAGAGTGAATTCACTGATGGACCGACAGGTGGTTGGAGTTGTGTGTTTTTTGGACTGGCTGCAATGGTTGCAGTGGTCACCCCACCACAACTGCTGGATGTAGTGTGGTGCAGTGCAGTTCTAGTTGTAGTTGTAGTGTAGTGTGATGGAGTTGTAGTTGTAATGTAGTGTAATTAGTGTAGTGTAGTTGCACTTGTAGTTGTGGTGTGGTGTATGGTGTGGTGTAGTTAGTGTAGCGTAGTGCAGTGTACTGACGTGTTGTGTACTGTAGGGTGGTGTGGTGTAGTGTAGTCTAGTGTAGTGTAGTGTAAAGTAGTGTTGTAGTTGTAGTGTAGTGTAATGTAATTAGTTTAGTGCAGTGTAGTGTGGTGTAGTGTTGTTTAATGTGGTGTAGGCGCAGTTGCATTTGCATTTGTAGCTGTAGTTGTAGTGTATTGCAGTGTAATTCGTGTAGTGTAGTGTAATGTAGCGCAGTTGTATTTGTAGCTGTAGCTGCGGTAGTAGTTATAATTGTAGTTGTAGTTGTAGCTGTGGTGGTGGTGGTGGTGGTGGTGGTGGTGCTGGTGCTGGTGCTGGTGGTGCTGGTGGTGCTGGTGGTGCTGGTGGTGCTGGTGGTGCTGGTGGTGCTGGTGGTGCTGGTGGTGCTGGTGGTGCTGGTGGTGCTGGTGGGGCTGGTGGTTCTGGTGGTGCTGGTGGTGGTGGTGGTGGGTGGTGGTGGTGGTGGTGGTTGTAGTTGTAGTTGTAGTTGTCGTAGTTGTTGTAATAGTAGGAGTAGCAGCAGCAGCAGTAGTCGTGGTGGTAGTGGTAGTGGTAGTGGTAGTGGTAGTGGTAGTGGTAGTGGTAGTGGTAGTGGTAGTGGTAGTGGTAGTGGTAGTGGTAGTGGTAGTAGTAGTAGTAGTAGCAGTAGCAGTAGTAGTAGTAGCAGTAGTAGTAGTAGCAGTAGTAGTAGTAGTAGCAGTAGTAGTAGTAGTTGTTGTTGTTGTTGTGTAATTAGATGTACTTAGTGTAGTGCAGTGTGATCAATGTAGTGTAAAGCGGCGTAGTGCATTTGCATTGGTAGCTGTAGCAGTAGTGTAGTGCAGGGGTAGTGGTAGTTGTACTTGTAATTGTCTATCTATCTATCTATCTATCTATCTATCTATCCATCTATCTATCTATCTATCTATCTGTCGATCTGCAAGCTTGAAAACGAAGCAATTCCGCAAGGCTTCCTCAATTTTTGAACTTGACAACATCAAAAACGCGGCAAGTCTGCGAGACATTCTCAATTTTTGAAGTTGACAACATCAAAAACGAAGCAATTCTGCGAGACTTCCTTTAATAGTGGAAAGTTGAGTGCAGAGCTGACGACCTTGTGCCAATTCGTTTTGCGATTTTTCCAGTCCATGTCTCTAAAGTATTGCGCCTGCCACGAAAAAGGAATGCCAGGTCATACGAAGTGATGCACCTGTCACGGAAAATCATCTAAGATCTGACGCTTTAAAATTCAACCCCTCTCAGGAAATCAGCCCCCTGACCTCCTAACATCTCTGATGAACATGTCTTTTGTACTGCGCCTGCCACGAAATGCATCTTTCCAGATCTTCTTCAAATGTCCCACGTTTGGTTCACTTTTGGCAGGCGACATCTGACTGAACCTTCAAAAGTGGTCCGGACGTGGTGTTTTTTTGCACGTTTTGACTTCCAAATGTGCTTCGCGCCGCAACGGCGTGCACTTTTTCGATTACCTTCAAAAAATGCTCGGAAGCTGGTGTGCTTTGTACAGTCCACTTTTTCGACATCTCAACTTCCAAAAGTGGTCCGACACTGTTTTGTACATTTTGACTTGGAAATGTGCTTCGCACCACAACGGCGTACACTTTTTTGACATCTCAAACTGAATCTCAACTTCCAAAAGTGGTCTGAGACCTGGTGTGCTTTGTACATTTTGACTTCCAAACGTGCTTCGCGCCACAACGGCCTGCACTTTTCGACATCAACGTCCAAAAGTGGTCCGAGAATTGTTTTTTTCCATTTTGACTTCCAAATGTGCTTCGCGCCACAACGGCGTGCAATTTTTCATCTCTCATCTGGCCAGATGGCTCCGCACCCACCGCTCCTCGGGAGCCACACATCATTGGAAAAACACAGTGGATCGCCACTTTTCTACCTTTTCGCGCACCTGCATCTTCTTTCTTCTCTGATCTTCTCTCTTCTTCCCTTCTCTTCTCTGACTGTTCCCACCTCTGCTTTTCTCCATAGTCGGAAGTTTGACTTCTAAACTTCCTTCGATAAATCTAATGAACATATCAGGTACATCATGGTACATCGATATATTTGGAGTTGCAATATGTTGCAATCAAAGTAGGAATGGAACCTTCGTCCCAGCTCGCCTTTCCGGTACGGTATCTCTCGGCTCTCTCGGCCGTCTCGCACATCTCGCACATCTCGACCTGGACCAGGCCTTGGTGTCACAGTGTGGGCCTTTTGTTGGTCGATTTGGTCCATTTGGATCCATTTGTTTGATGCGGTTGTTGCAACGTTGATTGATGTTGATGTCGATTGTGGATATCGTGTATGATATTGTGGTCACTTCGCGAACCCAGAATTTTCTGCGAGCATTTCGCACATCTCTTGTCTTAAGTGCGATGAAACCTCTGAAACTTACGAGGTCACTTGAGGTACACAGCATTAGAATATCAGCATTGCTGGTGATTCGCAGTTTGGATTCTTGGAATTAGATGAAAATACTTGGCGTCCTACATCGGGGAGCCACTTCCGCGTGATGCCTTCAGAACAGAAGTGGGCTTTGGCAGCTTTCATATTCCAACATCGGCAGTCCTGAAGTCCTGCCTCCAGCTGTCCCATGGAGCTACTGCCTGGCATTCCATGAGGGCCTTAGGTGCTTCACGCGTTTCACCAGTGCCATGGACTGCAACATGAGCTGCGAGCAGAAAATGGACAATGCATGACTCCAATGACAACGCCTAGCGGGCCTAGCGCGCTGATCCACCACTGGATGTGTTGCAAGACTTTTTGGATTCGCAGGGCTCGCGAAGGTTTCATCTCTCTGCCCTCTCAGTTGGCAGCAAACAGCTCCATCTCAGATGTGGTGATCCAAGCCTTTCTCTTCTTCTTGATGATCCTGGCTTTGGTGCCAACAATGGCACGCTTGAATGTGTAGGTCTTGTTCCAACATTGTTAGATTTCCCGCTGCAACGTTTCCACTTGCCATCCACGACCAAATCCGACCAAATCTTCACTTCTCGGATGCACTTTTCTGCAAAGGCAACTTCAGCGTTGGGATTCTTCTCCCTGCATGAGTGCCAGTATTTCTTGTCACCATGGCCACCTTTGCGGTTATCCCCATCAGTCAGGTAGCCCTTGTTGGATTCCGCTTGTAGCATTCCGAGCTGACCTTGGCCCTCAATCCTCGGGCAAAGTTTTTGTTGATGCTCATTGAGCTGTCACACTTTGGCTCCTTCTTTGGTGGCACCAAAAACCTCCAACTCAGATGTGGTGATGCGCGGTTTTTTAACATTCGCATAGAAACAAGATAGATTTTAAAGTCTTGGAAAAAATGGCGATGCATAAGGTGGTCCAATGATTACTTCCATTGATTATTTTGCCAATGTTCCTCAGAAGAATAGTGCCAGAGAAAGCCAGGACAACCCCTTTTACAATATCAATATGTTAAGCTAATCATACCCTTCAAAAACACGTAATTTCCCACTATTTGTATGTTGGAAAAAAGGCTTTAGCACGAGCTTTGCTCTAAACCCGTTTTTGTATCCAGGTCTGCAACTACAGGCTATCGCTATTTAGGCTAAGCATATTGTTTGATCAGGACATTCAGAAATTTTGCTACCATGATAACCAATACAAACTCTATCATTTACCATTTTGCAGTGATATCCCTACGTGTAATGTCCAGATATGTGCTTTGCCTGCATTGCTTGTATTTGACATTCTTTCCAAGCTTTCTGCTTACAAGTTAATGCCACTTTCAATTTGCCAGTGATTCCTACTGACAGAAAATAACATGCACACAAGGATTTTTTCCAATGGTTCCCATCTTGAACTCTAAATTTATGGAATGGTCGTGCTATATGTTGAATTGAAGCTGATCTCTTCTTCGTGCGTGTGGGATTGACCTTACCTTGTTGTTTTCCTATGGTGATTGAACAAAAGTAAGCTTGCATATTTCATGTGTTTTATTCCCTGCGAGAAGAGTCATTTGCTGCATGCCCCTCCATGGCTACTATTAACTTGTGATGTCATATTCACTTGATTACAAAACTTAATACTAAGGTCTACGCTCCCATTATATTTCTTTTCATTGCAATCTTTTTGATGATCATTCTAATAAATTTCAGTCATATATTGGATAGTTATTGTGAGGTGGTGACTTTCAACCCTTAATACTTACATCCTTTGCAAGTGCAACTGCTTGCATTTCCCATCATGTTGTGAAGTCCAAACTTCAGTTGCACATGAAAAAACCACCAATCTAATCAATAAAGCTAAACAATGGCATTTGCAGAAATCTATTGTGATGTCAAAAGGGGATCTGCCTTGGCAAAAATATTTAGTTTTGCTATTGTACTAAGCATTAGGTCATTAGGTATTGTCAACACATAGACACAGACAACTATATGTATAGATATTGAGCTTGCTCCTTGCCATGTGTTTATTTGCAAGCAGCTGTGCAAAAACCATTGGAAGAACAATTTACAAACAAAGGATTTCGACCCTATCTCCAATCTTACCATACTATTTGACAAACACTTTAATCAACTAGACAGACAAGAACCAAAGGAATGTAGCAGACACAAAGTAAACAACATTAAACACAAAAATTTGTTTGAAAGCAACATGCTTAACATGCCATGAATTGTGAATATGAACAACATAAACCATTAAAAAACACTCAAAAACAAACACGTAAAATTGGGCCGCTATTTCGTCACACTCTCTTTTCTTCGCCGGTTTTTGTGCTGAACACTTCCGCTGGCGCCCTGGTCTTGTGGCACCAGCAGAAACAGTCCCATCCATGGCCGTAATGCTGACCCAAAAAGTGCGCCTTTTTGGTCGCAGGATGGGAAGGCAATGGATGGCATCTTGAAGTATTATCGAATTATGTTCAGGATCAAGTATGGTCAACCTTCTTCAATTGGCCCGAATGATGCCTCCAATGATGTCTCTAATGATGTCGTGGCATTGGCTTAGTTGACTTGGTTGACTTGATTAACTTTGCTGCCTTCGTTATGGAAATTGTTCTTCAGGATACTTAAAATGGTGCAATGGTGCGCTGCACAGCACCAAAGCTATCCAAAGCTTAGAGCCCTAGGCCGTTCCAACACGTTCCCTCAGTCTCGGTGCAGGTTCTGTTCGTTGGTATCGGTGACTTGGGCAAAGGCGGCAAACCTGGAGAGTCCGAGAGGTCCATTGTAAGTGGCATAGGAAAGACATCCCAATGTGACAATGGCCTCGATGGCCTTGATGGCCTTGATAGCTTGGGTTGTTCTAGAACTTTCGTTACTGTGTCCGCTTACCTAGTATTACCTAGTAGCTATAAATACAAGGTGGTAAACGCTCTGCATCTAAATCATCTAATGCTTCTCAGAGTATTTTATCATTCGCCAACAGCCGAGGCTCTGTAGACACATATCCCTGTCAGATAGGGTCCTCCCTTTTCAGATGTTCCAAAGCTATTTCCAACATGGAGGTCTACTTTCTCAATTGTTGGACCACAAGGGTGCCCAAGGGGTCCATCGCAACCAACAAGATCCAGCAATTCGTCGAATTCAGCAAGTTCATCTGGTCAGGGCTTCAGGGGAAACCCTGGAAGACTGGAAGCCATGCACTTCCAAGAAACGCCGCCAACATAGCAATTCCCGCAGTAATGGAGCAGAAGGTATTTACTCCCACATTGCTCTTGTCAACGCTCTGCCTCGGATGCGTTTGAAATCGGTCGAATCACATAAACATGTGCGTCATCTAAACAGTCATCACAGAGGTTTGCAACAATCAGCATGCCTTCCGACATGCCTGTCGCATTGTCATCTTTTTTGTCGTGCTAAGACATGTGTCATCCACAAATCAGATCGAGGGGCAAAACGCCCTCGCAGGTCTTTTTCTGAAAGAGTTCGTTGATGTGCTCTGGCCCCTGCTTAGCATCTCGAGACATATCAAAGATCTGACGTAGCCGCGCCGGTCTGTGATGCTGTGCTGGGATGGGTTGGACTTGGTTGGACCAGAAGACCATCACTGAAACATGTTGATCTCAAAAATTCGCATGTTGAGCCCGTTTCGGCATCCGTTTCTCCAAAAAGTTTGATCAAAGTGGCAGCTTTCATGGTGAAATCATGCGAAATCCGTCGCCTCAGCTGCCCATCGTCCAAGGATATGCCACTTTCGCGCCTTAGCGTTATCCTCAACCAGCACTGAACCAAATGGATCCAAATGGGATGAAAGCACTCAACATCACTCAACCTGAACAACCTGAATGGAAAACCCAACAAATGTCCATCTTACAAAAGTTTACAAATCTTGCAATAGGTTGGGATTGCAGCCCCAAGTCCAGAGTAGTTGGATAATGCTACATAATGTTTTATAGAATGTTACATAATGTTATATAGTTTATATAGCATTTCATTTGTCCACCTAGAAGTGGTAGCAGGCTTTGTCCCTGAGCCAAGTTGCAAACATCACGCAGTTCTGCCGCTCCTGGGACACCTTCCGCACCTGCGAACAGAAGTTACTGCAACTCCTTGGCAGTCGGACACAGATTTGGCACTCAGCATCTGTGTGAATCTGTTAGATGAACCCTACCATATCCTAGCATACCCTAATATCATCTTATACACATGTGTGTGTGGCGTGTGTGTAATATATATATATATATACATTATATATATATATATCTGTGTGTGTGTGCGTGTGTGTGTGTGTGCGTGTGTGTGTGTGTGTGTTATGTATGTTATTTGTATATAGTGACGGACAATCACTTAGAACGTAAAAATTTTTCCAAAAGTTTTCTTTTGCACTTAGAACGTGGCACGAAATCAACACTTAGAACGTAGGCAAAATTTCATCACTTAGAACGTAAAACCATCACTTAGAACGTAAGGAGGCCAATTCAACACTTAGAACGTAAAACCAACACTTAGAACGTGCTAAGTGATTGTCCGTCGCTATATAAACTATTTTTTCGATTTCAAAATCAATTAAAGTTCCTTATATAACGCAATTAAAAATATTGCCAAAAATCGGATTTCGAAGCGGACCCTAATAAATTTAAACCCTTAATAAAACAAAACTATTTTTTTTCGATTCAAAATCAATTAAATTTCCTTATATAACGCAATTCAAATATTGCCACAAATTGGATTTCGATGCGGACCTAAATAATAAATTTAAACCTTTAATAAGAAAGACTATTTTTTTCGATTTCAAAATCAGTTAAATTTCCTTATATAACGCAATAAAAATATTGCCAAAAATTGGATTCCGAAGCGGACCCTAATAATAAATTTAAAACCTTGATTTAAAAAACTATTTTTTCGCTTTCGGAATCAATTGAATTTCCTTTTATAACGCAATTAAAATGATGCAGAAAAAATAAGATTTGGAAATGGAATCGAAATTATGTCTATGTTTCCTACGGAATTAGCTGCTAAATCCAACACTTAGAACGTCAGAACCCCCAAAAGGATCCAAAAGGTATAGTATGGTGTTCCAGAGATAAAAAATCGCCAATGTTTGCAAATCATATGGGAGGGAAAAGCCAAATGGTACGAAATTGTGTCTATGTTTCCTACGGAATTAGCTGCTGAATCCAACACTTAGAACGTCAGAACCCCAAAAAGCACCAAAAGGATCCAAAAGGTATAGTGTTCCAGAGATAAAAGATCGCCAATATTTGCAAATCATATGGGAGGGAAAAGCCAAATGGTACGAAATTATGTCTATGTTTCCTACGGAATTAGCTGCTGAATCCAACACTTAGAACGTCAGAACCCCCAAAAAGGATCCAAAAGGTATAGTATAGTGTTCCAGAGATACAGAACGCCAATATTTGCAAATTATATGCAAGGGAAAAGCCAAATGGTATGAAATTATGTCTATGCTTCCTCGGAATTAGCTGCTGAATCCAACACTTAGAACGTCAGAACCCCCAAAAAGCACCAAAAGGATCCAAAAGGTATAGTGTTCCAGAGATAAAAAATCGCCAATATTTGCAAATCATATGGGAGGGAAAAGCCAAATGGTACGAAATTATGTCTATGTTTCCTCGGAATTAGCTGCTGAATCCAACACTTAGAACGTCAGAACCCCAAAAAGCACCAAAAGGATCCAAAAGGTATAGTGTTCCAGAGATAAAAGATCGCCAATGTCAAATCATATAGGAGGGAAAAGCCAAATGGTACGAAATTATGTCTATGTTTCCTACGGAATTAGCTGCTGAATCCAACACTTAGAACGTCAGAACCCCCAAAAAGCATCAAAACGTATAGTGTTCCAGAGATAAAAGATCGCCAATATTTGCAAATCATATAGGAGGGAAAAGCCAAATGGAACGGTTTTTCGTCTATGTTTCCTACGGAAATAGCTGCTGAATCCAACACTTAGAACGTCAGAACCCCCAAAAAGCACCAAAAGGATCCAAAAGGTATAGTGTTCCAGAGATAAAAGATCGCCAATATTTGCAAATCATATGGGAGGGAAAAGCTAAATGGTACGAAATTATGTCTATGTTTCCTACGGAATTAGCTGCTGAATCCAACACTTAGAACGTCAGAACCCCCAAAAAGCACCAAAAGGATATATAGTGTTCCAGAGATAAAAGATCGCCAATGTCAAATCATATAGGAGGGAAAAGCTAAATGGTACGAAATTATGTCTATGTTTCCTACGAATTAGCTGCTGAATCCAACACTTAGAACGTCAGAACCCCCAAAAAGCACCAAAAGGATCCATATAGTGTTCCAGAGATAAAAGATCGCCAATGTTTGCAAATCATATGGGAGGGAAAAGCCAAATGGTACGAAATTATGTCTATGTTTCCTACGGAATTAGCTGCTGAATCCAACACTTAGAACGTCAGAACCCCCAAAAAGCACCAAAAGGTATAGTGTTCCAGAGATAAAAGATCGCCAATATTTGCAAATCATATGGGAGGGAAAAGCCAAATGGTACGAAATTATGTCTATGTTTCCTACGGAATTAGCTGCTGAATCCAACACTTAGAACGTCAGAACCCCCAAAAAGCACCAAAAGGATCCAAAAGGTATAGTGTTCCAGAGATAAAAGATCGCCAATGTTTGCAAATCATATGGGCGGGAAAAGCCAAATGGTACGAAATTATGTCTATGTTTCCTACGGAATTAGCTGCTGAATCCAACACTTAGAACGTCAGAACCCCCAAAAAGCACCAAAAGGATCCAAAAGGTATAGTGTTCCAGAGATAAAAGATCGCCAATGTTTGCAAATCATATGGGAGGGAAAAGCTAAATGGTACGAAATTATGTCTATGTTTCCTACGGAATTAGCTGCTGAATCCAACACTTAGAACGTCAGAACCCCAAAAAGCACCAAAAGGTATAGTGTTCCAGAGGTAAAGACCGCCAAGATTTGGCAAATCATATGGGAGGGAAAAGCCAAATGGTACGAAATTATGTCTATGTTTCCTACGGAATTAGCTGCTGAATCCAACACTTAGAACGTCAGAACCCCCAAAAAGCACCAAAAGGATCCAAAAGGTATAGTGTTCCAGAGATAAAAGATCGCCAATGTCAAATCATATAGGAGGGAAAAGCCAAATGGTACGAAATTATGTCTATGTTTCCTACGGAATTAGCTGCTGAATCCAACACTTAGAACGTCAGAACCCCAAAAAGCACCAAAAGGATCCAAAAGGCATAGTGTTTCAGAGATAAAAGATCGCCAATATTTGCAATTCATATGGGAGGGAAAAGCCAAATGGTACGAAATTATGTCTATGTTTCCTACGGAATTAGCTGCTGAATCCAACAATTAGAACGTCAGAACCCCCAAAAAGCACCAAAAGGATCCAAAAGGTATAGTGTTCCAGAGATAAAAGATCGCCAAATGGTACGAAATTATGTCTATGTTTCCTACGGAATTAGCTGCTGAATCCAACACTTAAAATCAGAACCACCAAAAAGCACCAAAAGGATCCAAAAGGTATAGTGTTCCAGAGATAAAAGATCGCCAATATTTGCAAATCATATAGGAGGGAAAAGCTCAATGGTACGAAATTATGTCTATGTTTCCTACGGAAATAGCTGCTGAATCCAACACTTAGAACGTCAGAACCCCCAAAAAGCACCAAAAGGATCCAAAAGGTATAGTGTTCCAGAGATAAAAGATCGCCAATGTCAAATCATATAGGAGGGAAAAGCCAAATGGTACGAAATTATGTCTATGTTTCCTACGGAATTAGCTGCTGAATCCAACACTTAGAACGTCAGAACCCCCAAAAAACACCAAAAGGATCCAAAAGGTATAGTGTTCCAGAGATAAAAGATCGCCAATGTTTGCACATCATATAGGAGGGAAAAGCCAAATGGTACGAAATTATGTCTATGTTTCCTACGGAATTAGCTGCTGAATCCAACACTTCGAACATCAGAACTCAGAACCCCAAAAAAGCACCAAAGGGCATACTGTTCCAGAGATAAAAGATCGCCAATATTTGCAAATCATACGGGAGGGAAAAGCCAAATGGTACGAAATTATGTCTATGCTTCCTACGGAATTAGCTGCTGAATCCAACACTTAGAGATAAAAGATTTCACAGGCCTTTCCACTATCATCATTGATTTAGACACGTTCTAAGCGTTAAATTCCCCGGTACGTTCTAAGTGATGAATCTTGATATTTGAACGTTCTAAGTGGGGTGCTTAGAACGTAGACGAATAATCACTTAGAACGTCCAAAAAGCGTGAAATATTCAGAAAAAAAACAAAATACGTTCTAAGTGATTGTCCGTCGCTATATACGTATATATATATATATACATGTATATATGCCCTAGCAGCCTAACATGTTTTGGGGAACAACCTGAAACTCCCGGCCCTGGCTGATCAAATGAAAGCTGCCCAGGCACCCAGCGTTGCTCTCATAAACTCCTGTGCATTGTGGCGCGGAACTCATGAGGGCCTCCTGGCGTGTCAGACATCACCGAATGACCTTCAAATACATTCTGTGATGAGATTTGTTCATGGGTCAGCCTGGGTCAGCACCAAACAAAACGTCGGTAGTCCTTCTCGGGTGTCACGTAGTAGGACAGCTGCAGCTGGTAGTTCAGTCTACACAACCTTCGCACCAAGGAACAGAATCAGCATTTCACCATCTGGTTGCGAAGCTGTTGCTTCCAAGACACGGAAGATCTGACAGCAAAAGGGCAAGCCCGCCAACCCTTGGTGGCGCACGGGGAACAAAACATACCATGAAGCATCACGAAGCAGCTGTGTGGCCCAAATCGCAGTCCAAGTCGCAAAATCCATATCAGCTTGGAGGCTTTAAGGTTCAACGCCGTGGGTGGCCGCTGCGGTCGTCGACGGAAGATGCCCTGGCGACAATAAACGTCGAACAATGTCAAGACAAAGCTGGTTTGACAAAGGTGAGAAAAACTTTGATATTCAAAATATGTCTCCGTCTTGTGCGGCAGAATTTCTGGGCGAAATTCAACCTCTAAGTCCTGGTTTAAGTCAAAGAGTCAAAGAGTCAAAAAGAGAGAGAGAGAGAGATCTCTATCTCTATCTATACGAGTCTATGACTTCCGGATCCGTGGTAAGTTTCTGGTGACTTGGGTTTGGCCTGGGTCTACATGTGCAAGCAAAAGTGTGAGAACCTCCAGTCAGAGTTGTTCTCCTCAAATGATCTCTCAAACTCAAATACTCAGAACAAAGGATTGGAGCATCTTGAAACATTTGAAGCACTACCCCTGACAATGCCCTACAAGCCACTCTCATGAAGGTAGTCTAATAGAGTCTAATGCTGGTATGCCGTGGCCACTCTCATGAATACATATGAATACTATTGTAAGACATAGGCAGATATGGATGGATATGGATGGATATGGATGGATATGGATGGATATATGGCACGCACCAGCTGTTCATCGGCACCTCCAAGCGCCATGCCGTGCTCCAGAGAGTCAGTCCCAGCAACGAGATCCAAAAGTTTCGCTCCACGTAGAACAGCTTCGGCTTCCTGACGGTTCCAAGTCAGGGACGTAGCCTGATGCGAGTCACCACCAAATTGATCCAAATTGGAGAAGCTTTGGAGTTGGAATATCTTGAGGATATCTTTCCATATCTTTCCATCTTGGGTCATCGATTCAAGTAATTTGAAGTCAGTTTCTTGGGTTCCAAAAGCTAGTTGTCACATCCACTCCACCTGGGATCTGCTGGATTTTTCATCCAAATCATCGAGTGGTTCCCATCCCTTTGAAGCCCAGGCTCTCAGAATCGCGGAAGAAGCCAGGCTGTCCTGAGGCCAAACTATCTCGCATCTGCTCACGACGGAAACCTGGCAGATGAGCTGTATTCACTTGGCCACTTGGCTGAATTGTTGTGGCATGGCATGGCGAAAAAAGCTGTGCAAACCTTACATGAGCTTACAGGTGCCACAACATGACCCCACCTGAGTAGGAGAGCACAGTGAGGCAAAGGCAAAGAGCCTTAGATCGACAAAAATTGTGAAGGCATCAAGGGCGCAGACCTTAGAAACCCTTGACCTTGACAAAATCCAATCCATAGCCACCTGACTTCTACCTAGAAGGGCTGCCTGTATTATGGTCTGCCTTGTGTCCAAGTAGCTGTCATGAACACGGCGATGTTTAATCTCAAACTGCCAATGTGCACGGGAGAGTTCATCACGCCGGAAGCCACCTTGAGAGCTTACAAGGCTATTAGTTGCGTGATGTGTGGACGGTCATGGACGGCCCAAATGATGAAAAGGCTAGAGTTCGCACATACGGAGAGAAATGCTGCACATATTCCGACCATTTGACAGGAGCTCTGCACCTTCATGAGCATGGTGAATTCGCTGAGGAGGAGCATAGTCAACAGCACTCCCGCAGGTATGGCAGTATACGCGAAAATGCCCCAAATAGTCATCACGTCCTTGGATTATCTTGGATTCAAAAAGCAGAATGGAAAGACTTCCAACCTGTGCTGGGAAGAATCTGTTTATGTTGGATGCCACGGGCCCTTAGCAATCTGAAGCCCGCTAGGATCGCTAAGTACCGAACAGAAGCTCAGAAGGCCCACGGCTCCAAAGTGGCGCAATCCCCCCGGGTCTTTGCCGGCCCCAAAACAGCTGCGTATCCACATAAAGTCCATGCAAAGATCATTCCAAGTTTCCAAGCATATTTCTTCTCTACATCCGCCTCTGGACACATCAATGATACATCTATATACATCTGGGTTTGAATATTCCTGGATTCCTGGATGCCTCACATTCGTTCTCGTTGTGCTCGGTATGTGTCGGCATCGCTAAGTCCTCCACGGTGGTGCGCCTCGCCTTCATCGGCCCACGCCGTTGGGACCTCTGGGCCCCGGTATCCGCCATTGCTGCCCTCGGCTCCGGGAGGAGCTCCGGGACCAGCAAGAGCTCCCTCGGTTTTCAAACAGGAAGATAAAGTTCACAGCTCACATTGCTCACATTGCTCACATCACAAGATATTACAAGTCTCCCACAGTATTCCATAGTATTCCAAGTATGTACAAGTTGATCGCCAGCAAAAAAAAAGGAAATGAATGGAAATGAACTGCGCAGGCAAAAGGTCTAGATATGTCTAGATGGTCTAGCCCTTTCATCCTCTTTCTTGTTTGATACAAATATCCCGCTCAGGGCGCTGAGGACATTGCTGGTGTCGGCCCAGCACCTGCACTCGTTTGGCGTGGCATCGCCTCAGGCCGGGAAGCCCAATGAGGTGAACATCAACACATTGTAACACATTGTAACACACATTACGAAAATATATGAAACCTCAAATAAAACTATATAAACATAAACATAACACGGAACGTCAAATTCTCACATTGACATGTCACCTCTTTTCAATTGTGTCAATCTTCAAGAGGACGCAGCCCCCGACCCAGACTTTTGGGGAGTTCCACGCTTAATTTCAGGAAAAAAACATTAAAAAAAAACACTGCTGAATCAATGGGATACCTCACTTGCATGTCTGATCGTGTTTGCCTCTATATCTGACCGCCTGTCTGTCCATGAGTCCTTCTTGGTCTGGTTCTCTTCTTGTGGAACCTCGTCTTCTGCCATGTGGTCATATTTTAGAACATCCTTTTCCTCAGCATACATATGTAGATACTTTCTTTGCCACTGTGTAACTATGTGTTGATCAGGTTTGATCTATTTTCTCTCTGTACTAGTAGTAGTCTATACGTACATAGCTGTCCAATAATTGTATATTGATGTTGTTGTCCTTATCTATTTTCACACGCTGGCAATCCTAATCTGATCCGAACTTCGCTGGATCACGCTGGATCCCATCCCGTTGGGGCTCCCCGACACGCGGCTTTCTCCGCAAGATGCCTTTCAGCTCCGAAGCCTCAGGCGGCTGTTCGATATGGCCCAATGGCTCATTGTGATTGGCACGGCCACAACACAGTTGTCCTGCTTCTTTGATGATGAGAAGTGATGATTAGTTTTTATCAATTATGTACATATATCATATGTATATATATATATCATTTTAATTCATGTTACAGTATTTGTAGATGACATGAGATGATGTTGGATGATCATCGATCATACATCGTATTGATTATTATCTATATTTATAGGTAACACAACCTGAATCAGCCAGTAAGCGCACACGCTGTTTTGCTTGAGCCATAAGGTAGCGGTTATATTTACATGCTTACTACAGGCCTAAGTTACAGGGAGGTATGGGACTGTAGTCATTACAATCCCGTAACAACACCCCCCGTTCACCCCAGTTGCTTGGCAACTGTGGTGGAAAATCGCCTGCCGTAAGCTGCCGCCGAAGGACCTAAGTTCAGTTGAATGTACAATGGTTGAACTCATGTCGAATGCAATAAGGCTCGGATGCATTGGATGTCAAGGCTTGCAACGATGTTGACAGCGTCAGGTCGTATGCTCTTTTTGCCGGAGATTGGCACGATGTTGCACACAGCATGGCCGTGGCTCCCGCCAGGCACCTTCAAATGAATGTAGGAACATTACCATTCCTTTTGACTCCACTCGAACGGTACCATGGCAGGAAAAACTGTACAGCCATGAAATTGGTGTGAATTAATTTGAGCTCTTGCCTTGAACATCCAATCATCGGCTCGAGAAGTTATTGAAGTAAAATTTAATTCATTCAAACTGTGCGGAAATATGTGCATTTGAAGTTCACTTGAATGGGTAGATGCATAATGTGCGTCAAAGCTTTGGTTTGTTCAATGGGTGCGATGCCTGCCAGGTTTGTCATAGACAGGCATGCCTCCCGGCAAGCAAATTTGAAACAGGAAAGATATAACCTAAGTGTCAATGCGAGTCATCCCATAGTTCAGGTCCAGCGCCAGTACCAGCCTCGCTGTTGATTCCAGTACCACGTGTAGCGGTAGCCCTGAACCCAGTAGGAATCTCCTTCAAAGTCACCGTAGGCCACACCTCCCGGTGGGCTTCTGCCTTGCTTGCCCTTCCCCTTCTGCTGTCCCTTTCCTTTGGTCTGTCCTCCACCTTTGTGATGACCTTTTCCACCACCGCCTTGGCCGTAAGGACCGCCGCGAGCAGGCTTGCCAAGATTTGGCTCAAATTGCTCGTGATGGGGTCGTTCATGTTCAGGTCGGCTGATGGCTGCACTTGCATGAGGAAGACTGACCTCCCGGTCGTCGCCGGTGGTTTCAGACTCCTTGTGCGTCTGTTGGGAGGCAAAGTTCGACCATTGCAGCTTGCTGAACTCCGCCAATTCCTTCGCGATCTCCTTGGCATCTGAAGCATCAGGCACAAAGATTGCCCCATCCATAAACAATGGGTAGAGGCCTTTGCCTTGGCTTGATGAACTTCGCCACATAGACTGCGAATTGGCCGATGTCGAGAAAGACGCCCCGATGCGACACAAACACCTCGGTGTGAAGATCCAAGGGTTGGTCGGGCTCCCGCTCCGACGATGGCACAAAGATCAACTTGGTGGCCATCTCAAGCTTTTCGCCAAGAACCTGAGCTTTGGTGCGCTCAATGGTCGGGCTCACGCAGCCAGCCAAACGCTCAATGAAGAGCAAGGCCTCCGGCACCAAGTTTTGATTCGCCGCATTGAACTGAAAGAACGGGTCGCGGACGAGTCGGTCAACAAGGTCCTTGAAGCCCCTTTTCTTGAAAGATCTGACGTAGTTTTTGGCCATGTCTCTCAAGTTGCCATAGGTGCTTCTGGTCCGGACGGCTGTCGAAGAAGACGATGATCCCTTCTCCGGCTGCCTGGCTACTCTGCCTCTTCGCGGGTGGTTGAAGATCACCTTGTCCATGGAAAAGGGCACTCCTCTGGTACGGGCCATCGCCTCCCGGCGGGCAACTTCCGTGGCGATGTTGGCATCGGTCACGGGTTCCATCTGCCGGAAGCAGCGCGGGCATTTCAAATGCCCATCCATCATCAGATATCCGCAGATCGGATGGCTACAGCGCACCTGAGGCGTGTCTTGGATCTGGTTGTAGGAGATGTCCTTGAATTGCAACTCAAATCCGTGTCGACCTTGCCCTCGGTTCCAATTTCCACCACCGGGTCCATTCCGTCCACGACGTTGGAAGCCACATGCATCCGTGCTTGTCATGGCGGCCATCTTTCCAACGGTGTAGCCGGACACCAGCTGAGAACCTGATGCCGGCTCACCCTCCCGGGTGGCAGTGCTCTTTTCGACCTCAATGTCTTCACGCCTGGAAAAGGGGAGGAGCTTGCCAAACTCAATGCGCTCTTTGATGCCTTCAAAGTTCAACTGGGCATTTTCCATCAACATCTCCATGCGGCTCATGAGAACATCCGACGGATCAAACTCGGCCTTGGCCTGCTTGAGGACTTCCTGGTAAGCCTTCCGATGGTTGACATAAGCCCTGTTGATATAGAAAAATTCGCCCGAACGCATATCAAAGGCGTTGATCATCGGCTGGTTCGAGATCCAATCTGGCGACAGGATGGCCTCGTCAGTCGCGAAAAGTTTGTAGCCCATTTGCATCATGAGCTCCATGTCGAACGCGATGGCGATTGGCCTCCCGGCCCGCGTACCTTGCAACTTTTTCATTTCCGCTTTCCAGGGCGGAGTGGAGTTGAAAAAGTTGTGGGCTCTGCCCGTTTTGTACGGGAATCCGCCAGGGATCAGGCCGTGCTTGATGATGGAATTGAAGGCGGCTTGGTCACAGGTGTGATACACCACTCTGGGGAACTTGTGCCACACAGGCGAGCCTTCCGGCATCGCGGAGAAAGCGGGGTGGACCGATGGGTCGTCAATCTTGGTCTGGTCGAAGTTCTCATCAAAAGTGAACATCGTTTTGATCATGCTTGACATCCCCCCTTGCTCCACGAGAAAGGCCCGATGGCCCTGAATGGCCCTGATCCTCACTGGCGTCCACCTGAGCTTTCCGGACGACAAGCCGTTCACCTGGACTCTGAAGCGACGCATCGGAGAGTTGCGCACGACCATCAAAACTTCTTCTTCTCGAAGGTGCGCAAAATCCACTTGGAGATGCCTCACCAATGCCTTGAAGTCCATTGACAAATCAGTCCTCCAAATCTCAGGTGATGGCCTCCTGTGAAACAATCGATGGCCACGGAGGTAGTCGGACATAGCATGGGAAATTGATCCAAGCCTTCCGTAGTCCACCTTTCGCACAGGAACTCCTGCCATGTTGTCCGGCTCAATCCAAACCAGATCCTGTGCTGTGGCAAATTTCGACGTGTCAAACTGCTCAGCACTTGGCCCATGTCCCTCATCCACAACCTTCAATCTCTTCGGCATGGCCTTCTTCTTGGGCTTGAGCTTGGAAGTCGGGTCAGAAGGCGTGGCTCCCGCCGACGCAGCTGCAGTGGTGTCCGTTCGCCATGTCTTTGCAGATGAGGTGCTCTGAGCCATCTCAGTTTTCCACGTCTTTGCCGATGACGAGCTCTGGGCCATCTCCGTCTTCCAGGTCTTCGCTGATGCCGTACTCCGGACCGTCTTGTTGCCCTGATCATCAACATCCATGGGCTCCGGGTCCCCCCGTGCATCAGACTTCGAGGCCTGCATAGAAGAGACCTTGTCGATCACGGCCATGTCGTCATCGTCATCATCATCGATCGGCTCGGCCTGCCCCTCCTCAGCGTCGTGGAACTCCTCTTCATCGACAATCTCCACCGAAGCCACCGTCTCGAGGTCGTCAAGGTCTAGCTCCTTTTCCTCTTCATGTACTGGGTCACTGGCCACGACTCCCGGCGGGCGTTTGTCATCCTCAATGAGGTCCCACCCTTTGAAGTCCTCGTCTTCATCCTCGGCCGCATAGGTGGCATCTTGCCATTCTTGGTCGTGCTCCTCTGATAGGCCTTTTCGCCTCGCCAAAATTCGATCATCCATGGTGAGGGCCTTAACTTTGACAGCCTCATCGTCCGAATCAGCGTTGTCATTGTGCATGGGTTCCAATGCCTGGTCCTCTTCAGGAATGTCTCGCATCCAGGACTCGACCTCCCGGTCGGCAGAGGCTGTGGCGCTCTCCTCAGCTTGAAGCACCCAGTTGAAAATCTCGACATCTGCATCCAACATGAGCTTCTCAGGATCAGGTCGCTGAGGAAGATCTTTTGGGGAGGATACATTCGAATCGATTTCAAGCTGGTACGCGGCCTTGAGGATGGTGAGGTTCGGGTAGTTCTTCTGCTCCTGGAGATCGTCGATTCTTGGGAGCGTTCTCAAGTGATCGTCGACGCTGATGAGCTTGAGGTAGGCAAGGTGGCAATCAGCGACGGCCTGGAGGAAGTTGGTGACATACTTCCGGTTGATGACGTCGTCTTCCAAATGCACCTTGTCATATCTCACAGTTCTGGCAAGCATCAAGGTGGTGTCCAAAGTTTGAATACCATGGTCCTCTCGCAGTGTCCTGATGTGGACACGCATGGTCTCATTGTAGGCCGACGGGAGAGCAAAAATTTCCGCGTCAGCATTCCCAACGACCACGATGTCCAGGATCCGGGGCTCATCACGTTTGAGCTGGCCCAGTTCTTCGACGGACCGCTCGACTCTCGCCTTTTGCCGTTCACACCAGTTGGCCGTGACCTCCCGGTCGGCAGCAGACTTGTTGTATGCAGCCCTGTGGATCCAATGGACTCCTCTGTAACCCCCTTCGCCAAACACATCATTTCCGGCCCACCCCACGATGACCAACACCGGCAAGACCGGGCGACCATGTGCACGATTGGTGGACTCGATGTCATCGATGGCCTCGGGGATATACTGGACCATATGGTTCAAACCTTTGCCCCACAACATTTTGGTATAAATGCCGCGGATGTCTCCCCAGGGCTTCAAAAGATCGCCTCCGGAAAAACACGAAGCCTTCCCTGCGTTGGGGTCAGGTACCAGAGCAAGTGATGAGTCTGATACGATCAGCAGGTCGACCTCGCCTCCCGGCGGGTAGGGGCACAATGCCAAAAACCCATCGGGCGTGTTCTTGTAGACCTCCGCGAGCGTGTCGTATGCCCCTTCAGCATTGCCACCACCCAGCATCGGCTCGACGATATTCGCCAGGGGTAGGCGGCATCCTTCCATCTCTCGCAAGAGCACCTGTGGGTCGTCCCAGGTCGCCACCGCAATGGCTGCCTTCAGGGTATTGACCACACCTTCCCATTGGGTGATGCGCTCGAGGATGGCGGGCCTCCCGGCAACCGCACAGGCCTTGGCCATTTGGATTGCACGAGTCAACATGACGAAGACGGGAGAACAAAAGGGCGCGATGAGTGCACAGCAAGTTAGCTTGAGAGCGGGATGCTGTCGGGTAAGAGCTTTATGTATGGCGTCTGTCATGCGGAAAGTGTATCCTCCGTTTTCTTGAGTGCAATACCTCTACCTGGAGCATGACGCCTGTTGCATGTGCATTGGAACTTCGATAATGCTTTACCGACTCCAGCATGGTTTGTGGCCACTGTCCAAGGTTTCTTCAAAGGATCATTGTCTTGATTTACCATTCCAAGAGCACATCCATCGAAATGATATGCAATCATCCCATAAAAGTTCAACAGCTTTGCAACTTTAGTCAATTTCCAATATCGACATTTTCGTGGCCACTCGAGTGCAATGTGTACTTCACAGTTCAACATCCGAAGAAACGATTTCAAGGAAATCCAAAGTCGGTCAAACTCTCTGACATGTTTCAACACCTTTTCACGTGCACTGGGGTTTTTCATGTTGATATACGTCCATGGTGTACCCCCCGTGCACGGTAGGCTGATCCATATAAATGGTTTCACATCACCTTTGAAAGAGTTGACGTACTCTGCAATCCTCATTTGGTTTTCGACTTCGTTAAGATCAAATTCTTCAGTGAACTGTAGTACTTCACAACCTTCAGACCACCTTCGGTTGGTTTGGCTGAGTTTGGACTCTGGATGACAGCAAACTTCAACGATCAGTCTCTTGGTATCAGACTTGGCAGCGGGTCCCCCCGTGCTTGGTGCAGCAATAACTGGAGGTGTGATGGCCTCCGACGCCGACGCCAAAGCTTTCTGTGGGGTAACCTTCTTGGTGGGGGTCAATGCAAGAAGTTTGACAGCTAGTTTCCATTTCTCTGCATTAACAAATGGTTTCGTGAGAATGTCTGCAGCTTGAAGCATGCTTGGACCATGGACTAGCTTATACCACCTTTTAAACTGTTCCTCCAGCCAAGATAGGTTAACTCGCTGTGTTTTGTCTGTATGCCGGAAAGTGGGTGATTTTCCGTTCTCAAGGATTCTAATGGTGGCCTGATTGTCCTCTACAAAAACGCCTTTTATTGACCGTGGGGAAAACATTGAGATCATACATTCTCCCTCTTTCTCACGTCCTACGAACTCGTAGTCGGTGATGGCTTCACGGATTTCGACCGATTCGATGTTGTAGTCGGACTCGTAGGGACCATAGACCCTGAAGAAAGTCTTGCCGATCCACTCCCCGTTGATCGGGTAGTCAACTTTGACCTTCCAATTGTCCTGCATGAAGTCAACCATTCCGTCCTTTAGCATCACGGTGGTTCGAGCACATCCGATACGCTTAAGGTTAATGGGTGACTTGGACATGTCAACGGGTGTGAACAAATGTGACCTTGGTTTTGTGTGGACTCGGACGAGCAATCTTCTACTTCTCATGAATTGCCAGTATTCCCCATTGGATTCTTTTTGGGTTTCAATGTCATGCCTTGGCAAACCTCCCGGTATGCTGTCTTTCGGTGCTCTCTCCCCCCCCGCGTTCTGGAGGTATGCCCACAAACTGGAGGAAGGTAGACCGACAGCTCTGAGGGATACGTTTGCACTGACAACTTCACTTTCAGTGCTTGACATTGCAACGGCAGTTTGTTTCTTACTGAATGCTGTGAGCGGGAAGTAAGTGTTGGGCCCAACTAGAACTAACAAACAACCACTGGTGGATCGATTGTCGTACTCCCCTGCATGGTCTGCGTCAGCAAACAGCCAAAGCCTACATTCACTGACCTTGTCCCCTATGAAAGCCCTTTGCTTGTGATCCAGGGTGGAATTAAATGTAACAAATAAGTCTGTGCAGTGCCTTATCGCACTCTGCACTCCATTTTGTCACACGAGCTGCTAGGCCTTGAACGGCGCGCAGCAAGTCGAAACGTGCCATCCTGGCTGCAAATAGCACTTTCATAAGGACCCTTGCGGCTATTGGAGCCAATACGCCTTTGGTTTCCTTCTCATCGGCAATGGGCCGTGCAATTCTTTCTTCATGAAATGGTGTGGAAACTTGTTTCAAAGGCTTGGCATCCCTGCCAGCAAGTGAAATGTAACGTTCAACACATGATTTCAGGAAAGGCTCCATATCATATGTGAATGTAGTCACAGGCTTTTGCATGCAGGGTTGGTTCTCAAACAGCTGGTCCATATAGGAAAAACCTTCCGCTCTAGCTTTCTTTTTGGCTCCGGACTTGTCCCTCTTGATGGTGGCCATGGCAGCCTTTGGATCTTTGCATGATGTTGGGAAGAAGTATGTTGTGCCAACCCATGAATCATTTAGACTACCCCCTTTGTTCATGTTTGATCCAATTCCAATAGTGTCCCATTGCTCAACTTCATTTCCATTGTTGTTACATGGGATCGCATTCGTGAATCTAAATGGGGCTAGTTGGCATGACTTAACCACTTCTTCATCGGGCAAAAATAGTTTCTTCCTTGGCTGCACATGGTGTCTCATGTAGACATCGTTGACGGTGTCGAGCTCCCAGAAATCCTGAGTCCTGTGGCACGCGGCGGCGGCAGGCGCGGCCGGATCGGCCAGTGACTTGTCAAAGACATGAGCATAAGGGTGATCCTCGACCTTGAGCTTTACGTTGTGTTGAGCTACATGGTCGCATCCAAGATATCTATTGACTTCCCCGGGAGTGTCCATGTCAATCTTTGATGCAATCAAACTCCATCCCTTTGACATGTTTTCTTTGGGACCGGACATCTTAAAATCGTCAACATACACGACAAGCAACAATTTGAGCTCTGGATGGAAAAACACCGAAGGCCACCCTTCCGGGTCTGGCATGATAAAGCCCACTAGTTTCAACATGGCTTCACAGTACTGTTCCCAGAGCCCCCCCGAGTCGGGGTGACCGTAAAGAGCGATGCGAAGCAATACAACTGGTCTAATGAACTTACCATGCCACTCTTTGGGCCATCGATCGGGTGGCAGTTCCACCCACGTCTCCACGCCCTTCCATAAGGCTTGAGTGTAAGCTTGTACTCCATCATTTTGTTGGGTTATGAATCCCGGTTGAGCTCCGTAGGCATCTACTGCTTTGCCAGCTTCCATGGTGGCAGGCGAAGATCCTAATTCCGAGAACAGGGCAACATCGGCACTTTCGTCCTTTACATTGTTGCCTTGAAATACTGTTCTTCCTTTGAATTTTCGGAGTTTATCTCCTTCGGGTAATTCACTTCCCTTTTCAACGCAAATCTCAAAGACCTTTCCTACATGGACCTTCTTCCCAGTCTTCTTGGCTTTGTCGGCAATGACCTTCCATTCGGCCACTGTTTCATATTGCCAGGCCTTCTTCTTTACCAGTTTTTCCCATTCTACATCTAAGGCTTGCTGGGCTTTGGGATTGGCTCTAATTTCCTTTTTCCCCACTGGCCTAGCCACCAAAGTGTTAACGGCTTTCTCCCCAGATTGGATTCCAAGCCTAATACACTTAACTCGATGCTTTTGAGGGTTCATCTGGCAAACAGGCATAGCTGGGATGAATTCGTAGGATAAATTTTCTTCCAATTCATTCGGTGATTCCTTGAGAGTTCCGATCATGGGTACAGCTTTCACTCTTCTGGCGCGTTTCTTTTCCTTTTCTTCCAGGGCCAATTTCCGTTGCTCATCTGCAATCGATGCTCTTCTTTCTTTCTGAGACATTGCTTGCCAAACAAATGGAGGGATGTCCTTTGGTTTGCTTGAATTCTTGTACTTTCTTGCTTTAAATCCACCTGCGTCATAGAATGAGGGGTCATTAGTCTTGATTCTTTCGAGTTCCCCTGTGATCGGATTGATTACCTCGACTTCGGCATCAGGCACAGCTCCTCTGATGGGCTCGTCCACACGGTTCCTCAGGTCGATCGGCTCTTTTGAGAATATTGTGACAATTACTTCATGAACCTGAATGTCCTTTTCAAGGTCTTCGACCGGAGGATCAATCTTCAAGTTTTCTTCGTGGACATGCCATGATTCATCATCTTTAATGCATGTTGTTCGAAATGGAAAATCGGCTGCATCAAAGTCGGGAGATGGACCTATACACTGATTGTCGATGATCCGAACATTCACTTTGCAATTGGCATATTCGTACCATGCTTCCTTGTGGTCAACATGCTTGAAGAACTCCAACCATCCCTGGTGATAAACTGCGGATGCACTGGATTGTTGTGCAGGCTGTCCAGCTTCAATGTCAGTGATTGATCTTTTGACTGGGCCTGGCTCCCGCACAGGCTGAGCATCTTGCTCCTCCGGTGGCGGTAATGCATCCTGCTCATCACACAGCTGGCTTGGTTTCAAGCTACCGTCTCGGATGGCATCGGCACGTTTGCGACAGGGAAACTCAATCTTCTCAGGTACAGAGACCTTTAACACCCTCAATACAGTGACGGATTGGTCAAAATCTGCATCATTGATTTGTTTTAGAGAAGCTACTGCAAATTCTTTTCTCCAATGGAAGCCGGGATGGATGACATATCCTAGGAAGATACCAGGTTCAGTGGTCGGTTCGAACTTCATCTGTTTCTTTGGCTTCTTCCTAGGTCCAGTCCAATAGTCCACTTTACATCCAAACGGGATAAGTGGTCCTTCGAAGTCTGTCCCAAACCTCAGTTTCCATGGTGTGTCCTTTCCAGTCCCATCTGGTGCAGTGTCATCATGATGCACCAATGTCTGGCGGCGTAAGGCCAATATCCATGGTGAAGTCCTGCTTGAAGTAAATTAGCACGCGTTCCTTCCAACGTTGACCGCACGGCTCGTTCGGCAATGGCATTGGATGTTGAAATGTAGTCTTTACTGATTTGATGCCTGATCTTCATAGCTCTCATAGCTGCTACGATTTCAGGGGCATTATCACTGTAAAAGATTCCAATTTTCTCCAAGTCATCAACGAAATGTTTCATTGCCAGTGTGGTGTTGGAAGTGTCACGGCGTGCAACGGGGTAAACATATCGAAAATCAGTGGCAACATCCTTGAATACCATTGCGACCCTATCTCCATCAACACCAGTTTCCGGGTCCGATTTGGCAATAAGGTAGTCACCTGTGACATGATCCCCAAACTTCTTTGCATCGACCATGGATGATCCTCCTTTAGAGTAACCGGGTGGCTTGTACATCTTGGCCTTTGTACAGACATCACAGTATGGATTCTTGGGAATATGGGTAAGCATGTGTCGTTTGCTCTTAGCTTCAGCCTTGAGTGCGGCCTTACCCCTCTCCCTACGTCTTTCCATTTCCGGGTCACGACGGACATCATCCCTTGAATCATCAACGTCATCAGGCTGGACCTCCCGGTCAGCTGGTGCAATGCCTTCTTCATCGGAGGGCGCATCAGCACCGGGATCGCCTGAGATGTCGGGTACAAGGTCATCGTCAAGCTTTGATGAATTACCACCTACGACTGCGGGTTCGTCATCTTCATATTCTTCGTCGTAAAGATCTGGTGACGGGGGAGAATCCTCCTCTTCTATGAAGCCTGACTCGGACCCTGATGAACTAGCCATCACTTTAACTCTCTTCATGGGAGAACCATTGTTTCTGGATTTTGCCACTGTGGACACACTTGGTTGATTTGATTTGGAACATAGATATGGGACATAGTCTCTGACTTCAAGTTCAATGACCTTCCCATCAGGTGAAACTAATTTCGGCTTCTCATTCTTGGAGCCCCTCCACACGAAGTCAAACCCATCCTCAACGCACCTGAGACCAACTGATAAAACAGGAGGTGAACTTTGCACTAGGTACGGTGATACTGTAGCATTCAGCTCCGGGACTTTCACCTTGCCCTGCTTCATAGATGAACTTTCCCCATTTGCAGTGATGAGACGGATTGGATTATCGGAAAAATAACCATAATGATCCGGCACATGGTGATCAGTGAGTAAATCTTGTGCACTACCGGTATCAACAATCCAATCGATAGAGGCTTCGAAACATCCATCAACGTACTCCTCAGATTTGGCAGGCATTGCAACTATTTCCTTTGGAATACAGTGATCACAACCAAACATGGTGTCACACTCATAGTTGCATTTGCAGACATTGTTCATTAACGAATTCTTGACTGCTCCTGCCAACATGTTCGCTGACAAACATGCATCCTCTACGTCTCTTCGGTCAAAATCAAATGGATAGTTGATAGGAAAAGTTCTCTTGTATCTCCTTGAAGCTGGATTGATAGGCTCAAGGTCCCCCTTGGCAATGACTTGATACACATCGTGATTAGTGTCGAATGTCACTGCTGGGCAGCTGATCACGTCAATGGGTGGCATCAGGCATGCATTGGATACGGATGCTAACATCGAGGCAATCAGGCAGACGGCTGCTGGGGAAGCTTTGGGAGTGTCAGGCTTGCCTCTATTCCCCTTTGGGGAGCGGCTATTCCTGGGACTCCTTGATCCCTTCTGCTTTGGCGAGCGGTCCCTGCCTTTTCCTGGACTTCTGCTGTTCCTCCGTCTGGATCCTTTCGAGTCATTGGACGAAGGCCTGGCAGGAGTGGCAGCACGAGGAGACTTGATTTGCTTACCCTCGTGACTAAACCTACAGTCATTGCCTCTGTTGCATCTTCCCTGTTTCCAAAACTTGCATGGCTGCTTCTTCTTGCTCTTGTCGTTCTTACCCCTTGACGACGATCTGCCACGGTCGGATGAGGGTCGTGATTGACTTCTGTCTTTCTTTGGTGGAGGCTTTTCATGTTTGAATGGGCAGGCATCATTCGTGCAGGTCCCTTTATTCCATTTGACACAGTATCCCTTTGGAATGTACCCGGTCTTCTCACCCACAGCCGGAGCTGCGCTGGACGACGAGGCACCGAGGGTCCTGGCAACTCGTTCACGATTGGATTCGAGTCGCTCCCTATCCAAGTAGCGGCGAACTGCTGTCACTAGGAAATCGTAGGACTTCTTTTCGGTTCCATCCTCAGCACGATGATATTCCTGCAAGTCGTGTGCTATTGCTTTACTGGTTTTGACTTGGTTAAAGAACAGAGTCTCCAGAATGCTAATCTCAGGAATCTTGGGAATACCAGCCATCACTTGATCCCAATTGCTGATAAATCCGCGTAGGTTGTCACCCTTAAGTTTGACACTGAACAAATCCTGTAGTGAGTAGGTCGCCCCATGCTTGATGTTTGTACTGAAATGTTCATGCATCATAAACAGTACTTGACGGCCCCTCACGTAACGATGATTTGTTGCTTCTGTCTCTTTGTAAGTGTCAACCTTTCTCGCAAAATCACCTGTGAGAATATTGGTGAGCGCGGACAGTAACTTGGCATCCAGTGTGGTGAACTTGCCTACGTCACGGAGAGTTCCAATTGTTTGGCCTTCTTTCCAGGTCTCACTTATCCAATCAAATGCTTTATCAGGGTCAGTAGATGCTGACATTACAGCTTCCCTTGTGCGAATCCTCCAATTTCTGTATGACTCCGCATGGGGAAAAGCTGGAACTTTCACAGTGTCGGCTTCTTTGACCTTGTTCTTTTCATGTGACTTATCCCTGGAACTGCCGAACATGGCTCTCATGCGACGGATGAATCGATGGTCACTATCATCAGAGTTGTACCCATCCCCGTCTCCATCATCATCATCATCACCGTCCCCAGGCCCACCTCCCGGTGGGCGTCGGCTCCCCGAAGGGGGCTTCTTCCCACGATTGTCCTTACTACGCCTGCTGTCGCGATCTGCCTGAGAGTCCTTGTCATCATCTGGAGGGTCAGGTCCTGGTGGCTTTCCACCGGCATCCGATGGTGCAACACTTGTTGGGGGATACGTTGGGGACCTAAGACCGGTTATCTCAGAGACAGGATCCTTATTATCCACTGGTGCATTTCCTTCCGGGTCAAGCATTTCCCATATATCTTGGTTGGGTTCCGCTGGTTTGGATGCACTTGCTGATGCAAATGACGGCAACGGTGCTGAGTACTTGACCTCAGTGGACGGCGGTATGACGGCAGTGGCGGTTTGGACAATTGGAATCGGCATTGGGCCTATTGTGTCAAGGAGTTTACTCATCCTCATGTTCATGGATTCGGTTTGCAACTGTTGGGCCTTTATTTGCTCACTTTGTTGCTTGATGATGGATTCAAGTTGGGACATCTGCATCTTACGGTGTTCATCCTGGCGTTCATAATGATCCCTGAGCGATTGGAATTGTTGTTCCTTCGTTGCATTCGACTGTCTGGCATTTCCGTCTAAAACCCTTTTGTACATTTCCCCTTGTTGAGCCAGTTCTTCACGGAATTGATTCTCCCGACTCTCTGCGAGCAACATCATCTGTTGCATCCGGGCACTCGCAGCTTGTTCTTCTGCATGGAACCTGCCACTCATTTCGGACACCATCGATTGCATCATGCTCTCTGTGTTGGCCATGGCCTCTCGATGGCGTACCTCAGCAACCTGCTCAACCATCTGTGTAATTGCAGGGTCATGTGCGTTCACGTACACTTCGTTCTTTTGGACTTGCTGAAGGTTCATGGTGTTGTTTACTTCGGTCATTTCGTGATGGTGAACCTCAAGCTTGTTCGACTGTACATGATGTGAGCCGGCAGGCATGCCCTCCCGGGATGCGTGATAATCATAGCCACGGTGCGAAAACCTTGGTGCTCCACTCTGGGGCATGACAGCGCCTGGTGGGAGCGGGGCTCTGACTTCACGTTTGTCACTCCGAGAGCGTTCTGAAGGAGTCTGAGAGGTAATGTGACTCGTTGTGTCGATTTCAGTCTGGCGATCGTCTGCATCCCGAATAGCCATGGCTTGCGGATTCCCGGAATTGCGCGGGCCCTCCGGAGATGGTTTTCCAGAGGGGGCAGACATTTAGTTACAAGGGAACGTATCTGGCGATACGGCTGATAACCTATATTTATAGGTAACACAACCTGAATCAGCCAGTAAGCGCACACGCTGTTTTGCTTGAGCCATAAGGTAGCGGTTATATTTACATGCTTACTACAGGCCTAAGTTACAGGGAGGTATGGGACTGTAGTCATTACAATCCCGTAACAACATTATCTGTATGTTTGCATTGATCGTCAATTGATATCTGGTTATTTTCACATCGTCGATCATATTCAATCACCAAGTTGGTTTGTCATGATCATAACTCGAGAGCGTGCAACTGTTTATCACACAGGTTTGTCACTTTACATCTTTTCACTGATCATTGATCAGATTCTTGAACTGACAGCTCCAAGGCAGCAAAAAGTATCACCCGGTCCTGTGACACAATATTGTGGCGGTCTGCGCCGGCGGGTTTTTCCTTAGTCTTCAAGGGAAGAATTTTAGTCAAACGTTTGCTGCGTATGAAACAATTTCCAGTGCTTCTATCTGCCTGGCACTTTCCAGCCAGTGACGACACAGGGTGACAGGGGCCCTTGCCAACCGATTCTTGTCGTGGCTGTCCTGCACAGAATCCGCCCGCGGTGCCTTGAAATAAACTGGTTCTCTGCAGCACTGGCCTGGTCCAACCACCAAAGACGCCGTGGCCTGGTGCTTTGCACAGAAAGATGCGAATGAGACATGTCAGATGTCTATATAGCCTGTGGTCATATGTCTATATTGTGTGGAGTTACATCTATATATGTCAGATGTCATATAATGAGTCTATGTCTATATATAGCCTACATATAGCCTACATCGGGCGTGCAGTTACATCCGCTGAAGCTTGTCAGATGTGTGGACATCATGACGCTTGAGGTCGTGACATGTGCCTGTCGTGCATGCCCGAGTGAAACTCGGCCAAGGGGCCCATCCTTAATCAACAATGATGTTCGAAACTCGTCTGAAGGAGCTACAAACTGTCATAAACTGTCGAAATCATAAAGGCCCTGGCTGTCCGTTCAGATATGTGTTGCGGAGAAGGAGGTCCTAACATGGCAAGGTGAGAACAACAGCATCACAGTTAGCCAAGTCCACTGCGATCGTCCTCCCCTTCCAAGCTGCCGAAGTTGGCATCCCAGTCATTGCTGAGTGTCTGCTTCGACCTGCACATGGCAGGCGACCTTAAGGGGGGACCTTAGGGAACCTTAGGGGACCTTGGCCTCATGAACCGTCATCACATCCCTGCTATCCCCAAAGATGTCGAAAGTTGCACATCAAAGGGCCCGACTTGTCAGCCAGGCGCCTTTCCAGCGCTGATAGTTGCCTCAACCACTCCCCGCACAACTTGACACACCAATTGCTGAACGTTTGGAGGAAGTAAAACTGCACTCAGTGTCGGACTGCATAAAAGAAGATTTCAAATTCATGTCAGGCCTGGCCAAAGTGTATCAAAATATATCAAAATGTTTGAAGATGTGCAAGTGCAGGGCATGGCATCTCATGACCTACAGCTTCCAAGCACCATCCGGCCTCCGAAAGCTGATGAACTCCATGGTTTTCCGCAAGCCCCAATCTCAGCACAGGGTGGACAGGGTAAAACTCGATCCCCAACTTTTTCAGAAATTTGCGGCTGAGTCACTGTATTTTCTCATCATGTAGGCGCCCAAGATGCAACATGACCTGGATTGCCCTCGGGCAGAATGGATGAGTACCTCTGCTCTGACTGAATGAGAAAAGCAGGTGGGTTCTATAGAGGACTTCGGCAAGAGTTTAAATCACTTTGCACAGCTTGGAGCTTCAATTGGCGCACACTTTCAGCAGCATTCAAAGCTTCCTCTATGAATCTGAAGGATTCTGACCTTGGACAGCAGTATCCACCGAGAAACGCATAGAGGTGCCATGAAGCAACATCAAACTTTCAATTTGTAGTCAAGTTGCAAGGATATGTAAGGCTGATTCAGCGCCCCAAGGGATTTCCAAACAGATCCGATGATCCAGGTGCCAAATCTGCCAAATGTTTACATCTTCAGCTCCAAGCGAGACCACGTCCCGTTGGTCCAAGACCACCTTGCCGAATGCGAAGGCTGCGAAGGCGACGAAGGTTATGGGAAGGTTGGTGCAATGTGACGATAAAAATCAGGAGTGCCACATTTTTTCAGTGCGATGCAGTGCTGTGTTTAGCCTGACTCTCAGCATCCACCCAGTAGTAGGTCAGGTAGGCCACACCAATAGACCTTGGAGATCCAGATGCACATCCGCCATGGCCGGTTCTATGGCATGATGAGTCCATGGCCACAACGAAAAAAATCCTGTGGCCCTGACTCCCAATGGTTTGGCACCTGACGACCTGCACAATTGATGACCCGGGTCACCTGCAGAGCGAACTGGAAACTCTGTGGAAATTCTGCGGAAACTCTTGAAGCTTCACAGGATCTTTACATGTAAAAAAGTGCTGAAAAAAGAGGCGGCAATGCAACAATCGATATCTTTTGACACCTTGTTGGACACCACGAACTCAAGGTCCTGGCGCTTCAGGAGAAGATTTGATCAAGCCACTAACCATGCCTTGACCTCAGCCTTGTCTCCGCCATCCCTACCCGTGGCATCAGGTGCAACGCTGCACCATTTTTTTCCCATTGCTTGACCTCTGGCTCAGTCAAGCACCTCTCTGCCTCCTCACCATCGCAATAAAAAACCAGAGGCCGAAGTGAATCTCCAACAAGAAGACAACAGAATGGAAAGACAAAATTTCAAAGCTCAGGCCTCACAACTGACATCCACCACCATCACCCGGGGGAATCCTTAGAGAGCAACCATCCAAAACGAGACAGACATGGCACCACGCACTGCAGCCAGGCTGCGCTTGTGGCGGTGGCTGTCTGAAGGCCTTAGATTCCAAACAGTGCCATGCCTTCCCATTGCAGTTGGAGGTGTTGATCACTACTGCCAGGGTCCAGTGCAGCAAAAGTGCCTGACTGGCGGGTGGCGCACCATGCTGCGGCACAGCATGAGCAGGTGGCTGGGGTGGGACGTGGGGCGCATGCCCATGCGGCGGCCCACTAGGCCCGCTGGCCCCACCATGCTGTGGGTTGCCATGGAAGGCTGCGGGTGGGGCTCCAAAGCCTCCCGTCAGGATCTAAGAAAATGCCATGATGTCAAGGATGTCCTAATTAACGGCAAGATGGACCCTGGCCTGGAAGACCCGGAGGTTGATGCCAGTTGTCGAAACCCGTCTGGGCACCGGTGTAACAAGAATCATTTAAGGCGCAAGGGACGGCTGCAAATTCTCTTGGAAGGCAACTACAGTATCTTGAAATGACTTGTTTGGATTATGGAACACAACCTCCGGAACACGCCATCATCCCCTCCCCCCTGTGCAATGCTACCTGTGTTTCAGGAGCATCTGAAGTGAAGCTTCTCACAGGTCGCTGTGCCATAGGAGGCGCTGCCTGTGGCTTTACCGGAGGGAAGGAATTTCGGTTTGTAGCTGCCGAATAGCTGTAAACATCTGTAAACTATTGTAAACTGTAAACCTGCAAACATTTCCAGTTTACAACATTAATGTTCCTTGTGTTTGTGCTGATTGAAGCATCCACACCTCGCCATAGGGCGAGTCAGTGAAACCTCGCAGTCGGACGCCCGGGACCTGCCACAAGGATCCACAAGGGCCAAAGAGAAGTGCCAGCGGTACAAAACCCGCAGGCTCGTTCTTTGATCCACTGCATGTTTGTCAATTTGGATCAATTTGGATTATTCATTCCGGAGGGTTGGGGGTAGATGAATCGAAGTACTTGAAACCAGCAGTTCCACATAATATATATATATGTGTGTGTGTGTAAATGTATACCAGTTCTCCTTGCATCGGAGTGATCTACGACTCAATAGTGCAAACATTAGACTGCAAAGGGTTCTGGCAAACAAGCTTAGGACATGACTATGCCAGCACGTTCATCGGGATCCAATGCAACTACTGAACCGTTTTTTGTCGTTTTTGTCTCATTCACCCAGGCCAAACCAGATTTCCCTGACAGTGGTATCAATCATTATCGCACTGTTTGCATCTGTTTGAGATATCATATCAAATATCTGCTTGGGTTTCAGCCTCCATCACCCACGCGTCATATATCAATCCAAGATAATCCAAGTAATTAACTTAAAGTTTCCTGACAAACATTTCTTCAAAGACACACCCCACCCGTTCCCATCCAATTTCTTGATGCTGCGCAAGCTGCTGGCATGTCCTCAAAGCCCTTGCCACCCTTCGCTCTCGGAGGATCCTGAAGCCAAGACCCTGGCTCCGCGAAATATGCAGAGAAACGGCAACCGCATCAATCAACTTTAGTCAAGTTGCCGAAAATCGAACCACCAGCCTTAGTTTTCAGAGTGACCGGATTCCTGGTTGTGGCTGCATGTCAGCTTCAGTATCGCCAAGGCACTGCAGATTTGGTGCAGTCTCATGGCCATTTAGTCGGTCAACACCTGGTTCGGTATCAATGCTGGATCACCACAGGGCGGGTCCACCAAGATTCGCTGAGATGAGGACACCAAGCTGCTTCATCGAGAGTGTTCATCCGCACTAGCGCCACCGTGTCACCTCTTCCACCAGAATGGCAAGATTGTTATGACATGTTATGACATGTTGTGACAAGAGCTGGCCGTGTTCCGATCCGAGCCTTTTTTCCCATTGGTGTCCAGCACTTTCACCTCAACTTGAATTTGTTTAACCTGATGAAGTGATGCAGTCTAGGTTTTGCGGGCATCTCTTCGCTCTCAGAATAAAGTTCTCGAAAGAATGCAATATACTAGTGCTTGAGCAGCTGGCAAAGTTAACTCCAGCAAATTGGCCAAAAAATGCTGTAATGGTCTCCTTAGCGACAATGAAATGAGTCCCAAATCAAGTGGCGGAAGGCCTCAAATCAAGTGAACTAGTACCGTGGCCTACCGTGGCTAGCCTCTAAAGCCATTGAAGGCTGTCAAATTTTGGGGCATCCCTGCCAGCCACAGATTTGATCGTGGTGCTGAACCAGGTCCATAACTGCCATAACTTTGACAGGCCTGTCCGACCTGTCCCCTGCATGCTCCAAGCAATTCGATTTCGGCCGTGTCTCTGTGGTGCTCCCAGGGGGCAATCCCATGACGAAGAGACTCTCAGATGGCATTGTCCTTAGTGTCACTGAGGTAAATACCAGGACCTATATGCAACAACCCGCAACAAAAACTTGGCAATCTTGGCAGTTTCTCTGGCAACAATAATATCATATAATATCAATAGTTAATCTGCGTGCCGGATGTAAAGATATGATGGATATGAGATTCCACATATTCCACTTGGAAATACATGCGCTTGCATCAGCTGTCCAAACCCCTCCAGTATGTGCCAGTCAAGTTGCGGCCGTTCCGTCAGAGACGTTGTCATCTGCCCCTTGCGAACACTCTCCGTGGCTTGTGAGCCATCAGTCCATGGCTTCATGGACTCGGCAACTCAAGCAATTCCCACTAAAACCCCCCAATGTTTTGTTAACTTACCATCCAAAAAATTAAGGGGATGGGGACGTGGCTATGGCTGGGTTTCCTGGCCTTGGCCGCAGCTGCACTGGAGGACAGCAGCGTTCGGATCTTGATCCCCCGATGGACCATGCCGTCGGTCATGCGAATGGCCTCGGAGGTTGTCACCAGCCCGAGATCCCAATTACCGGGCCCATTTTTTTAGTGGTCCATGTTGGGAGGGAACGGTCGAGTATCAAATCATTCCAAAGAAAGCCATGCGTAGTATGGAACCAACCAAGACAAACAAAACAGAAGCTGGGGTGTGCTCCATGTTTGGGAACGGCAGATATCAAAAGATCACAGGAAACAAAGGAAAACAAAAGCGATGGCACAAAATGCAAAACAAACGGCCGAAATAGCCAGGAGAGAGCGAGGCAGATCGGCTGACAGGCGCGGGATATCGCAGGATCTATACTTGGCTGTGATGACCTGTCTAGAGTCTAGAGATAAGTCTAATGCAACCTCCAAGTCCCACTTGCTTGGCACCTTTTGACAAACACTGGCTAAGTCCAAGCAAATTGAATGTCCCCCAGTTGCATGATTAGAAGATGCGTTGGGAAGGAATGTGGCTTGTTGAGTTGAGAGGAGGGGAAAAAAAGAGAACAAAAAATATAAACGTCGAGGAGGTCGGAGGGACACAATGCTGAGGAAAATGCAAGAAGAAGAGAAAAAGAAAACACGTAGAGAGGAACGAGGAGGAAAGTATGATAAATCACAAGGTTGGGCCTGGGCCTCAGGTGCTTCTGCCCATCTAAGAATCTACAGAAAGAACAAAACATACAAAAAAAAAAACGCTCGCTACAGAGAACTTTCATGCTTTGCCCAACTGCACCAAACTAGTGCTGACTGGTCACATGTTGTGCCTCCTCAGGAAATCTAAATCGTGCCAAGGCATATCCTGGCGATGCCAAAATGCAGGCGCTTCAGAGGACACATCCCAAGCCATCCGAAGCCTTGTCCATCTGGCTTCCCTTCGCAGCACACCTGAGCCACTTGGACATCATGGATATCCAATGTCCGATGTCCGATGTCCGATGATGTCCGATGATGTCCAGACAACCGGCCAACGTGCATACCTTCACGGTCGTCAGACCCATGTCTTTGAAGATTTCTCTCACAGACTCCTGTGGAGCACGGGGCGTCACAGACTTGGTTGTTCTAATTATTAGGAAGTGAGACTTCAGGATTTGGACCCTGTCTTCCAGTTCAGTGCTGGTGTCCTTGCTACCCGTTTACCCTCCATGGGGATTCCGCATGACTTACTTGAAGTAAGGGGATTCAACGATCCGGACTTGGAACTCACGGCCTCACAACACTGGCGTCAGTCCTCGTCTGTGTTCGCACGCAGCCCGCTGACAAAGACCTCGCCTTGGGTGTATACCGCTAAGACGCAGCTCAAAAGGGCCAAAAGTATGCCTACCGGCCCTCAGAGGAACGGGAGGGGAGTCCTTGAAGCCTTGAAAGTTGCCAAAGGCTTCCTCTACTCTATGATCAAGTGGCGATTGTCAGCAGGGATGTTCAGCGGGTTGAGCTTGCCACCCTTGCCCTTGCATCAGTTCTGTGATGAATGCATGACGCATGAAGCTATGAAATTCCAGCAGTACATGAGCGTCCTTCCCCTCTTCCGGTGGAGGCCGGTCGTTATCTGCAAATTTCACCTAGAAAACTCCAGGCTTAACCAATGCCCAAACACAGAACACATCAGAAATCTGACTGTTGGGATCTGTTGGCGTGTTGAGCTGGTGGCAGTAATGCAGGCACCACCAACATCGTACCTTATAGGAGGCCGGGTTTTCATGAGGTGCATCATGCTTTAACCCGTCACCCTTGGTAGGTTCCAACCGCGCACCCGTTCAGATTTCTGACCGCCGCAGCTGCATGCGAAGGGTCGCCATACCTCGCAAGAAGATCAGCCCCAAATCGATGGCAACATCAAGAACCACAGAAGAAACTTTAAATATATATAGATATATATATATAGATATCTCTCTCTCTCTCTCTCACTCCCTCTCTCTCTCTCTCTTCAAATCGATTCCAATCGCACCCTTTTTTCCACGAGCCAGGGGCAGTCATATGCAGTCATATGCAGTCATATGCAATCATATGCAGTCATATGCAGTCATGCAAATATCCCCCTTGCAACCCAATCTCTCCACCTAGCTCCACCTTCGCCAAGAGATGCCAAGAGGCTTGACAAATGCATAGCCAAAACCGCCGAGTCTTCTTGACGGGCACACCTGCACCCCAACCAGGGAAGATTTGGACCCCACTCTCTGTGGCACGGTGCAGTGGATCTCTGAGGACCCAGCCCTTGATGACCAGATTCGGCCATAGCGGTCAAAGAGCTGAAAAAGGTGCGCGTCATTGAAGCCTGTCCCAAACTGATATTGATTGATATTGTATGACTCTGCCGACTCTGCATTCGCAAAGAAAAAACTACTGGAGCACCAGTATGGAAAGGACTTTCTTGGGAGCTTGGTTAATTACATATGGTGGGTGTTGGGTGGGGCATGCTTCCACACTGCCTGGCGGTAGGCCAGCAACATAGAGGTTCCTAAGTCGGACAGGCCTTCACTGCGACTGTCAGCTGAAATACGGGAAACACGAGACATCTATGGGCCGCAGCTCAGCATCCATTCCGCAGACATGAGTTGTGCCCTACGAAACTGGCTGCAGATGGTTCCAGTGGGAAAATGACGGTTCATGATGGTTCAATAGCCAAGTAGCGTCCCCACGTAGGACATCGCTACCTGCAAAAATGCGCGGATTGTTCCAGGATCGGCTGCTCAAAACCTTTGCAAACAGCAGCTCTTATCAGCTGGGGGTCAAAATTCACAGCAAATTCTGATCAGCAAGGTTTCAACATCGTTTCAACATGGTTTCAACTGCAAAAACTCAGCACATCTTGGCCGCGCCTCTTCTCATAAGCTGCCATGACGCCATGGCTATTGTGGCCCTGCCCTAATGACTAGAGCCCAGCTGCGGGATGTTGATGGAACGCACCAAATCATCAGTCCCTCCAACACCCTGGATTGATGTTTTGTAGAGCATTTTGCTGGCATTCCTCGAGGTAGCAGTATGTCACATTGTGTCTCAGTAGTTGCCATTGCCATGGCGGAAACCTTGAAACCCCAGACCAAAGAGCTCCTGTGCTGCCAAGGCATCGCCGATGAAAAGGCCATCCTTTCAGCAAAGCCCCAGCGGAAATGACGATGAGAAGTTGGACCCTAATGGTTCCGTGAACACCTCAAAAAAAATTGCCCAACATCGATTCAGTTCGAGATCTTACCATATATATGTTATCTCATGTTATCTCATGTTAACTATGTTACCTCCCCACTACCTCTGAAATCAAAACCTCATGGGTCCATGGTCCCCACCTTGACCTTGACCGCTCCGAGGATTTCGTAACCTCCGCAGTCGCGGAAGTCGCAGCAGTCGCACGGAGGATTCACCAAGGACCGCACCAAGGCCATCCCCAGACATCGTCCACGAGCATCGCGGATGGAACCTGAGAGCGAGCAGCCTGAAGCTTTTGGGAAAACGCTGGAAAACTCCTCCGAAAAAAATGCATCTAAATCCATCTAAATATATGTACGTACATACATACATACATGCATACATGCATGCATGCATGCATACATACATACATGCATCCATACATCCATACATCCATACATACATACATGCATGCATGCATACATGCATACATACATACATACATGCATCCATACATCCACATATCCATTCTTCACTTCACTTCACTGCGCCTTCGGAGCTCCATCTCTGCCGCACCTGAGTGAAACCTAGCTCCACGGCGAGGCACAAGCAGGCACTTACAATGGAACAAGACCTCAGTCGGCCGTGATCCACCTGGCCGCGCTGGCGCCAACGGAGCGCCAGACAGGGTGCTTCACACCGTGCCTGGGGATCCAGCGCACCCGACATAGTGTTAATCGGATGCCGCACAAGAACACTGCACCTAGAGTGAGATCGGAAAATCAAGAACTGAAAAGCAAGGATGCCCAGCAGCACCCGAGCACAAAAGTATGGAAAATCAAACTGCCTCACTGCCCGCTCAAAAGGTGGTGGTCATCACTCAACGCCGGGTTCACCTATAATCTCTTGAATCTGTCTTTCAAGTGCACCACGAGGAGCTGGGCCATCTTTGCGCAAACCTCCACTTTTTTCCATGCCATCCTGCAAGACAGTCAGCACATCACTCAGAGCACCTGGAGCGACCGAGATCTGGAGACGAACCTTGGTCTGGTCATATACTTTGGACACTCGACAGTAGAGGACCTGATCGCTCAGCACAGCCGGATCGGTGACAGAATCACAATGTTGCTTCACCATGGCACGCTTCTCCTCAGACAGGGCTTCGTCTTTCAAGGCGGCTTGGGTCAAAGCAGCCCATACCCACGAAGACGGCTGTCCCAGGGTGTGATTCTTTCCCGCAGCGCGAGCTCTCTGCGCATATGTCTGGCCGGCGGCCGAAGCAGCCTGAGCATACGCACCCTCCTTGGCCAGGATATAGGTGACAAAAACTGCACTTTCAAGGTTGCGGCAGACCTGCGCATTCTTCAACGTCAGGCGAGCCACAGCAGTCAAGAGCTGCTCATTGTCCTTGGAGCTTCGGCCGGTGCGAGGTCGCACCTGCCGTTCAGCACCTGCACCATTGGGGGCGGCGCCGAACCAAGAGTCCATGGCTGAAGGCTCGGTCTCTACTTTCCAACTACTGCTGAGCCGCAATGAGGTACTGGTGCAAAACATGTTGGCCAGCGGGGACGTGGCCCACCACATGTGTCTGCAAGGTTTCCAAATCAACTGCTTCATGAGGACAGACTGGACATCGAAAAGTTGGAGGGGGACGCAATTGCTCCACCATGCCAGCAGCATTCCCCCCTTGTCGAGGGCAGTGCCCTTTTTTGACACGGGCATGAGCATGACGTTTGGCAATCTCAACGGAAGCAAAGATCCTACGACACCACGGGCACTGATTGCAAACCACAATTTGTCGTGCAGTGATGCGCACACCATGAAGGCGATGTCTGTGTGTGGAAAGGGCCGTTGTGGATTGCGCGGTGTAGCCACAGTGTGCCCCATCAGCACCAATCCAGTCACAACGAAGTGGAGCCGGACCCACAGGCGCCACCTCATCTGCATTCTCCACTGGCGCAAGTCCAAGCGCTGCCAACTCCTCTCTGTATTTACGCACCAGCAGGGTCCTGATAGGAAGATTGACAAACAAATCTTTGCAAGGATGAAAAAAAATCGACAGTGGCTGGTCAGCCACCAAATTTGGCTCACCCAACTTGTCCAAATCTTCCACCAGTTCCCGCAGCCATGGGTTTGCAAGAGCAGTGACTCTCCCATCCACCCCAATAGGCGGCCCATTTTCCCAGCCATATTGTCCAAAAACTGTGGCCAGTAGCGACACATTGTCGCCAGGGTGCCGGGCGATGCTTTGCCACCAGAGAAGACGGCGGGCTCGGCGCTCCCAGGCAGGCGGAAAGATTTGCAAAAGTTCAAACACAGCCGAATTTGACAAGCTGCGATGGTGGCCGTGAGCATCTTCGTGTGGCTTGAGGCAGGCACGTCCTTGGCAAAATTTTCGAGCCAGAGCGGCAAGCACTCTTCCAAGTCGGACATTGTCACCATCATGGGTCTGCAGAGTTTCAATACCTGAGTACAAAGGAGACACCATCCATACATCCATACATACATACATACATCCATACATGCATGCATACATGCATGCATACATACATGCATGCATACATACATGCATGCATACATGCATACATACATGCATGCATGCATACATGCATACATACAAACATACATGCATCCATACATCCATACATCCATACATCCATACATACATACATCCATACATGCATGCATACATGCATACATACATACATGCATGCATACATACATACATGCATCCATACATCCATACACCCATACCTACATACATACATACATACATCCATACATGCATGCATACATGCATGCATACGTACATACATGCATACATACATGCATGCACACTTGCATACATGCATGCATGCATACATGCATACATACATACATGCATCCATACATCCATACAAACATACATCCATACATTCATGCATACATGCATGCATACATACATGCATGCATACATACATGCATGCATACATGCATACATACATGCATGCATGCATACATACAAACATACATACATGCATCCATACATCCATACATCCATACATCCATACATACATACATCCATACATGCATGCATACATGCATGCATACATACATGCATGCATACATACATGCATGCATACATGCATAAATACATGCATGCATACATACATAACATACAAACATAGATGCATGCATGCATGCATACATGCATACATACATGCATACATACATACATGCATACATACATACATACAGACATACATACATACACGCATACATACATACATACATACATACATGCATACACGCATACATGCATACATGCATACATGCATGCATGCATGCATACATGCATACATACATGCAAACATGCTTACACACATGCATGCATACATGCATACATACATGCATACATACATGCATACATGCATGCATGCATGCATACATACATTCACGCAAACATACATGCATACATGCATACATACATGCATAACATACATACATAGATGCATGCATGCATGCATACATGCATACATACATGCATACATACATACATGCATACATACATACATGCATACATACATACATACATAAATGCATACATACATGCATACATACATGCATACATGCATACATCCATCCATACATACATACATGCATGCATGCATGCATGAATACATAAATACATACATATATACATACATAAATACATGCATACATGCACAAATACATACATACATACATACATACATACATACATACATACATTACACACATACATACATACATACATACATACATGCATGCATGCATGCATGCAAACATATATGCATACATACATACATACATGCATACATACATACATACATACTTACATACATGCATGCATGCATACATTCATGCATCCATACATACATACATTCATGCATGCATGCATGCATACATACATACATGCATACATACATACATGCATACATACATGCGTACATGCATACATGCATGCATACAAACATACATGCTTACACACATACCTGCATGCATGCATACATACATGCATGCATACATACATACATGCATACATACATATATACATGCATGCATGCATACATGCATACATGCATACATCCATCCATACATACATACATACATGCATGCATGCATGCATGAATACATAAATGCATACATATATACATACATAAATACATGCATACATGCACAAATACATACATACATACATACATGCATGCATGCATACATACATACATGCATACAAACATACGTGCTTACATGCATGCATATATCCATCTAGATCCACTGCTCTATCATCATGTTCCCTATTGTTTCATGGCCATTTGGGGGGGGCATTCCCATTCGTAAGACATATTGAGAACCATGAAGGTCCAAAGATAAAGGGGCAAAAGATCAGTGCAAACAGTGCAAAAGCGGATTTGTATCGATGTGTGGCAGCCTCAGCACCGAAAGTCACTAAAAGAGAACGCAACCAGTAGCACCATGAATTGCAAAATCATCAAGTTTGTGTGCGTGTGTGAGTGCGTGCATATTATATATATATATATATGTGTGTGTGGGCGTGTGTGTGCGCAAATCTGGGATCACCAAGAGTGGACCCCGATTCTTTCGGGAGGTTCATGTAGAATCATCTTTTTGCAAATGCTTGGGTGTAATTGTCATGGGTGTGGATGTTTTCCTGAGTTCACGGCTGATGCAGTGACAGCGGAGTTTGGCCGCAAAATCCGGGCTGAGAAAACCAGGAAGTCAACAGGATAGCTAACTGTCGCCATGTCGTCAATCCTTTGCATTGCCAGCTACAAAAAAGGTGACAAGGCTGCAACCAGCTATAGCTGATTGTCAGAACCTGAGTTTGGGATAGTTTGGGGGCATCTCTGCAAGTATCGTACGTATTTGTAAGTGGGGTAAAAATTGGGCTGATCGGAAGGCTGAAGTCTTGGCCCCAACGGTCGGTGAAGCTCTTCTTCACCGTTCTGAGCCAAATGCCGACGTATCCCAGACGCGGTACCGCTGTGCATCCAGGAGCGTCGCAAGCAATTTTCATAATTTTCGTTTCAAGGCCCATGCCTTGCCATGGCCTACCGGAAAGCAACTGTCACAAACCATAGTTAGAGGGGTCATATATATATATGTATATATATATGTATGTATATATAATACATATGTATGTATATATATATGTATGTATATATATATGTATGCAAATGTATATGTATATATATATGTATGCAAATGTATATGTATATATATATATATGCAAGTGCTGGAACACTTGTCTCATACACTCCAAACCATGGCTGTATTTCGAAGTCATTTGATGTCCGAGGAAAACAGGTTGCTGCTGGGTAGCACTCCGCTTTGCCGTGTCAGGGGATAGCTTGTAGCCATAGCCTCGAATCGTTGTGACTTGGGAACTGCCGTTCGCTACTGACCTTGTTGAGCCATCCCAGTTGGATGGTAGCGGAGCCTGAACTGAAACCGGGGACCTGAAAAGAAGAGGCCCGGAACGTTTTTACCTTCCAGGAAACAACTGAGATGACTGGGGTCCAGAAATCGAAAGATGGGGTACCTCAATGGGATGGGGGACTCTGCAACGTTCCAAGAATATGAAGAAACAGCTCTTCAACGGGAACAGGGCATAGCCTACCATAAGAGGTACTTAGCTGGGCCTAGGTTGGTAGCCGAACTCTCAGGGTCAGCTAGGAAGCACGTGATGGGGAAACGGCCAGAATGGCTCATGCTGATCGATGCGGGCTTGGACAGCACCTCCCGCAACATGGCTCAGACCGCCCCCAAAGACCAGCAAAACAAGGGCACGGCCTATCTCCAGGACGAGGTGGACGCAGTGGAAGAAGAGTGGCCTGACGCCTGGGTCACGGATGATCTCACCGAAGAAGCTCAAGCTCTCTTTGGAGCTGCTGAGAAGGAGGCCCAAGAGGCCTATGCAATGATGCAACAGGGGCGCAGAACCCTGCGTGAGGCTCGAGCCCGTCAGCATCAAATGAGATTGAACCGCCAGTACTACAAGAACACCTTTTCCAAGGACAAGGACTATGGAGGCCGCTCCTCACACTCTCAAAATGGCTCTACAACCACGACTTGCCTGCGCTGTGGCAAGCAGCACAGGACCACGGACTGCCCTTGTCCCGGGACAAGTCCGACGGGCAACAAAAAGCCCATGCTGTGGAGGAAGCCACCTTTTGTGTGCTTCACAGAAGATCCTGTGGCGTGCGCCGCCAAAACTACACAGTCCTTGAAGTCAACTCGTGAGGCCGTGATGTCTGGCTCTGGAGTGATTGATGGCGGTGCGACACGCACCTTGGGATCGGTCACTGCGATCCAGTCAGTGATGGACCTCAACCACAGCAAGTATGGGGACCATGGCATCACCGAAGTGGACGTGGCCAACAAGCCTACGTTTGGTTTTGCCAACAGCTCTCAGAACCAGTTGCATCTCTACGGCCCAGCTCAAGATCAAGGCCACGAGAAGCCAGGCACCTTGCAGATCCATGCTTTGAACCAGGGTCAGGGACCTATCCTGATCTCCATCGACACTTTGCGCAAGCTGAAGGCAGTGATCGACTTCAGCGAGGATCTGATGGTGCTTCGAGCCCTTGATGACACCAAGATGATTCCCCTAGAACCCTCAGCTGCAGGACACCAGTTGCTGCCGCTGACTGAGGACCTGATGAAGCATGCAATGCCCTGAACCAGCCAGGTTCCCAGTCTTAGGAGTTTTTGCTAGGGACAACTCCTCTCTGATTCCATGCCTGAGGACGAAAGGGAGGTCAATTTGTGTCAGGCAACTGTTTTGACTGCCACCGGTCAGTTGGAATCTGGAAACATATCATGTCATGATCATGAGGGTCTGCACACACACACAGCACAACATGCGCGTCACAGAAGTTTGAGTATGTAGAGAAGGATGTGGCGCCTCCCGGTCAGAAACCTCAGGCCGCATTGCGCCAGCAGGTGATCCCTATGAACACCAACAGCAAGACCAAGAATCCTGCAAATGTGGTGCCAGAACACGTTGGGCATGCCAGTCTCGGGCAACGAGACGATTCCTCAGTTGCACGTGCTGCAATGACCCACATCTACCAGGAGACCACGCCGGATGGGCAGGACCCAGTCGGATTCGGCAAGGCAGCCTCAATGACGTACCAGGGGATTGCCGCCGACCAGCAGTACTGCAATTGGGTCAAAACACAGCAGCAGAAGGGGGTTGCTCAGTCCAGCTGTCGCGCCTGGCGAAGTGGCTGGTCGCTCAAGAGAGTCAGCCTGCTCGCACCATGGATGTCAAGATGAACTACCTCCAGCCGGAGCCTTTGCCCTTGAAGAGCAAGAACCTGCCGCCGCCAGCCACCGAGTGCAGTGCAAGCCAGTCCAGCATGAGCTCCTCTACCATGCAGATCCTTTGC